AACACCCGCCCAGAGATGTTGGCTAACAGGCTGAGCTGCCATTATGGCTGGCTTGGCACAAAGTCAAAGCTTTGCGTGTTGTCTGTTCCACACACACTCGCACTCAGAACTCAGAGCTCAGGATCCAGGACCTCCACACACACACACACACATACTCACTCACACTCGCAAACAATGGGAGAAACAAGCTGCAAATTGGCCTAGGTCTTCGCTGGTACAACGCGTGGTATGCGCAATGCGAAAAGCCTTTAATGCTGACGTTGTCGTCTGCGGATGGCGTGAAGTTGGTAGAGGTCCTGCCAGCCACACGCCACCAGGACACTCCGTGCGTGCCACAGTATGAGTATGTGTGTGTGTAGGAGTGTGTGTGTGTGTTTGCACAGGAAAGCAAAACACAGAAATGGTTTTTAACTTTCCGGTTAATTAATTTATTACAGCTTAATACGTTCAATGACTTTTGGCGGCCGCCTCTCGCGTTCCGTTTGTCTTGGCTGTCATTTATATTTACCCAGCACCAGCACCTCCCCCTCCCCTACCCCCTTTCTACCACCCCCTATGTTTTTTAGTTAATTTATATTTCTGTGGGAGACCACTCTCCCTTTTGGCCGTGTTTTATTCGCTGTCTATTTTTAGCCACTGATTTAATATGCGTGCATGCGTGTGCGTGTGCGTGCCTCTCTTTGTTTCGCATTTCTTTCTTGCTTTCTCCGCTTTTTCGGCCACATTTCGTCGCCCTGCGCTCACAAAGGATCCCCGCAGGATGGGTGGGCATTCTGGCCAAAAAGCGGCGACACAGCGAGGACAATTTGTATGCGGTTTGTTTGCCATTTTTCACTTAAACTCCCGACTGCTGCCACTCCCGCTCCTGCGATGCTGCACCATTTCGCTTATGTAGATTTATTTGGGGGCCTCTCGAGCGGTCAAGCGTGCCCCGTTTTCTTGAGAGGTTTATGTGTCTGCAAGGACATCGCATCGCAGGACTTCTGGGTGGGGGGAATAAAAATGAGATAGTAAAACCAGACTCAGGCTCCGATAAGCGAGCGTTAGCCCGACAATCGAACGGGTTCAATGGTTTGCCCCAGCAAGGAATTAAATCTGTTTACTCCGATACTCATTTTATTTATGGCGAACACTAATTGCGGACCAGGAAGTACAATAAAAAAAGCTGCTTTATTATTTCACTTCCTGGATATTTATTCAGTTTATGACTGCCCAGTCAAAGTTTTCCAATTACAAGTGAGCAGTGGGCAAGGGAAATGGGAAATGCGAAAGAAATATTAACCAACCGAAAGCAAAGCTAAAAATACACACAAAAAGAGTTAAAGCAGTTGAGGAAGGTATTTTTAATCGGACAACCCAAGGAGGTTTAGTTAAGCCTTTCAAATCCAATTCACATTTTGCCTATAACCTATTGCCATATAACCTTTCTTGATTCGCTTCCGGTCAGCATAATATAGTCACAACACTCACTCAGTTCATTCGGCAACCCACGTTTCCGCATTATCCTCGAAATAGGAAGCGCATTGTATAGCGAGTATAGGAGTATAGCACCCCTGGACAGCCATAAATTTATTCACGCAAATGAGGGCACATGTCGGCAGGTTCATGAGTCTCGGACTCCTCCTTATTGTTGTTTACATTTTACACTCATAACTTTCCAGCTCGCCCACGCAAACACACGTGCCATCCTAGCAAAAAAAAAAACAAGAGAAAGGGAGAGAGGAGAAAGAAAGTGGAGAAAAGCGTTTTCCCAACACTTTCACATTATACGTATTTGATACGGCTGGGAATTCCGCATAATATAGAGTCTATTATCTTTGCGAGCTGCTAACTTGCTGCAGTTTACACATTAACTTCCGCTAAAAGCCCTTTTTTCGCCAGCATAATGCATTATATAAATATTACGCATACGCCGCGGTGTACGCTAGCCGGAGGTAATGAGTCCGCGGCAAGCGGAATCGCGTGCCCCTCGTCCATTTATCAATTTCGTGGTGGCTAAAAGTGCGCGGAAAACGTTTTCGCTCCGTTTTCGGTGGCTTGCAACCGCAGATAGCAGATAGCAGATAGCACCTGCTGCTCAGCTCAGCTCTCTCTTCTATAAATCTTCCACTTTCACTGCCACTGGCCTGCAATTAAAACGCAATAAAGGATGCATTTAAATTGCCAAAGTGCCAGGTGGCGAAGGGAAGGAAGGGGAGTGGGTTAAAGTGCGGTTTGACTACCTCCTTATTGACTTACTCGCTTCCAATGCTCGGCATGCATTTCCGACCCAAGTGCTCAGCTAAACGGAATGTCTGACATGCACCCCACTCCACTGCGTCACTCCACCACTCCAGCACTCCGGCTTGTTTCGCCCCAAAACTTCTGGCCTGCTCTATTTCGGGGTGCATGCAACTTGGGTTCTATTTCGGGATCGCTTTATAAAAACCGCAAGCCATCGGTGTGCTCACGGAGCAGACATGACCGCCCCAGAGAGAGGTGCGATGTCAGGTGGGTTGCTTGCTGGTGGCTGGTGCCTGGTGGCTGGTGGCAAATGGCAGGTGGAAAGTGGCAGGTGGAAAGTGGCAGGTGGCAGGCGGCAACAAGAGGCTTGTGGCAAGAGGCAGGAGGCAGGAGCCATTGCCTCCAAGGGAACGACTGTTTCATGCCTTGCACGTAGTTGCTGCACTGTCGAAATTTCCTCTTTTTTTCTTATTTTGTCGGTCTCGTTGTTTCGCACTTTTGACAAAGCCAGAAAAAAAGAGGTGTTAAGAGACACATCAGAAGTGAAAAAAAGGTTAAAAGTGGGGTGAATGGTCGACAAGCCTGGCAAGTCAACACTTTTTCCGGCAAGCAAAAGAACAAAATCGTTAGAATGGATATTCAGAAATAGAAGTTTGATAGTGTATTCAGGTTTTATAGATTATGATATTGATACTCGATATAAGTTGTAGCAACATTCAGAGAACTTTTACTTATAAATTTGCAAAATGCAAACAAAGGTTCTGAACTACCAATTACTTGTTTTAAATCCAATTTACCAAATAAAAATACTTTTGCTTAACGTATTTACTAGACAATAAATTTAAATATTTATACATTGTATCACATTTAATGAAGAAAGACAGATACACAACTTTTAATTGAAGAAAGCCCTTATTAAAAGGTCAAAAGTAAGGCAAGTAATTAAACAGGCGGTAATTAAATGTTTGACTTGGAAAAGTTATAACCGCTTTGATGACTTAGAAGTCGAGGAATCCAGCTTCAGCAGCTTCCCCGCCTTCCTTCCCCAATAATTGTTCGTTGGAAACCCAATCCCGGTTTGCTCTATCGGATTTCTTGCGAAAAAAGCAAAAAGCAGCCACAATTCCTGGTTTCCCCCAATGCACTTTAATTGACTCTAAACATTTAGTTGCCTGGCTTTTCCCAGCTTTCTTTTTCCAGCAGCTTTTTGCTGCATTTTAATTGCTCAATTCCGTTAAGTCAGTTGCTGTTTTTAGTTCAAAGTTTAAAGTAATTTATGCTGGACCGCAATAAATTGGGGTGGCAACTAAGAAAGCCAAAGGACGAAGGATGCCGCGTGCATTTTTAGCGCAAAACTTGACCCAAAGTTTGCAGCACTACGCACTATATCTAAAGTAGATTCGCGTAAAAACCAGAGGAGCATAACTTGTCGGAAACTTAGACAGGACTTTCCTTCTTTTTGTGTGGGGGAATTGCGAAGTGGGTGGATTTTGGCCACCAAAAGCTACCGAATGCCAGCCCTCCAAAACGAGTGTTTGTGTTTTTATTAACGCCAAACAACGGCCAACAGATTTCGATAAGCCAAACACTTATGGCCACAATAAAATGCCGGCCAGTCTTAATGGGTGTCAACAGCACGGCCAATAATAATACACCCGTCCTGGCTTTTTTCCACAATTTTACGAGCACTTTATAACAGTTTAATAGCCCGAACAATGAGTGGCCACCCGCCTCCCACCGCCCACCGCCCATTTTCGATCCCGATTGACGCAAAACCGAAGCCACCGAGCACTCGACTCGCGACGAAACTATATTGGTTAATGGCCTGGTGGATGTGGCACTACCACTGGCACTACTTCTACTTCTATGTATATCCTGGCCACAGAATCCAGGATAAGAGGCAAAAGTGACTAGGAGCGCGTGTCTAAAGCGGAAGTCTCAGCGAGCACACGTCTTCCTGCTCGCCCACTTCAACTTTCCATCATCATCAGCGTCTCAAGCCGTGATGAACTTAAACAAATATCTGTGACAGACGGCCAAACATCCATCCAAACTCACACACACTCCCCAGCTCGCCATTCCTGCCACAGAAGGCGTTCCACTCTGGACTTTCGCTTTGAAATCGAAAGCGGACGGTTTCGCGGGATGAGAGCCAACTTTAATAGCTGTTGACAAAGTTGCCCAAACGGCAGCCGTGTTTGTGGGTTTGCTATAAGCCCAGTTTGTGACACGACTTTTGAGTGGCCGGACTTGCGGCCCACAGACGGCATTTCGTCATTTTGTCATTTGGTGGGGCCAAAGGTCAAACTTGTGACAGGCCGCCCTCGATTATGTTAACAGAACTTGATACTTAAGGTTACACACAAAAACGACGGGCCGCTAATTGTCGCTGCCATTATTGAACATTAATTGGCCAAAGAGTTGAACAACCCAAAGGCAATCCGTTCACCTTAGTCTTTTTTACACGGTGAAAATCAGTAGAAAGAAATGTTTGATTTCTTTTCAAGTAGGGGAAAATGAAGATTTAACTTTCAAAGAACTTATAAGAAGAAATTATTTAATTTAAATTTAACTTAAGATCTCCATCGAAAAAGTATCTTAAAATAGTAAATGCTCCTATTATAAAAATATTATAAAAACCCCTTTAAGAAAAGTAACTTTAGCAACAAACTGTTCTGTTGTTATCAGTTTAATTATTAGAGCATTTCATATACAACTGTTACAAACCAAAGCCCAACTAATTGCTCCTTTCTTCGATTATTTTTCTCTATATAAAGGTATCCGCTTCGGGCAAGGGCGTGCTAATCACTGGTTGCGAGGCCCCATTGGCCTGGTACTTGGCCAAGAAACTGGACGACCTGGGCTTCACCGTTTACGCCGGATTCAACACGCCCATCGAGGAGTCGGACGAGGCCAAGATTCTCAAGGAGGAGACCTCGGGCCGCATGAAGCTGCTGCATCTGGACATCACATCGGAGAAAACTGTAAGTTTACATGTGGCAGAGAAGTACCAAGCTCTTAGCCAAGTTCACAACCCGCCTTATCCTCGTTTATCCGTTATCCGCAGATTCTGGAAGCTGCCCGCTATGTGTCGCAGCATTTGCCCCATGGCGCTGAAGGGTTGTGGTCCGTGGTGCACTGTGCCCACTGGATCGCATTGGGTGAACTCGAGTGGATTCCATTTGCCGTGCTGCGCAAGAGCTTGGACCTGAACCTTTTGGGTAAGTAAAGGGGGCGCCACTGTGCACAGGACGAGGGATGCAGTACTTTTGTACCTTAAAATACGTTATTAATCTTTCTTTTTGAAATATTGTTTGTAGGATCTGCCCGCCTCACCCAGATATTCCTGCCTTTGGTGCGCCGTGCCCACGGTCGCGTCGTCTTCCTGACCTCCGGACTGAACCGCGTTCCCTCGCCCGTGAGGGGCATCCAGAACGCCACCCAAGCTGCCGTGGATTGCTTCGCCGCCTGTCTGCGCCAGGAGATGCGCTCCCGCGGAGTGGACGTGTCCGTCGTGGCAGCCGGAGAATTCGCCCCCGGCAATGGCTGGCTGAACGAGACCGAGCTGCGTGACCAGGTGAGAACAGAAGCTAATGGCCACGCTGCACTAATATGCAACATTTAATGGTCGGCACTGAGAGAAAATGTGTTTTACGAGATAGATATTTCAACACATAATTTCCAATATTATTAAATACAACTTAAACTAAGAGATATGTTTGTAAGACTTTGAAAACCATTATCTATAATATACTCATATGAAAGTAAAAGGAAAATTCTTAAACAAATTGTTTCCTTTTCTTGCACAACTTTTGTATTATCATAAAACCTGTGGACAGTAAACCAATATCCCTGCTATTTTCTCTCGGTGAAAGAGCCTTGTCATGCTTTTAGTTCTTTACGATAAAGATAACTATTGCCGAGCGACGGGGACTGCTAAGCAGTTTGCAGAGAACTCATTAACCGCCGTGTTTCCACCATCTTCCCTCCTCTCCTCCATGTTTTCCGCAGGCCAAGCAGATGTGGAACCAGCTTTCCTCGGAGCAGAAGAAGACCTACGGCGAGGATTACTACGAGGCGGCGATGACCTCGGTGGAGAAGTATTCGCGACAGGTGAGCATCCCCCTTCCTCCTTTCTCCTTTCTCCTTTCTCCGCCTTTCTCCCTGGAAACGTGTGTCCGTCGGCTAACGAGTGTTTAATCCCCACATCCTTATTTCCTTCGCAGGCTGCCGATATCCAGCCCACGCTGCGTGTCCTCATCGATGCCGTTACCAGGACCTTCCCGATGGCCCGCTACACCCCGGTGACCTCCGCCGAGAAGCTGCAGATCTTCCTCGCCGAGCACCTGGCTCCCTCCCTCTACGAATCGCTCTACGGCGAACAGAAGAAGTTCGTCTACTGACCAACCAACTGAAGCAAACCCACCCACCAGATCCCCTTTAATCCACGGAAACGGCCCGAAATTGTTATTCGGAAATTGTTATTCATTTATGATTTACCCCGAGAAGTCCCTCCTTCCCCCGCAACCTGCTCCTTGGCGCGCTCGAGAAGGACATCCAGAAAAAGGAACTGTAGCCGGGAGCACTGTTCAAGGAGTTCCGCCAGTCGATGAGCATTTACGTCCTTCCCTCGATTATTCTCATAATTTTCTGCGCGCGCCTGCATAATATTATTTTCTTTAGTTGCTAGAACGAATTGTATAACGATGAATAAAATGAAACGGAAACAATAACCATTTAAGTGCGCCACACTCACTGCACTAAGTGAATTATTAGGAGATGCTTTGCATGGGTATTTGCGGTCTTAAAAATACATTGCATTATATAAATTGCACTTGAACAACTTATATGGCTGTAGTCACAACCAAATGGTGCATTAAAAGTTTAAATTGGCTTTTAAAATGTTTCTAAATTGGCATTAGTAGTTTGCCAACCTAAGTTAACTTAATTATATATGGCAGATGTGTAATCAACTGCCTACCAATCAATGAAGAATTTCCTCCTTTACTTTCCTTTCTTTTTGTGCATATTTATCTTTTACTTGTCTTTGGGCTGCATTTTTTGAATCCTGTTAATTGCTTTTGATTGGCATTGGCCGAGTGGAGTGGCCTAGTGCATTTTATGGTGCGATCTGGGAGACATCCGGATGCATAAGCAAGCCATCTAAGCCCCCTCTCAGTGGCAGACTAAGCTTAAGTGCTGTGCCAGGAGCAGGGGAGTCATGGTTAAGTCGAGTGACAGAGCTGCCATAAAAATAAATTCAATAAATTTTTAATGCGTTTGATTCGAAGCAACAATGACATTTCCGCCGCCGACGGAAGCCAAGGACTTTTCGCGACAGGAGCTCAGGTGTTGGGAGATTCCCACTTCGCCCAATGAGCTCTTCAGCTGTTCAGCTGTTCAGTTGTTCAGGTTTTCAGCTGTTCAGTTGTTCAGGTTTTCAGCTGTTCAGTTGTTCAGGTTTTCAGCTGGAAAGGGACACCACCAAGAAGTGCATAACTGGCGCATAAATCTGCCATGGCTGTTAATGTAAGCCGCAACTGGCGGATATGGCCATACTTACCGCCCCAAAGGAGCTGGCACGTTCGAACTTTTTAGGGGCAAAACAACGAAAAAAATAAAGTTGCATGGGAAATGAGTCGGTTAGCTAAAAATACACACACCTGCCACACATATTTTTCCGCCAGCAGCCAAGGGCAGCCAACTCTGACCAATGCCTTCCGCAAATGGCGATGGCTGGCATTCCGAACCGAAACGAAAACCTTTATCTGTCAGCTTTGCCGGTGTTTTTCTCCCGATTCAATATGTACATACCTATAGGTAGGTAATCGTATTATATTCAGCCATGTGCAACACTTCCTGCGCTTTTGTCGCCAGTCCAGAAATTATCCGTATTAAAAATTTGTCGCATTCTCTGTGCGGAATTCCATGTGCGGAAAGCCAAAAGGTCCATCTGAGGCTTCCGATGTGAGCGATTGTTGTGTGGAAACTGGGTTGCCTTTTCCCCATTTCCCCTTCACTCTATCTCATTTCCATTATGCCGCTCGCATTTAAACTTCGATGCCTGGCAGGGATTCCGTAGCATATTTTATGCTCGCCGTCCGGAACTTTCACATGGAAACAAAACTCGGACTGCCCGGCGGGCGATTGGGAAACTATGTTTCACATAGTAAAATCTTTTTTTAGCCTGGCACATTTTCTCCATCCGAGAGCGAGTTGCTAGCCGAGTATGGAAATTGAAATTCAAAATGACTGGGATGTCGGAGAAGTGCTGGTAAGCCAATAATGAACAAACTAAGGCTCTTCACGTGATTAAAAGAGCTGCTTATCATCAAGGAACTTGTACTGATGAATGAAACTGCTCTTAGTACAGCTTTTCGTAGCTTTAACCTTTAAAACCAACAGATTTATAGCACTTTGTGTGTAAATAGCAGGCATCAGTCATCAATTGGCTTGGCATTTTCCCAAGTACACAAATAAAACAAAGTGCTTTTCCCAAAGTTGTTTACCCTTGAAACTGAAATAGTTTGCCGAGTGCAGAAAATCAAAAAAAGGCATACAAACTTAACACATAAAATCGCATTTTATTGTTTCGATAAAAAGTAGTTTTCACACATTTATCCATTTATTTATTTTTGCTTCTGTTTCTGTTTCGTTTTTTTTTTTTAATTTTTGTTTTTAAGTTACAAATTACAATTTCCAATTGATTCCTGTGGACACAACGTAAATGTAAATTGAATTAAATTCAGGCCTTTAAAACCCTTTGAATAGTGCAGCAAATTGTGCTTATTCATTGATGCAGCGTAAATACAAAAAAGAGAGAGGTTTAAAAACCCTTTTTATTAAATGTATGTGCCTAGGGTGAACGTTTATTCGATTGCTAATTGATTTAATTGAGATTCAATTACAGTAAATTTTTGTTGCTCCCTAATAACCCAAACTGTTTTATTTGGTTTTTATTTTCGGTGTGTGACCTTCACAAGGATACGCTATGGAAAATATACTATATCTATATCTATTCGCCTAGATAAGATCTATTCTGCGATTCGTTGATCGTCCGCTGAGTGAGGTGAGGATAAGGTTTTCTAGAACTGGAGAGTCGGCCTTTGAGGCGCTATTCTCCAGCTTTTTGGCTTAAAGAGGCTATTGGTCTAGGAACAATTAGCGGCTGATAATAGACATTCAGGGTGAGAGTTGCTCTACGACAATGTGGGCTCGAAAAATACACAACTTTCAGATCTATAGAGGGTATATACTTTATAGAGATAAAACCCCACGGTACAACCATCCAAATCGGTCGCTTCAGTGTCAAGTGCCGTCATCAAAACGTTTTCCAAAAATACTCCTTCTCGCCATTATACCATTATACCATTATAAACTCGTACAAATACCGTATATACATTTTCAATTCCCACACTCCAATCTCCAATCTTCGTTGAGAAAAGGACTCTTTAGCAGGATAGTTCCGTGGATCGCCTGGCAGCATCGCTCCTTGCCGAGTACTCGTTGTCCTTGGGCTCACGTCCTGTGATATCCGCCAGCGAATTGGGATCCATGTTCGACAGCTTGTCCAAGTCATCATCGTTCATGTAGTTCGTCTGCAATTTGCTAACCAACTTCCGCAATCGCTCCGCATCCAGCGATGTGCGACGCAGATTGGCATTATAGTCGCTGGGCTGCGTGGCAAATGGAAAACGCAAAATGGGAAATCGCAATGAAAGGAGCGCTCATCAAAGCCCAGGATGAAGGGTTAAAGGGTAGAAGGGTGGAAAAACAACTCACATCGCGCCACTGCTCGCCGGGAAAGACGGCAATCAATTCGGCATTTGGCTCCAGAGTGCTGAAGTACTCCTCGTCGTCGATTTCGGTGCCATCGCAATCCAGGTGTATCGCCGGCTGAGCCCGCTCGAATTTCACCGACACCTTCACCCGCAACTCCGACAGCGTTGTGGCCACGACAGCCTTGCGGATGTTCCGCGTGATGTCCTTGATCTGCAATGGAGGCGCCGGATTACTAGCAACTTTACGCCGAATTCAGGCCCTGAATTGACACGCCGGAAATTGCAATGCTGCGATAGAGAAGGCTTAACTAACACACTGCTAGAAAGCAGGGTGTGCTTTAAAGTTAATTAAAAATTTAAGTTATTTGGGAGTGTTTGAATTCTGAAATCATTTACGTAATTATACCCCTGCAGAAGGTATTGTAATTTAAATAAGAAGTTTGCAACGCAGTAATGGAGACACCTCAGACCCCATAAAGTATATAAATTCATGATTAGCACTATAAACTGAATAGAATTTTCCAAAAAATGGGTTTACTGGGTTTAATTTTCATCAGAATTTGAAGTGGCATACAACTAAACGTTTGTATTCCAAATTTCTTACGAACTGCATAATTTCCAAAAAATGGTTTCAGATTTTAAAGTGAATTTTGCTCGAAATTTGTGTTGACTGCAAGGGTATATAAGCTTCGGCTCGCTGATGCTAGATTTCTTTCTAGTTTTTTCACTTATTCATTAGGGGGGAATTCTTTTAAGATATCAGCAAACAAGAATCTTCTTTAACAACAAGTATTTGCCACTTCCTATGTATATTAGCTACCAATTAGTGCTCGATTATATTCAGAGCGCTAATTAAAATGGCAATGCAAGAACTGATAATTTTTGCTGTCGCCCTCTTTCAAAATGAAAATCCAGTAAAAGTTTTAAATGGTTTGCAGAAAGAAAAACCAATACTGCACATTCAGAATCAATAACTTTACCAATTTTATTGTGGCTTTAAGGTGGAATACCTCAATTATTTGTGGTCCGATCCGAAATAAAAATATGCAATACAATTTTTCCTTTTAATAAAAGTTTATGTAAAAATGTAGTACCACCCCACAACTATTTTCCCTACTTTCAAGGCCAATAATTTCCTCATTGGCCAAAGAATTTGCAGTGTTTCCAGCAAGCTTCTCCTAAATGTTATTACCTTCTTTGGCTTTCTCCTTTCAAGAATTCGCGGCTTGGTTTCAGATTTTATAAGAGCGTTGAGAAAGTTAAGTTAATTTGAGTGGTCTGCTGTGAAGATTTTACAGTAAAAGTAAAACAAAAGAACACATTTACCTTGAATTCGATATAAATGCAATCATTGAGCTTGTTGTTTCTAAAGTTATATTTTTTTTCAAACAACGATGTACATGATAAAGCCAACACCGGAATGTTTACCCAGCAAAAATGTTTGCCGTAGTCAATGCTTTAGCCACACATCTAGTCCATTAAGCTATAACAACACTGCGAAACACAAAAGCCCGGAACATTTATTTGCTTTAATTTGCAGGAGAGCCGCAAGGCGTTGTCAATAAAAACAATATGAAGTTAACGAAGCGCGGCGAGAAAGATAAGGAAAATTCTGGGAAAAAAGACGCAGGTTAATTGTTATGGAGATGTATAGAATTCGAGGGTAAGGTGAAAGTGCCAGCAGCAACAACTAATCAATTTATCATTTGCCATAACAATAAGGCCAACACGAACAAAGGGAAGGTCAAGGCACACACAACTCGGCACAGGCATCCGATTATATTTTTCTACCTTTCTACTACCTTTCTGCTCCTCTGACTGGGCCTCTTTTCGGGCCTAAAAGATTGCTACTAAAATATTTAAAGCATAATGCTGTCGATTCCAAACAGTCGGCCGAGGCCAAGTATGGATGGTTGGATGGATGACTGGATGGATGGATGGATGGCTGGTCAAGCGAAAGGTGAAGGAAGAAAGGAAAACAACGTGAAAATGGTCGAGTGAAAAGGGGGAAGGGAGAGCACGGTCAAAAAGTTGCCAACGCCTCCATTGTGTTTCACTTGGCATTACGTATACGCCCCGCGTTCGTTTGGGAATATTCTGATAAATTGCCAAGGGGTGCGACTCTCGTTTTGACAGATCTTCAGGTGTCGCCGGTTGACAGCCGACTGTCAAGCGGTTTGTGGCCATTTAATCGCAGCCTTCACGCTCGCCAAATCATCTGACACAAAAGAGTCCCTTCCTTCCTTTTCGCTTTTTATAGCCCATCAATCAATCCCCCGACCAGCAGTCTGCTAAACCAATTATGCGATGCTTAGGGAATCCATCAAATGGCCGAAACACCATTACCATTTCACGTCTGGAGAAAGTCTGGCTGGCCAGTCAGCTACAACAATGAAAATTTATCATGCATTTAATGCGAATTTCAATGGCCATTAATGCCGAGTGGCTTGCTGCTTTTCTGCTCGAAAGTTGCCATTTTGGCATTTCGGCATTCTCTGTGTTGCCACGCACTAACTACATTCAATCAGCTCTCCTGCCACGAAGTCTGGGCCATATGCCAATGCCCTGTGGCTTTGTTTGCTCTACGGCACTCTTTCGCTTTCGCCTTTGTTGGCCCATCCAGTTGCTGCTGCCAGAAAGTCATTATAACTTGGCTTTCTTAACCGACCGACTGCTTTCCCCCGTAAAGAATGTAGATTCTCACATCGCTTTTGCGAGTGGCCGCCGTTGAACTCTGACTTTTCGGCCAATCCCTTCAATTGGCTGCCATGGCTGTGAATTAAAGTGGCTTCTCCTGATGCACTTAGTGTCTCGGCCTGATTTGCGGTTCACTTTCGGCCGAGTTGAAGTCCCTGGTTTTCAGAAGCAGACAAATATTTACCCCGCTGCGGTTGCGCCAACGGCGATTTGCCCTCGCATTTTTGTTTGTCTGCGTCCAGCGTCAATATTTTCCCTGTAAATTCATCGTTTGCATAGCAGGAGCTGCGGCAGCAGAAGCAGAAGCTGCGGCAGTAGAGGCAACATCATTAGAGGAGGCGACAAACAAGCCAGGAGCGTGACAAGGACAATGCGCAGGACTCGCAGTGCAGCCATGAATTCATCATGAGACAGCTGAGATGGCTGTTCGCTCGGGAAGCGGTCGTTCAAATAGCACTTAGGACCGGTCAGGATATGCAAATTACGCCAGGATGCTAGCAATTATAGAATACCAAACCAATTCGAGTCCTTCCATTGGGGGGAAAGCCCGAAAGCGGAGCTTGGCTCGGTAATGGAAGCCGCAGCAATTTCGATTGGCCCAAGGTTGCTGGACCCCCAAATTGCTTTGATCTGCCTGCGGTGTCCATTGTCCAGCTCGTTTTCCCTGCCTTCCAGCTCCCAGCTCCCCTTTCCCACTCCACTGCATTTATCGGAGACGCTGGAGCACTAATTTCCCCTGATTGTCATCATAATGTCATGGCAACACATTGTTTTGGGCAGTGAAAGAAATTAGATGAGGATATTGGGTTAGCAGAAAAGGAAATGTTTGTACTTATAAGTTAGTAGCCTCTACCTATATTTTTTAAAATAAAATTTAAGTAAATGTATGAAATACAAAATAAAGAAATTTAGAAAGAAATTGTTAATTACTTTTAGTATATTTTACATACTTTCTTTCAAAGAAACAATTCCTCATAAATAAATTAAGCGAATTCAATTCATATTCTTTAGTATATTTTATATATTTTCTTTCAAAGAAATAAATCCTCATAAATAATCCTCATTAATAACTTAACTTAACTTAAGCGAATTCAATTCTTATTCCAATTCAAACGGTTTTCAACTGACTTCGACTCAACCTATTTCGCTCAGTGTGCTGCTTTGTCCTGCGGAAATCATTAGCATCGCTCATTCATTGGAAGTCTGCGACCCATGATGAGTTGGCGACTGCTTTTAAAATTGTCGACGCATTCCACACTTACACGTCCTTATTAGCTTACTTATTGCAGGGGAGGGGGGTGCAGAGGAGTGTTGTTGAGCGGCACGCTTGCCTGGACATGAATAATGCTCGTTTATTTGGCTTGATGCGCAACGTAGCGTATACGCAATGTCTCAGTCTCAGTGGGCGAAATGTTTCTCCGAAATGTTTGCTCTTCACTTCTCCTTGTTTGTTTGTTTGTTTTGTTTGTTTTGCTGGTACCTTCCGTGCGGCGTGTCTGCTGGTAATTTAATTTCCGTCCCGCACCTTGTCAGCCTTCCTGTTCATCTCTCTCCATTTGGTTGGCTCAGACTTTATTTTGAGCCATTTGCATTCCCCAAAAAAGAGAAGAAAAAATAGAAATACCCATGCGAAGGTGGACGCAATGGCTCTGACATGAAAAGCGCATTTACGTGTTAACCGAACGGACGGAAAGGAGCAGAGTGGATTTCCATCCAATGAGATTTGTTTTACTGCGACTTAATTTCCTGCTAGCACCAGAGATATGCTGGGCTACCACAGAATTCTTTTGGGGCCAAGCAGAATGAATAAGAATTCCAGCAGTGTGACATAAACAAAATTCAGTTAAAAACTGTCTCTTGCATAAATTGTACTTGAAAGTCCTGAATTTCCTTTAAAATCTGTACTAAGATAACTTTTTAAGAAAAGCAAAATAAACAAATTATGGAAATTATGCCAAAGTTGTTATAACCTCTTTTACTTTAAATACCAATTGCTTTCACTTATTTTGCTCAATTAGCGAAAGGGTTATAATCCACTTGGCTGCGAAGTTCACATCAAAGGATTTCCCAAGCAGCACACCAACTTTTTATGAAAGCCTACTTAAAAACCAATCAATTTGCTCTCAAATAAATCTCAAGCCGAATCATGGAGATCTTCTAACCCTGCTGCATAAATCCACTTCGTGTGCCGGCATATTAATAGCTCAAGGATTATCACCTCTCATGTTAATTCCCACTCGCATTCAGTTTGTTGAGCAATTAGTCAATGAGATAAAATCTCCAGGCATTCCAGTGTTTTTAATCACAGGCTTAGCGCAGTCCCTCGAGCACTCGATAGCAAAAGAGGATGGGAGGGCTCTTCATCAGAAGACGGACAAGATGAGGGCTTATTAATTAGCTAAGATGCGCATGAATTACTCATACGTCACGTGGCCCGCAAGCAGCCATCATCGTGAGAGTTCGCTGCCACTGACAAATGACATCGCGTTGCGGCCACGTCGAGCTGCCAATTAATTGCCTTCGCCTGGCGAATTTACAGCCACTTGACGATGGCTCGCTGGGCTTATCCGCCGCTCAGTCGGCCAGATGCCGATCTCTCCTCTTGGCCAGTTTATGTATATTGTTATGGCGGTGGCTTTAATGCCGTTAGCACACAATAAATCGATTAGGGTTGCCGAGGCGCCTCGTTAACGTTATCGCCGTGCACAGATGTGGGCGAGACGGCTTAGATGTGGGCGTGGCAAGTTCAAGGAGGAAGGAAGGGGAAGGGGGAGGGGGGAGAAGAATTGGCTGGCTGGTTGGCTCGCAATGATATACTAGCCACTTTGGCGCCCGCATGCGGATGCTACTATTTTATCCAGCCGAACAGTTTGAACATTTTAATTAAATTTCAATTGTTGAACGGTTACACGGAAAAAAAAGAAAGGGTTGTCACATATGATCGCAAGTGACTGGAGAACTTAATCAAATCAGTAAACGTTTATATTACAATACTAAGTATAAATAATTTGATTTTCAAGAAATAAATTTCCTCCTAATCATAAAATATATAATAAAAGTTTCAAAATATTCTTTGACAATTTCTTTGCGTAACTCGAAAATCTAATAAAACTTGGCTTGGGAAGAACTATTAGTGACCTTTGTCCTTTTTTTCCTGGGCTCTAAATTGGCTTCGGCTACGGCTACGCAATCTTTATAGTCAAATAGTGTTTGGCGCGGAGAAAAATAGGAAATGGAAAGGGCGAGTGAAGGAAACAGCTCTGTTTTCCCGGAATTTTTGTTCCAGCAGCGCGCCAACAACGGATTGAAAATGAAAAGTTGGCCAATGCTTAAAGGGCGAATAAAGCACTGGCAGCAACACTTCAGTGGCAGAGTAGCAGTGGCGATGTCGATGATGCCACTCAACGCCGAAGGCTTTGAAGTGGCCGTTCCACCGTCGGTTGGCTGGAACCCTTCACTTGGCTCCTCCTGACCGTCAAACTTTTTCCACCTCCACTTAATTCTTTTTCCACCCCATCCCGTCCCCCTTTTTTCTTTTTTTCCGTTTTTTTTGTATTACCAACAAGCGTAACAAAAGCGCCGCAGTAATCACTTAACGAAATGCTGGCCGAGTTAACAGAGGGAACAGGTAGCAGGTAGCAGGTAGCGTGGCTAAATGCCACAAAGGATGTGCGAGTGTGCGGAGGATACCCACCTTAAAGGGCTTGCTGTTGTCCAACTGGGCGAAGTCCTCGTCGGCGGTGGTGGGCGATGGAGTGGGCGTGGTGCTGCTGTGCGGCGATAGAGCCAATTCCAAGGTGATGCTATCCGCCGCATCGTCCACGTCCGCATCCAACTCGATGTCCTCGCCATCCGCCTCCATTTCGGCGGTGCGTGTTAGAGTTCGTTGACGCGGCGGTGGAGCCACTATCCTGGTCTCGGGATCACCACCTGCAGGATTTTCACCTCCTAAAGGATTGCTTCCTGCAGATCCTGACACCTCTGTATCCTTTTGCGGCATTTCAGCCTGCTTTGTTTCGTCCGCATTCATTTCTGTCATTTATTGCACTCTCTCGTCTCGAAAGTTTGCACGTCCTGTCTGGACTCCTTGGACTCCTCGTTCTCCTCGTTCTGCTGAAGTTGAAAAGCATGGTCGAGTGATTTATGACAAGCAAAACAAATTCGAACGATAATTGAAATATTCTGTATGCGAGTGTTTTTGAAGCCACTGAAGCAAACATAATAAAACTGGAGGAATTTGTGTTATTGTTATTTCAGATGTGTGTTTGCATTGAACAAAGCGTTCATAGCGAAACTGAAGTTTGGCATTTGCTTTGGCTTTGCTTTAAAAAAGTTTTTCAATTGGCAAAACGACCGCAAAAAGAAATCGCTTTTGACCAAAATGGAGCCAGACAACTTTATTGCTTTGTTCTCAAAGCCAAACATGAACTTTAAACTGTTGTAAAGTTTTTCCTATTTTGTTGGCATTTTTACGTTTAATGATTTTTGATTTTTTGTTTTCTACCACTACTAGAGTTTTTCCATAGTTTTTAGTCTGTAATTTCATTTAAATTTGTGTTGTTTCAGCTGGAAATTAATTTCACTGTTTGAACTTTTTCTCACTTTCTGGTGCTAGCTAATGGTTCTTGTTTCATTTATATTTGTTATTTCATGTACAGTTCGTTAACTAATTGAATTGCTTTTTCACTGTTATTATTGTTTACATCTCTTCAGTAATTAAGACTGTAATTTGTATTTTAATGTAGCACCAAAACCACACATAACTTTAACGCAACCATTTCACTCCTCATTACCTTTCACCTTAATTTTAAAGAATCAAACTCTTTACATTTTTCGAAGATATAGACGCGATTTGGATTAAGATCGCGCGCCGCTGCTCCACAGCAGCCAAGTGCAACAAAAGCCGGCCGAACTTGGAATAAATTGCCAGACGTCTGTGCGTGCTGTATTTAAACAAGTGCGGAGGACTCAGGACTCGTTGAATTTGCCGACAGCTTCGGCCAGCGCAAAAACACACAGTGCAAAGTCAGAAGGTCCTGCAAACACACCAGGCAAAGTCTAACCTTCGTGGAGCTTTGGCCGTGAGAGCAGGATGCCCCAAAAGAGAGAGCATTCTGTTAAGATGCTGTTAGCCAGGCCAAGCTGGGCGTGCCGGGCTTAAACCAAAAAAAGGGTTTGAGGCCGAAAAAAAATAAAGAAATAAAGAAAAAAAACTTTGGTCTGGGATCGGGACTCTATGACCTGTGAAGTGGGAAAAGTTTACTGGAGCAGCTGCAAATAGTTCTACTTAGCCGGAACCACAACAACACCAAAAAACACAAAAAAAACCGAGCAGGACAAACAACATTGTAGATGCAAGGCGTGCTGGCAAATATAAATAAATTTCAGCCTGAACTTTCGGCGTAAGGGCAAAGTTTAAAAATGCAATAAAAATAAAGTTGGCAATTTTGGGGGCCGGGAACTCCGGCGGGCAGCTGAAAAATGTCACTTCGGCATAATGAGACTACTGGCTGCATAATTAAAATGCCGAGCAAACGTCCATGGGCCAAAAGTTTCAACAAAGGTGCATTGCTTTTGAGGGCGAGACAAAAGCCCTAGATTTATTGGCATTTGCATCATCATTTGGGGAGGGTTAAGATTGGGCGACTTTTGCGGAAATTGAATGCTTAAAATGCATGGAAATCCCCGCCTGCATTCTGATCGAATTTGTTTGCTTTTGGGGGACAGAGAACAAACCGCACAAACCGAATTTATAACTGAGCTGGGCTTACAAAGCAGAAATATTGCGCATACGCCATGGGAGCCAAGGTTAATTTGATTGCCGGGTCGCGGAAATCCAGCATTTGACATCGATAAAACTCTGATTGTCACAGCAGTCACGTGATGGACCATTATATATCTTTCGTTAACGCTTTTAAAAGCCTTGCCATTCAATACTACCTGGGATGCATATTTGAGTCGAAAAAGAGTGGCATTTGCGGGCATATTTCGCACGCTCAACTGTTTATTCGCCCTTCTGGGCAATCATTTCCGCCCTCCATTTTCCATTTCCCATTTTCCCATTTACCGCCAGCGGCCGGGGCAAATAATTTATGGGCCGTGGTTCGCTAATTGTGCATTGGAGCGCGGCGCGAACAACTTTTCGCATATGCAGCATCGGGGCAGCAAACCAGCAACGCCATCAATTTAAATGCATAGACGGCTGTTGCAAATTGAAATTTATGCGTCTGGGCGGCAAAGGGAGGAGGCTGGCTGGCAGACTCCCTTCATCATCAGCTGCCACGTTTAATTGCGATGCACGATGCAGGCGGCAGGATGCAGGATGCACGAGGAGGAGGAGGAGGAGGAGGAGCGACCTTCGCAGTCTGGCCAGCAGTTAGATTAATTAACTCACATGTCGTCGCAAAGGTCACGCTCGTCGCATGTGGCGATGATTAATGGTCGCTGATCCTGATCCGCCGGACCTTTCCTACTCCAGTTTGGCCATGGATTTGTGGCCCTCTTTTTTTCGTTGGCAAAAACTCGTCAAAACACACGAGCGATGCGGGTAAATGGCAAATATTTGCGCCTGCTGTCAGCAGTCAAAACGAAATTAAACGGAGAAAAAATTGCATTTCAATGCGGGGCGACAAAAAATGGGAAACATTTTAATTAAATTAAAATAAATGCGATGGGAAATATAATGAAAGAAAAGCCTGCTGGTATGTAACAAGCAATTACATTCCCTTTTAATGGCACACTTAATTATTTTGTATGGCGAATGGGCCTTCATTTCCACCTACAGCCAGTTGGCATTAATTGCTTTAATGGCCAACAAACCTGTGCGTATTTGTGCCCACACTTTATGGCTCAATGAAGCTGGTGGGCCTTAAACATGCAGTACAGTGTACAATCGAATGGCCGCTGGACCTTCCGACATTCTCCTAGTGAATCCAGAAGGAATCCCTTTCCCTGGAGGCAACAGCGAATGCACGGCGAGCTCCAAGGATGCGCCATGTCCTTTTGCAGCTGCCGTAAACTGGTTGTCATCTCCTGCTGATCCTGCGGAAGGTCATTCGCCCAAACGGCCAGCTGCGAGAGCAACTGCATCACGATAAACAAAACAGTTAATTTCATATTTGTGTTTGCCAAACTTGCTCAGATTTTTATTACTGACAGCTGGCTCGTTGGCTACACTCAAACTAAAATAGTACATAAACAAATAAATAACTGCTAAAAGAATGTAATGCTAGAAAACAGAAAGGTTATGTATTTTCCTACCAGTAAGTTAGCATCACTATGTTCTCCCATTAAATATACAATTTTAACTTGAATTATTAATGAACTTTTTCTGTCTTTATTTCAATTTAAATTTTTGTACTCAAATAAAAATGAATATTGAAATTGATTTTGCTTTAATACTCGAATCCCACATAACCAATATTGGACGTAAATTGGATTAATTAATAAACGAAATATTCAATTTAGGTTGGCCTTTCCGCCAAGCTCAAACACATATAAAGCCATTGAATTACAAATTCATATACAAACATATTCCATTTGAATACACCAAAGGCTTCTTCTGTGGCACCCAAATTAAATTACAGTCAATAATTACGAACTGATGGTGATTTCTTCTTTTTTTTGGGTGTAGGAACATACTGCGCATATCCGCCGACGTAATGACTTCCGGGTGGCAAAAGCAAACATCCAAATGGGGCAATCTAAGCACCAGTTTGCGGCTGCCAGCGGCTCTAACTGCACAATTATGGACCGCCCCCTGGCCGCCCACAAAGTCGCTGATTTGCCCCGCCCTCGCTTTATATGGGCGAAAAGTGCCACGGGGCGCATTAGTAATGCCCATTGCGGCATCTATTACACAGTGCCTTGTTTATGTGCAGCACACACCCACCCACCCACACACACACACACACTCACACACACATATGTGCTCAAATAAAAATCAACAGCCAGAGGCGAGTGCTCAGCTTTCCTCCCCTCCCCTCATCTCTGCTCTCCTAAGGACTTCCTGGCCCCTCGGTACCCTATCCTTGACATTTATTTGGCCAAAATGTGTTTGTAAAACAAAAAAAAAAAAAAAGAGGAAAGTGGAAAAAGGCAAGCAGCAGAAATTGTAGAGAATTATGTCCTCGTTGGGGAGAAAAGCGACTCGTTAGTTGAGTCGAGAAAGACTTCATTCGATATGTTGTTTACCCAGCCACGCCCCCCTCACCGTCGCCGCCTTTTTGTCGTGAGACGTTTGACATTTCTGCTTAGTGGATTGAATTAGTATGTGTGGGTGGGTGCTTGTATTTGTGTTCGTGTGTGCATGCAACAAGCTCCTAGGATAAAGCAATAATGATGAGCTAAATAAAGTGGCGAAATCTGATTTGATTTCCACTAAAGCAAATCCACTGTCAATGGGTTGGCAAATCTAGAAAATAGGAAACAAATATGGAAAAATAAAAGATAAATTAAGTTTGATTCATTTGAAATTCTTGCTTAAATCAAAACCAGAGGTTAACTTAAAACTAGAGAAAAGATTTAACACAAAAAGCATGCAAAACTTTTCCGGATACCATAAGTTCTTTCGACATTTCTTTGCCGAAAAGTTTACTAAATAGGCAACCAAAAGCGTTGGCAACCATTACATGTTAAACATTTCCTTGACAACCCAACAAGTAAACAAGTTTGTTTTGATTTCAAATAAAAAGTAACAGGAAGTCTGTAAAATCCCATTTAAATAGAACTTCGATTGGTTTTTGGTTGCGTTCCAACAGCCTCCCATCCACACTTACCCTGTAATGTAAAAGAAAAACCGCAAAAGAAAAGCGAACTCAAGTGCGTGTGACAATTTTCTTATCCAGTCACGCCCACCGCAAAAGCCAGTGAACATCAAAAGCAGTCAAAAGCAGGCGACCGGCGGTTTTAAGTTACAATTTTAATATTTTTGTGCGCTTTCCGCACGATGATTTCTGGCTTTCCCTGGCTTTTCCTTTTTTAACGCCCCCTCAAACAAACGAACACACACAAAAAAGGGCGCAATTCGCCGAGAGGACAAATTAAAAACGCAGCCAAGGAATGAAGGGAGTCAAAAGGTTTTTCCTGCGTTAATAAGGGGAATTAAGTGTGTGGCATGGGGACGTGGGGCAAATTCAATTCATCAAAAGCCAGGGCCACGCCCACAAAAAAAAATGGGAAAAAAGGGGGCGAATACCGAATAGCAGTGCTGTCGTCACGAATTTGGGTCACCCGGGAGCTTTGAACTGTGTTACTAGGCCAGTGCAATCAGCTAGCCAGGACCTGCAAACGTCATAGCGTTGTGACGTCACGAAGGAAGTTGAATTCAGGCGAAGAGAATGGCGTCGAGTAATGCAATTAGACGGCAGGACTCGCTCTCTGCTGCTGCTGCTGCTGCTGCTGGAAGGTTCAGGAAACTCGCTCTTTTGCCAGCGGAAGAGCAGGATGCACTCCTTACGCCCTGTTGCACACGCTTTTGTACATCGCGCATACGCCCCGTTTCGCCAACTAGCCAGCCCAGCCAGCCAGGATAGTTCAATCAACTCTGCTTTAATATTCATTTATTTATTACTTGGTTTGTCGTGTATATAGTTTGCCTCGGGGTTTCTGCCTCTGTTTCTGTTTTCGATTTGTATCTGCTGTATGCGCGTTTCACTATATTTAATAATTGTTTTTTTCGGTTTGCATTTGGTTTTCGGTTTCGCTTTCGTTTTCGCTTTGGTTGGCGTAAACGGCTCTCCTTATTGCTTATTCGAATTGTAGACAGTTACCAACTTTAATTGGGCAATTGCAATTTGCGTTATTGTGTTCCTTTATTGTTTAACTTGCTAACAATGTTTGCTGTCGCTTAAATTCATTTCGGCTATAGATTCGAGGGGTGGGCGGGGGGATTTAGGAGGAAAGTGGGGATCCGTCCCGAACCGCTCAAACCACGAAAAAACCTATTACACATAAATACAGTCAGTCTCAATTGGCCTTTAACGAATGACATTCACAATGGCATTGGTCTAAAAACAATTTTTGATGTGCGTTTCGATTTTACCTACTACATTCTCGTAACTAACACAATTTACACGACAAGCAAATCAACAACAGTTTCCTGGGAGTTTGCATTTATACTCTTATCGTATTTATCCAATATCCAACCAATTCGGGCTCATCATTCGCAGTGGGTTCACTCATCTATTTTCGCCTACGCCTGGGGCTCTACCTCAAGAATAATCCTTAACTCGCTAACCTTTGATTAATATTATATTTATCTAGTACGGCTGTTTGTGGCGTGTGTATAATTGGTTAAATACGTTTCCTCTCTCTGATCTCTGATTTCTGATTTCTAACTTCTGACTTCTGAATGTGATTGCTAAAAGACTCCTCGAATCTGTGGGTGAACTCCTCGCCATCGTGTTTAATTCTAGTACGTGTATTGTTCGTTAACTTTCATTTGCTCTTAGATACTATGAAGCATTCTCCGTGACTTTGTTCATCGCTTGATTTTGTCTCTGTTCCGATTCGCTGATTCGCATCGCCATTTGCCTAATTACATGCTACAAATACGATTTATGTTAACCCAATGTTGCAGGACTGATGTCGTCGGTATATCCTCATGGATCTGATTCTGATTCTCATTTTGATTTTGATTCCTACTCCCTTCCTTCCGGAAATCCTCCTTAGTCCTCCGCCGGCAGACTTCACCTCAGGCTGCCCAGAATGGGCAGTCAGATGTCTCCGTTGGCATTCGGATTCCTGGCCGGATTGCCATTGGCATTGGCGTTCGCCTCGTTGGCCGCAACCTCGGCGGCGGAGGAGCCCAGGGTTCCGTTGGCGGCGGAGGAGCACGTGGAGGTGGCCTCGCCCACCGTGATCGTTATCGTCGTGTTCTGATTGTCGCACTGCACCACCTCGATGGTGCGGGTGTTGCTGGTGGTGGTGGTGCTCATCTGTCCGCTCTCCGCCTCGTTCAGCTGGCGTCCAATCTCCCGGTCGATGGCCTCCGCGTCCTCGGGATAGCGTTCCGAGCAGAAGATGGCGCCGGCCTTAAGCAGCTTCAGCAAGTTCAAGCGATCCTCGGCATTCCGCTTGGCGCAAAGGGGTCTAATATAGAAAAGAGTCAACATTAGTCAAGGGGTTATAATAACATGCATAAAAAGAATTATCTAATCAAAAAAATATTATCTTATAATAATAATATAGTATACGAATTATAACATAAGGCGTTTGATATTTTTGTTATTCAATTAATTGAAAATAAATATTTCACTGATTGTTTAAATAATGTACAAGTGTCGCTGGTATTCTTTAAATTATTTTGAAATTTCTATTAGCTTTTTACCCTTGAAGTTTATGACTTAAATGACTTTCAACTCTTGAAAGAATTTTTGAACCCCTTTTAGCTCACCTTCCCGCATCCTTGAGCTGCTCCATAAACTCCTTGCCCGTGATGTCCACCAGCGAATTGGGATCCATGTTGGAGAGCGAGTCCAGGTCGGCGTCGTTCATCACGGACACGTTGCAGAGGTTGTTCTGCAGCTGACCCACCAGCTGGCGGATGCGGGCCGACTCCGAGTTGTTGGCATCGGTGGTGTCGCCTCCCTCGCCTCCGGCGGCAGGATCCCCGCCGGTTCCGGTTCCTCCGTCGGTGGCATGCGGAGTGGTTATGGTCACGTAATGCGTGGGCTATAAACGGAGTGCAGATAGCATTTAATTTAATCTCTCCGGCTTTGGTTACTTGGTCACGAGGCGCACTCGTGGCACCCCAGGAATAATGCAATTAGTCATTATGGCAGATAAAAGGAGGGACAAATAAAATGAATTATCCAATTAAGTGGTGCTCACTTGGAGAAAGCAGTTACTTTATATAACGAATCAATTAGAAATACTAGTTTTTGAGGGTTTAAGTAAGTTTTAATAAAAGAAATAATGCTTGGGGGTATAGAAATTAAGTTAAACTATCTTTAAGCTACATTAAATCTTTTTCTTAATAAAGTAGGATATTTTTTTTCCAAGTGCACTCACATCTATCCAGTGTTCACCAGGGAAGACGGCCACCAGTTCCGTGTTCTCGTCGAGGGTGCGGAAGTACTCCTCGTCGTCGATCTCCGTGCCATCGGAGTCCAGGTGGATGGTGGGCAGGTGGTCGCACTTCTCGAACTTCTCGGCCACCTTGCTGCGAATCTCCTCCAGACTGGAGGCGCAGACAGCCTTCTTAATGTTGCGTGTTACGTCCTTGACCTGGCCGTAAAAAAAAAAAATAAGCGGAGAAAGGGAATAATAAACCATTACACGTTTACAATTACGGAAACAGGAGCAGTAACAGTTACACACGGCCCCGCTCATCAAATGAATAATAAATTAATGTCAGAGGCGGAACAACTGTGTCCGTATAAAATATTCACATCGTCGGCACCCAAAATAAAAAAGGGAAAAACACTGAGATGGGAAAAGTTATAAATTTACTTCAAGGGGTGAACCCTTTTCCTTGAGCGAGTAACGTGAACCGAATGGGGAAAGGAAAATAGAGGAACTTTCAGGCCCATTTTATTTAAGTTTCCATTATTTCCACTTCATTATTTGACTTATTTTTCAAACAATTTTAATTTACATTGCTTTTCAAGTAATTCAATTAAGCACTCTTTAGAAATTTCTTTAGACAAAGGCGCAGCTACATAAGTTTTGCTAAATAAATAACAAATAAACAAAATTTCAAGGCTGTTTGCTTTCCATTGTCGGAAAAATCTGGTAAATAAATAAATGGAATATTTGCGCTCATGTCATGTCCTGCTGTCAAACGCCCATTTACTCTAATTGAGATTTATGGACGGAATTTTTTATCCAGCAGGAGAGACCTCTCTTTCAACTATTTTATAACCCACGAGCCGACTTTGTGGAAATTTCATATGCGATTTGTGAGCTCACATGTGTGCTCACTTTTGCCTCAAGAACTCAAACGCAGTTTGACATGCACTCATCCGACTGCGTCGCAAATATTTGGCGCTATTCCCCCAGACCCCGATTCCTTGCTATATCCATATACATACCATATATTTTTGTGTGACAAGTTATGCCTGTCAGCATTTTTCGCTGCATGCTCCTGCGCGAATGCCATAAGTGAGTGCCGTTCGCTGTGTGCAAGGACGAAGTCTTTGCCAGGCTCCATTAAACTTGCATGCGATGTTAAACGATGTCTCAGCACCAGAAAAAAAATACTACTACGTAGCAGCTATAACAACTATACTCGCAAAAATGATTTGATATTGCTACGAAAGTAATTACTTTAAAGCTGGTGAGCAAAGAGTGTTTGGAATACTGCAAACTAAATGCCTGGAAAAACTTGCAAATATTGCATGGTATTTCCGTCCATGCTCAGCACTAAGGTTAAACGAAACATAAATTAGACCTGGCCAGAAAGGGGGAGCAGACTCTGCTAAAAGCCAGGAGACGGATGTTAAAAAGAGGAACCGGCACGACTGCATGCCGGCCAGAATTTATAGCCCCGAATTGCCGAGTGCCAAGTGCCATGCAACTCCTCGAGCTCCTTCATAAATAATTGAATGCACCGTGACTAAATGAAATTGTACTCGAGCCTGCAACTCGAACGTTTTATTTCACTCGTTTCCAGCCTCTTCGGACAGCTCAGAGGTCGTTTTTAAATTATCTCATAAATGCTTAAAGCCCGTCAACTTTTGCGCCGCGCCAGCACCAAATATAAATCATATAATATCATGCTGGAAGGAAAAGTTTGCAACAATGAAAACTTCCGCGAACTACTGAAGCATCAGACAAGTGGGAGCATCGAAAACAAAGGTCTAGTTTTTCTTTCGAAACTTGTCAAAAGTTTTAGTTGATCGCATTAGTGGATTTTCCCAAGAAGCATCCTGTCGTTTTTTCAGCCAGCTGCGATTCAATTAGCAGTTCATTTAATTACCCCGAAAAGGATACAAAACTGAAATCTCTTCCGAACAATTTCTGCTCAACTAAAAACAAAACACGGCAGCTTATTAGAGTAGAAAACTTTGCCAACAGAAATTTTTTTAAGTTTTGTTTGCTGACATTACTAGAAATAGGGGTTTAATGCCTTACTTTAATTTGATTTAAGCAGCTTCAAAGGATACGGAAACCTTTTAAATCAAAACTAATTCAAGCTGCTTAGCCATCAGGACCCCAGTGTCCTGTTCCAAACAAACGTGCAACGACCTTAGCCGTCTGCCTCTGCCACCATTCAGAATCAGCCGAAGGATACGTGCCAGGGACTCCGTTCATCTGCAACTTAGACCTCGCAGGATCCACAAGTCGCAGGACTTTTAAATATTTGATGGGCGTAGGCCGCAGATTTCCGAGTCGCTGGGGAAATTAGGCGACAACTTTAAATTGCTTTCCAGCACAGCCCTGGTATTATGTAAATTGTTTATTAAATTATTAACAAAATGCTTGGCGGGCTGTGGATGTGGGCGTGGGCGTGGTCGTGGGCGGGAAGTGGGCGTGTCTGTTGGCTAATTACAGCGACATGTCGGGATGTAAACTTTCTCATTTTTAATGGCATTTTCATGGCTGTCAAGGTATTTGACAGCTTTTAAGCCGATTTGAGTTTGGTGGTTTCTGAATTAATTATTGTAATAAAGCGCAGACATTTTAATGGATTTCTCAGGCATTCGCGAGGATAATTCCAGAAATAATTTACTGAAGTTGTTTTTCGTGTTCCACAGACAACTTCAATGGTTTGCGCAAAAGTGACTCAAATCCTAAATTCCATGACCCATAACATTTCCAATTTTAGTCCGATCATCCTTGGTAAAACTGCACTCAAAATTTTCCATTTTCCGATGGTCTAAATTTTGACCCCTGTTCATGTCAGATTTTTCCAAGTTTTATTGGTTTTCAGCATAGTGACCCAAAACTGGACTTCCAGAACCCATAACTTTGTCAATTTTAATCCGATTCCAAAGTGGCATACCTCCAAAAGTTTGTAATCGCATCCTTGATACAACTGCTTACAAGATTTTTCATTTTCCAATGGTCGAAATTTTGACCCGTGTTCATGTCAGGTTTTAATGTGTTTTCAATGGTTTTCGATAAAATGACTTAAATCCTGACTTTTCCAATTTTAGTCCTATTGAAAAGTGACATTCCTCTAAACGATTGAAATGGTATTGTTTTGGTATCTATTGAGTTGCCAACTGCATGTTCTGTTAGTGTTTTTTTTTTCAACCCTAAGCATGTTTATAAATCTTTAGTATCCTCCCAATCCTTTAAACAGCTTTATTCATGTTTAAGCGGCAGATAAACAAATTAGTCCGGAAACAAAGGCCCAGCAGAAAAGCAAAACAAATGCCAAAGGCAAACAATCCCCAATACTCGTATGAAATATGAAGAAAAACCAAAACTTGTAAAATAAAGGCAGGAAATTCAAAAGCAGAAAACATAAATATAAAAAATTAAAACAAAGTTCATGTTTTTGCACATCACTCTCTTCACAGGGAGCTTTTCTCTCTTAGAACCATTCTCTTTTCATTCGCTCAGAGCTCAACTTGAAGTTCAACCCAGTTTCCAAAAAAAAAAAAAACAAAAAAAAAACGAACGCAAGCACGCGGCCAACAACAACAAAAGCTTCAACAACAACGCCCAAAAAGGGCATGGCAGGAAAATAATGCATGCTTTAAATCTCATTGTTTGTCTGTGGCCTCTATGCCATTTTAATTACAATGTAAACTCACTTTGAAAGGCTTTTTAGAGTCGCCTGAATTCGCTGCACTCTCCATGGCTCTTTGTTTGTTTCAACTAAATAATTAATTCACTCTAGCTATGCACTTAATCTGCAGACTCAACTGCTCAACATTAATGACTTTTTAGGATTATTTTCCCTTTTGCTTGGTAATTACACTGTCTCACTTGCACTTAAAATTTAAACAAACAAACTTGAAATTCCTGCACTTGAGATGGGCACCAAATGTATTTCCTTGGCTCCGCAGCGGAGCTTTCGATGCGGAGAGCGCCGGTTTTGAAATGAGCGTGAGCTGCCGTGGAGCATTTGCTTTTATATGCACCCCCAACATTCTCAACCTCCCCTCTTTCAAGACTGTAAGCCACACTGTTATCCTAACAGTTAAGTGTGGAATGTTCTCTTACCTGATAAATTCAAGTTATTTATGACTTATGTCCAGCAGAATCTATACATTATGTATTTACATTTTTTTGAAATGTTTACTTGATACTAAGAATATTGTACTTAATAAGTCTTTCTAACTACGATATATATTCATTGATTTGAAATAATAAATTATAAGCCCTCAGCCAAAACACTTACTAAAGTAATAAAGGACAGCTTATCTCCATAAATAAACATAGAGCTTACAAAAGAGCATATGAACATAAAACTGCACCCCCTTTGCTGACTATGTAGCTAACATTTTCCTGTGGCAAAGGCTCTAGAAAACACCAAGAGTTCGCTAGAACAATACTGGCTGCAAACTTTACTGCCCCTTAATGAAAAAATGTGAAGGCGAGCCTTGCACTAATCCGCATTTCAATCGCAAGGTGCATTAGATTTCAATAGGTCCGTCGGCCAGAGGGAATGATATCCGGTGTTGTCAATCCGGAGTCCCCTTCCCCCGTTGGAAGCCTCCCAAAAGAGCAGTTAGACAACGCTTAACTTTCTGCTCAAGTGGCCAACACCCATTTAAATCTATATACATCTATTGCTATGCACACATCAACGAACCGCCCAGATAAAGAAGAGCAAAAAGCAAACTTTTGACAAATGGCCAAAATACATAAAGGCAAGCCAAAGCCGGAAGGTGGCCCCAGATTGAGTTGAGCTGTGTTTATGCACAGCGAGAAAATTATACTTCCATACCAACTTGTAAATATGCGAAAGGGTTAGGTGATGGATAAAATTTAAAATTATGAGATTTAACTTAACCATCATCTTAGTTATTCCATCCTATCAATCCAACTATTATATATAAAATGTGTCCCCATGAACTTTTTATAAGTTATTATTCTCTGTGTAGAACGGAACTAAATAGCCCCGAATAGAGGTGGCCGTACAAGTAGTGGGGATCGGTGGTGGGGTGCGAGGGGCAACCTTAAATTGTCATCCTTGTGCGCGCCATCGGTTCCTCCGCTGCTCCGCTGCTCTGCTGCTCCTTCTGCTGCTGGCAGCCTGCCCCGTTTGCTGTCATTGCACTGCATACGGCAACTGCGGATCCTGCGGAACAAAGGAGCAGCGGGAGGAGGCACTGGCACTGGTACTGGGGCTGAATGGAGGTGGCTGGGTCTATTTAAAGCTCGGGTCACTCGAAAGGACGCACAAGGACATTGGCTCGTGCGGGTGGCGGATGGCGGATGGCTGTGTGGCAAACAGTTCGCAGGTCACGTGCCTGCACCGCGGTGCATTGACCACGAAGACGTTGACACATCGCTCGCAATCTGGGTTGAGGCTTCACTCGAAGCCAGGTGACAGGTAATTGCCTCACGGGGCAGCAGCCAATAGGCAATACCGAGGAAACCAATAAATCAACGCCTGGCAATATCGTTCACTTGGCTTAACCCGTAGTCTGTTGAAGGAGCAATTAAACATCAAGTTGTTCAATTTTTATAAAAATACATAAATCAGGTTCTGATTTAATTGACAAAAAAAAAGGATTACAAGGGTTCACATCAAACAACAATTTTAATTCTCAACATCTTGCTTGCTTATTAAGCATTTTTTTCCAACACAATCATTGTAAATTAAAGCTAAGCTCCTGCCAAACAAAAAGCAGACAAAACTAATTATCCTTTGCGCCTTAAAAAAGGGATAACAGCACTGATTTAACGCGGCTAAGTCCCCTTTAGTTGCAGCTTAAAAGGTCCTGTAAGCGCACAGAACTCTGCTACATAAAAGCAACGCCTTTTACAGGACCTCGTTAAAATTCAAGAGGACTTTCTTCCGCTGACTTCGTTTGAACCTCTTCACTTTGACATTTGCTGTTTGCTCGCGGCAACCTTTTAAATATCTACGAGTATCCGTCGAATGCGAAGGGCAACATGGTGAAAGGTAAGCTAAATAAACAATTTTAATCGATTTACAGAAAAGAACTACATATTTAAAAATATTTTATTTCTCTTCAATCGAATCAATCTCGTTAATAGTTCTCTAAAATCATCTTGGGCACCACATTCATGCTGGTCAACTCCTGGAAGAGCAGCTTGCAGGCATACGGCATGGATATCTTGGAGACATGAGCCGACGACTGGCAGAAGTGGCACCAGGAGCAGTAGGCCAACCTTCCGCAGGTCCTGCAGACATCCACCTCAAAGGCATCCGACGAGATCATCAGACGCTCCATGATTAACATACTGGCTCCGTAGGAAATGAGGCAATCCCGCTCCATTTCACCCAGACGAAGGCCTCCCTCGCGACTCCTGCCCTGCGTCGGCTGACGGGTGAGCACCGCCTTGGGTCCTCGCGCTCTGGCGTGCATCTTGTCCTGCACCATGTGCTTCAGTTTCTGGTAGTACACGGGTCCCGAGTAGATGTACGCCTCCAAAGGAGTTCCAGTGATGCCCGAGTAGAAAAAGTCCTTGCCCACATAGTTGAATCCATGGCGCTCCAGCTCCGCCTGGATGTCCTCCACTTTGGAGCCCCCGAAAGCAGTTCCGTAGTGAAACTTGCCCTCCAAGAGACCAGCCTTGCCGCCCAGCAGCTCCAGGGTTTTGCCCACCGTCATCCGGGAGGGGAAACCATGGGGGTTCATAATCATATCCGGGCAGATGCCAAAGTCATTGAACGGCATGTCCTCCTGTTCGACAATCAATCCAGTCACACCTTTTTGTCCGTGCCGCGAGCTGAACTTGTCCCCGATCTCGGGAATGCGAGTCTGGCGCAGCAGGATCTTGATGAGAAAGTCCTCTTCCGCATTGGCGGAGACCATAACGCGCTCTATGTAACTGGGCTCGGGTCCTTTGTAGCTGATGGGCACTGCGGTGTACGGAACTTGCGGAGATTGACCCTGCAGGGGGTTCATCGAGGTCACCGCCGGCATCTCCTTGTTGATCATGATCTGCTTGTTCTGAACCTGCTCGCCAGGAGCCACAATGCCATCGGTGTCCAGGACGTCGTGCTTAAAGATCACCTTGTTGGTAAGAGCATCCTTTACGGGTCCCATGATTCTGTCGAAGGTCTGATTCGCATAACGCTTAACTGTGCATTTGGAGTTCTTGTAGACCAGGCAGCGTCCATAGCCGCGATCTATTGAAGCCTTGTTCAGGATAAGGGCATCTTCGATATCGTAACCAGAGTAACTCATCACAGCCACCGTGGCATTCTGACCAGCTGGCAGCTTGTCAAAGTTGGTCAGCTCAATGGTCTTTGACTTCACCATTGGCGCGTGTGGATACACCAGATTGTACATCAGCGAGTCAATGCGGTTCTTCTGGTTGTAGCCAATCATTCCCATGGCCTGCTTACCCATAGCGCACTGATAGGTGTTCCTGGGACTCTGGTTGTGATGCGGATAGGGCACCAAGCCCGCACAAACTCCTAGCAAGGTAAACGGTTCGATTTCGAGGTGGGTGGTGCGCTCCTCAATTTGATCTTCGTTCCAGGCAATAAACGAATCGTTCTCTTCGTTCACATCTAGATACTCGATTAGTCCATCCAAGAGAAAGTCGTCGAACTTGCGAATTCCACGGTTCAGCTCGTCCAGATGATGTTGCTTTACCAGCGGTCGGCGATTCTCCACGATGACGTAGGGGCGGCACAAACGACCACCGTCCGTGTGGATGTAGATGCATCGCTGGGTGTAGGAAGTGTGCACCGAGACATAGCTGCCCATTCGACCCTTCCTGCGCATGTAGCGGAGGTTCCGCACCAGGTGCTTGTGGTTCAGGGTGAGTCCCAGGACATTACCATTGATGAAGACCAGAAAGACGTTCGGATTGTTGATGGGATTGCCGCTCACTTCCCGAATATCCTCGACGCCAGCGTTAAAGGCCACAATCATCACCGGTCGCTCCTCCACCTCGGTGGTAATGTGCGTCATCAAGGCAAGATTTTTGACCAGACCACAAGCTTCACCCTCAGGAGTGTCAGATGGACACAGCATGCCCCACTGACTTGGCTGCAGGGATCGCGGACCGGACACTTTACGAGTCTTCTCAAACTGCGAGTTCACACGCGTCATCATTCCCAGAGCGGATATGTAACTCAGGCGGGACAGCACCTGGGTGACACCAGCTCGTTCCATTTTAAATCGCTTGATGGTCCAGTTTCCAGAACTTATAGCAGATTCCAATCCAGCGGTGATTTGTGCCGCCCTCATGTGCTTAACCACATCGAACTGCGCTGCCTTCACTTTGGGTATGTTCTTGTCCGCTATGGTTTTCAGCTCCCAGTTCATGCGCTTGAACAGATCCTCGAACATCATGGAGAGCAGGGAGCCAGCCAGCTCCAGTCGCTTGTTGCCATAGTAATCTCGATCGTCAAAGAGCGTTTTGTCCAGCTCGGCGGCCATGACACGGCGCACCATCATGGACACGTAGATGGCCTTCATTTGGAAGTTGAAGTTGTCGACGGGCACGTGAGCCAGGATGGTTGTCAAGAGTAGTTCGCGTGCTTCCTCTGAAGGAGTTTTCGTGGTGGCACTCTGAAAGCGTTTCACTACCAACTTGGAGCCTATAAAATAATAGATTAATATAGGATTAACTTAATAGAGTAGCCAAACATACCCATGTACTCCAAAGCTCTTTGCTGAGTGTAGACCTTCAAGTTATACGCATCCAACAAGGATGCACCGAACCTATTTTGCGACTTGGTGTCGATGCCGATTAGTGACTGAATCTCCTGATCAGAAACCACTCCCAGGGCTTTGAAGATCACCACAATGGGTATGTCGTCCGTCATGGAATTGTGCTTTAAGTAGTACTTTCCATGTTTGCTCAAAACCAATGTGCGGGACTTCTTCTCATGCGTGGAGGAGGTCACCTGGCACTGTACCACTCCATTAAAATCCTCTGTAAGCATCTTGTTCCACGACAACTGCTCCTGAATGAGGATGACCTTCTCTTGGCCGCGGACCACAAAGTAGCCACCAGGATCCAGAGGGCACTCGTTGAGTTTTGACAACTCGAATTCAGATTTGCCGGTAAGCGCGCAATTGGAGCAGCGCAACATGAGGGGCATCCTGCCAATGAGCAGGTTGTTCCGCTTGATTCGCTGGGTGCCACGCGTGTACTCGATGTCCACGGTGATGGGAGCGGAGTAGGTGGTGTCCCTCAGGCGACATTCGTGGGGAGTGGTTGCCTTGGTTATATTGAAGCCCTCATCGATGTCAGGTTTGCCCACCCGAACGTCCAGGTACTTCAGATAGAACAGGGGATCGGCTCCACTTGTCACCAACTCGTTGGCCTTCACAATCTTCTTGATGTCAACGTTGATGAAGTGATTGAAGGAGTCGATGTGCTGCTTCACAAGTCCCTTCACTTGCAGAAATGCCGGCACCAGTTTCCACTTCTCCGACAGCGGCTTAATGGGCATTGACCAGTCCTTGCTGTCACCGGGTTCCCAGGCGGTGGCATTCACATTGTGATCCTCCATCTTCAGCTCCACCATTCGGCTTAATTAATATTTAAATTTAATTTAAAACGAAACTAAACAAAACAGCGTGCACTTTGGGCTAGTGCTGGAAAACGTATTTCGAACTTAACAGCACTGTTAATGCAACAGTTAGCCTGATAGTGTTGGCAATTTAGCTTTTTTTGACGTATTAAGCGGGCAAAAATATTACCCCAACTAATAGTTGTAGTCTTCTTTTAGTGGACACTTAGTTACTTTGTTTAAAAATATGTAACAATCCATTTTTTAATCCGCAAATTTAAAAAGAGCAATGAAATTCAAACAGAACTAAAGCACATTCGTTTTTTATTTCCAATAAAAAATGCCATCAAATAATCAAAGTGTTTTCGTTGCCACAGAGTCTAAACCTTCTTCACAATCTGGACGACATCCTCGTCGTTGAGAACATGCTCGATGCCCACTTTCTGGGGTTGATGCTTCACGGATGAACCCCAGACCAGCGCACTAAAAAGAAGTATAAATTTAGAAATCAAACGTAGTTAAAAGAGTAGCATGCCAACGTACTATTTAAACTCCTTTGCGATGGAGCGATGCAACTTGTTGCAAAAGTCCTCAATGCTGGTGCGCTCGTTGTGGAGCACCACGGGTGAATTGTAGTCGGGCAGCTGGCCCTTGGGCTTCGTGTAGATTCGCTGCAGCCGCAGGTATTCCCACATCAGCTCCAGCAGATCGTCAAAGTTCCAGTGGTGGTGCGCCGAAATGGGCACGCAGTGCGGGATCTTGTAGATTACGTCCAGCTCCTCAATGGAGATCTGATCGATCTTATTCAGCAGATAGATGCAGGGTATGTAGATGCGGTTGCCCTCGATCACGTCGATTAGGTCGTCACTAGTGGCATCGTATCTCAGCGTAATGTCGGCATTGTGGATCTTGTACTCCGATAAAATCGTTTTCACCAGATCCGCGTCCAATTCGGATTGCGGAACCATGCAGTTCAGGTTGATGCCGCCCTTGTCCTTCCGCTTGTAGTAGATATTTGGCGGTTTCTTGTTAAGCCGGATGCCAAAGCCCTCCAACTCGTGCTCCAGCAGTTTTTTGTGACCCAGCGGTTTCAGGCAATCCAGCACCATGAAGATTAGGTTACAGGTTCGTGCGACGGCGATCACCTGACGACCACGACCTTTGCCATCCTTGGCGCCCTCAATGATTCCGGGCAAATCGAGCAGCTGGATCTTGGCGCCCTTGTACTTAATGCATCCCGGCACAGTTGTCAACGTTGTGAACTCGTAGGCCGCCACCTCGGAATAAACTCCAGCTAAATTGGACAGTAAAGTGGATTTACCCACGGATGGGAAACCCACAAAGCCCACCCGGGCATCTCCTGTCTTGGCCACCTCAAAGCCAGCTGAAAAAGAGATTTATCAGAGACTTGATGGGAGTAAAATAATAAAACGTACCCTCGCCGGTTCCGCCGCCGCCTCCTTTGGGGGAAATCAGCTCGCGTCGCAGCTTGGCCAGCTTAGCCTTCAGGAGACCCAAATGCGCCGAGGTGGCCTTATTCTTCTGGGTGCGGGCCATCTACAGAATAACCAAGAAATCCGGTGATTTATGGGTATCCAGGGGGGAAATGAAGGGGTAAGACAGGTTAGTTTCCGTAAGATTGGCTGCTGTTCTGGCGACCTCACCTCCGACTCGATGGCCGCGATTTTCTCCAAAATTGTGCTCATGGCTGGCTGGCAGTTAAACGCGGTTCACTTGGCTCAGGACCAGTTATCAACAAATATGCATGTAAAAATAAAAATATAAAACTCTCGCGTGGACAGCAGGAGCGAAAGTGTTGCAAAGGAACGAAGAGCATTCCAGCGTTAACAACACTAAGTTATTTAGTATATTTATGGTATCTCTTTGCATGGATGAATGTTTTGGTACAATTTAAAGTACATAAACTTAAGGGTCACACTGATTGGAACAAAGCCGTTACTTTTCGTATTTGAAGAAAATGTTTTCTAAAGGTAAAATAAAAAAAGAGGACCTCTAACTAAATAATAAGTAAATAAATTATTTTTAATTTAATTTTCGTCCGCCTAGGCAAGCCCCGCACGCCCCTGGTCAACAGCCAGGCCAAGTTTAGGAACCAACTGTCCAGCAATGCCTCGCAGTTAAATTTCAGCTTTCCAACGGCAGCTCAACTTATGCGCAAAAATAGTAGTAGCCAATTGCGGCAAACTAAATTAACAGTCTGTGAGAAGGACAACAAACTAAAGTACGATGGATTTGTCGAGGAAGTGCCCAAAATCCGGCCTAAACACGAATTTGTCTACGTTCCAACTCCACAAACCCTGGACAAATCTATTCGCAACGTTTCAGTCAAAAAGGAAGAACCAAAAGGGTTTCCAAGCTCTCCAATGTCCAAGCCAGGACGAAACCTAATTAGCTTAGTTGGTCGTGTAGACTTCTGTCTTAAGACCCATAAAACGTATCCGGACATTAACGCCTTATGGAATGTTTACGGTGAAGTAGAACTCTTATATCAAACGACTTAAAAATAGTTTTTAAAAATATATAATTAGTTTTAAAAAAGTAAGATTCTAATTTAAAAAATTTCAGGTCAACTGTTGCGCATTATTGTAGGAAAACGAGAAGAGCACACTTTGCTTGTGCGAAACGAAGGTTCAGGACCCATTCTGCAGGGAATTTATTACGACTTCGAAGGGATTTTAAAAACCTTTAGTCCAGGCATGCTGAATATAGCACTAATTACAATTTTAAACCAATATTGATTTATTTGCAGGCTGCTTTGTTCATCTTGTGGGACGTTTCATCGGCGACAATCGGTTGCAAACATTCGCAATCACCCAGGTAACCAATATAAACTGGCAGCAACAATTTATGCGCATTGAAAATGTGACGACATATACTCTGATGCAAAACAATGTGCATAAGTAATTTTTATTTTAGTAAGTTTTCCATATACAGTTCTCTCGCGATTTATAGGCCAGGCTGTAATATTTACTATATTAGGTATGAATATACGAACTTCAGTTTTTGAATCCAAGCCTATAATCAACATCGAAATGTTTCACTTTGTACTTTTGTAGTTACGAAATAATGAATAATTTATAAATTTTGTTAGTAAGCAACTTATGAATGTTGTACTTAGGAACTAAGTTAGCTTCAAAATGCTCCACTGATAATTCTCTCCAGGAGCGTTGTACATTTACAAGGACTACAATAAATACAAATTCAAAATGAGTGGATTAAATCTAATACTGGTGAACTTATTTGACTATGTGGAAGGAATTGGGATTCTACGAGAACAGATCACAGTACATAAAGACAGTGACCAGAAATCCGCAGAAGAGGGCACACAAGTAGCCCAAATGCAGCGAGGCAGCCTTCTCCTCGCGGAAACTACATATTAAAGAAAATCAATGTTAATAGGGCACAATGAAAGGTCAGTTGTCTAGAGCTTACCGCTTCTTGGAACGCGGCGAGAAGGGCGAGGGCGGATTGACGCCGGGCACTGCGCTGTCCAAGTACACGATTCCGTAGGCGAACCCGGCCACCAGAAGGCCACACAGCAGGGGACTCAGCCTGGAGCCCAGCTGGTGACTGGTGGCCCACTCCAAGGTCTCGTTCCAGCGACTCTGCATCTGGTGGCTCAACACCTGAATGGAATCGCCGCTAATGTATGGCACTGCGAAGAGAACACAGAAAAGTCATTAGTATCTCAGTTTGAGTGTCGTTATATTGATTTCCGTGTTATCAGTCTTGGCCCGATAAACACGTCAAAAATAGGGTTTATACATAGGGTGGGTCCAATTTATCAACTACAATTTTAATCTATGAGGAAATCTAAGCATTTCCCCATTAAGTCTATTGGAATGTGCCAATAAGATGCTTAAAATAAATACATATGCAAGATGTATAGTGCGAGTAAAAATAAATGCATTCAGCCCGTTCAATTAAGCAAATAAATACCAAGGCCGATCCTTTATGGATTTCTTTTTATAGATTTTGTGTGCTATTATAATTAATTGAACCAAAAATTTATTCCTTATAATTTGTAAAGAATACAAGGTTTGAAGTTATTGACATCATTAAATCATTTTGTATCCGAGCCACCCTAATGCATAACCTGCAGTAAAAGAACGGCTAGATTGCTGAACCGTCAGAGAAGCAAAATTCGTTATTTTTCTAGCGGTATTGCCTTACTTTTATATGTATTTATGTATGTATTTGTCGCGTGAAGAAAAGCCCACCGCTAAATACCGTTATGCTGAACAAAGACGAACACTTAATCACCGTAGGGCAAACAATTAACTAACTAATCACTCTTTGCTTAAAAGACGAAGCGACTAATCACTCTCAGCCAATTTTAAGGTGAACGCGTATGTATGCAAATGAGAAAACTAAATGCGCAACAAACAGTTTGCCTTCTCTGTATATACGTTTATTTATTTTTTTCCTATTTTGGGGGGCTGTTGCAGGGGGAGCAAACACCGCTATGAGATCACACGAACTTCAACTATTTATAAACGAAAATATATAAACAAAGCGAGTAAAGACGACGTCACCGCCAACAATTGCAACCTTGAATTTCCACCCCCGCACTCAAGGGGGATAAACAAATAAATAGAAATCCGATAAAACCACAGTATAACCCACTTACTGGTTAATATGACGCTTTTGTAGCCAATAATTAGAAATCCAAAGAGAAGGGCCACTTTTTTTAACCGCGGATCAAAGGCGGTCACCACGCCCACTCGCCCCTTTTCTGTGGGTTCAGGAACGCCCACGTAGTGCTGGAGTTTTGGATGCGAAGTCTTTGGCGTAGAGGAATATATCCGTGCGTTCGGCTCCCCAGTATTTAAGCTTCTAACAGCGACTGAAAAAATCCCATTGGTTTTGTTTTTCTGCTGCTGCCGAACCGTGACGTCACATTCATCACCCATTGGTTCCACCTGCATTATGGTGCTTTTGCCGGTGTTTGTTAGCTTCGAATTAGCGTTTATTGTTTGGAAAGCCGCGGGGAACACGATTCACTTTACATTTACAGCGACAATTGTTGATTTAATTCACAAAACTACAATAACAACAACAAATACGTCACACCCCCGAAAAAAAAACCAAAAACAAAAAAATGCAATTGGAACTAGCGATGGACAAAGAATCAAACGTTGCACATTAAACTATCGCTTAGCCTATCGATAGTTCATTGTTGATCGGCGAATTCAGACTTGGTTTAACCCTTACCTTATCAAACGTAACTGTCTTGAACAAGAACTACAAGATACGAAAAAGTTTTTCAGTTCAGATACTTTCTGAAGAGTTTAAGTTGATTAAGGTTTAGCCTTCTGAAAGAGAAACTAAATGGTGATAAAATGCTTCGATCGACATTTAAATAATAATCATATGTTTATTTGTAGTTGAAAAACAGTAATAATAGTTAAATATACAGTTTTTAAAGTTAAATGTGTTTAATTTTCTTGTATCTTTGTTATCTTTTTAATCCAATTCTTACAACATTTGTAGTTTTCTGTTTCAATACATTTACAATGCATTCTTGTCGATTATTATGAATGATGTATTTTATATTAACTAAAATTTAACTGCGATCATAGAAAAGTTAAGTTTAATTTCTTAATAAGGCTCTGTTTACGTTTTCATTTCTTTACTCCGTATTTCAACTAATCCGCGATCCTTTAATTATTCGATACACAATGAGGTCTACAACTAAAGGTAATCAATGCATCTGACAAATTAAAAGATGTTTAACACGTTAAAAATGATAAATAATTACTTTCACAGAAATGTGGGTAACAAATTTGACGACACTGTCCGATTTTTGTTTTTTGGTCTGTCTCACAATTGAATATTTTACAGATCGGTATGCAATAATGAATAACTGAAACTCCGGGTGTTGATGTGTGATCGGCTTGGTGTAGGTATTAGGTAGTGACGGTTTAACAACTATCGTAGTTCCTCCTACGTCTTAAATATTTAGTTAACTTAGGCGCCTAGTCTAATCGTAACTAAACTAACAAGTATGCGCTCGACCCAGCTTCTTACTGCGCCTCCGTATCTTACGATTTGGCTGAGGCGGCTCCCGCGCGCGTTCTTTTGGCCATGGGCTCTGTGGTGTCAGCCGCTCTGATGTTGTCAAACAAATTATTCTCCTGGAAGAAGTAATAAGTATAAGCCTCATATTTATTATATTACGAGTCTTCAACTCACCTGCGGATTCTCATCATCCAGGATCGACGGTTCCGCCGGTCTCTTTGAAGGTGCTGCCGCTCGGGACGTCGTCATTGCCGTTGTGGCTGCTTTGCTCGTGGACTTGACTCCCAGCGTATACACGTCCAGCGGTATATAGACCTCGTTGTTTTGGAAATTCGCAACGGCGGGCTGTTTGTAATACATTTCTGGCAGGGCCAGCGGCATGGAAAATGTACTCGTGTTGGCATCAAATGGACTGAATTTGGAGTCGATAATGTACATGGCGAGATCGCAGAGCGCCCACATTTTCTGATTACCGAAACGAACGAAAGTTTTAGAAAGAGTAAACGAGGCAACGATAAAGAGGCTTACATAGTTATCGCGCTTGTCCGAGCCCTGACTGAACTCTCGGTGCTTTATCAGCTGCAACAGTTGCTTGTAGAAGCTGTGGACAAACGATTCCCGTTTGGCCATCAACGGCTCCAGTACGAAACGCAAGCACTTCTCCATTTTGCGCAGCTGGACGTAGTCCTCGTGGTTCGTGAAGCGAGGATCGTGGACCAGCACGGGAATCGCAAAGGCCAGCATATAGTCAGGTAGAAGGTGCACCGATTGTGACTCCGTTGAGCTGTCGGGAGCTGAAAGACAATCATTAACAAATTAAATTAAAAACAAAAAAAGAATTATAAAATTTACATGTCATAGCCACAGTCTTAAGATATTCCCGACGTCTGTTTACATCCGACTCTGCATAGTGACGCACCAGGTCTTGTAATCTGTTGAAAAACAAGGTAATCATTCTGCGTAGGCCTACCATTGACTAAGCAACTCACTTTCTGTCAGATTCTAGACCAGCCAGCACATAGAATCCCATGAAGTCCAGGGGCAGGCAATTTCTGGGCAGGCTTCTGCTCAATCCCTTGTGTAGTTTTCGAGCAAAGATTTCTCGTACCTCGGGCACCGGATCAACCTGTTGGAAATGCATAGTTGGGATGTCTTTGAATAATAAGTCTCCATACTCACCATCAGCTGGGAGAGTTGCAAGTACTGCTCGGCACTGTATTGATCGCCAACGCCTTTTTGTTCGCACACCTTGAGCATGGCGCATGCAGCGCCCAGTCGCAGCCAGGATTTCTCGGCCCCGCACAGGCGGTTCTGACCGAGGAGATCGCCCCGCTGGTTAACGAACGCGGCCAGCATGCGGAATGTCTTCTGGGCGGCGTGCTCATCGGTGCGGAGACCCAAAAGCCAGCGGGCCATAGCTTTAAGGGCATCCAGCTTGCACAGCGTATCCAGCGGCAGATCCTCCTGGGCACACCACTCGCTCTCCTCGGGAAGATCGCAGTCCCGCTGCGCTGGAACCTCCTGGATGAGTAGCTCCTTGACTATGCGACGCGCAATCATGTTCTTAATGGGCGTGAGAAAGGCCTGCGGCATGTTGTAGGCGATATGTCCCAAGGTCACGATTTTGGTGCGCTGGTGCTCGCAGTTGGGCGTCATTTTCAGACGGAGTGTCTCGATGATTTCGTTGAATATGGGATGCACTGTCTGCGTAGTGGTGGAAGCGCTTCCGGCCCCGCCAGCTGCTCCATCGGTGGCCGCCGACGACTGGCTGTTCACGAAAATACAACGCACCGCGTGCTTCGCCTGTTTGGGAGTTCCGATCAGAGCGAAGTCCTTGCACACCGGAGCAAGCTCGTCGAGAATGCCCGGATTGGGGTCATCGATCAGTGGCTGATAGCGTCCCAGATGGGTGAGGCTCTTCAGAACTAGCGGAGCAACATAATCCTGCTCGTAGCCCAGCAGAGAAATCAAATGACGCAGCGACGTGTCGGTGAAAAAGTGAGCCGAAAAGACGTAGGAGAGCATCTGCAAGGGAATGGGAAAACTCAAACATCGTTCATGTCATGATTTTGCTTATCCAAAAACTCACGCTTAACAGCTTAAGTCCGCGCTCGCCCGCTTCATGACGCGAGATGCCAATCTCCTCGCACATGGGGCTTCCTTCAATGCACTGCTCAATGAGACTGAACAGAAAGACAAGAGGTGTTAATCTGGGATTAGGAAGGCCCTGGCTGGCGGCTTACCCAATAAGCACGCCAATGGATTCTTTGTCCACCATCACGGATGCCACGCGCTCGATTAGCATCTTGACGGTGTTGTAGTACAGATTCGAATGGACGTGGGCGCCCAGCTTTTTTAGCAAGACCCCCATGGTGTCGGCGCACTCCCGGCAGCTAACGTCTCGCTTGAGCACAATGTTGATGCAGCGCAAAAGCTGAGCATCCTTGCGCAGGTTGTTGCTGAACTGGGTGAGGTATTCTGCCGCTTTCAGGGGATCCGGCAGCAATCTGCAACGACACAGTTTTGGTTACCATTTCTTGGGGAAGTTTTCTTACGAAACTCACTTGGTAATGTTGGCCTGCTTGGCACTCAGCTGGCTGAGAACACGCGGCGTAAATTCCTTTGAGTGGTGAAGCTTAATCCAGTCGCTGACTGTGTTGCGGGTTTTCATTTGGTTTTTCTGCAACTCCACGAAGGCCTTGGTGGCGTTGGCATCCAAATCGCCTAACAGGTGGTACAGTTTCTTCATACGCTCCTCGGGAGCCAGTTTGTAGGGAACAAGGCAGGTGATAAGTAGGCGTTCCACAAGGAGGCGGTCTTCTAAGCCCACTTTGTAGTATCCGTGCAGTATCTTGTTTTTGATCCAGTCCACTCTTACTTTGAGCCCGGTACTCAGTTCGTTGGGCTCGCATATCGCTCGTTTGTAGATGTATGCCAGACCGTTCATAGCGTCTCTACGAATCTTGTACTTCTTATCCAGCGTTCGTTCCCGAACGATCTCCAAAAAGTTCGGGCGCTTCGAGCACCATGGTGAAATCGCGCTTGGCAGTCTCCACAATGGCCATCACCACTTCGTGGCGCACAACTTCGTCCGGATCGTGGTTTCTCAGCCGCAACTTCTCGGTGATGTCGGCTTGCAGACTCGGATGATTGAGCAGAAAGTGCATGGACGACTGGACGCACTTGATGCGAACTGGCTCGGTGATGTCGCAAAAGCGACCGAAAAAGATTTTCAATAGGCTCTGGTACTTCTTCGACATCTGCGAGTCCTTTTCGGAGAACATGCGGGCCAGTAGAGTTGTTGCCTCTGCGGGAAAAATACGTTCATCAATATGTGAAAAACAGAAGATAGTGTTGAATTACTGACTCAGCCTTTCAGCATCGTCGGTGGACAGCAGCTTGTTCTCCAGTTGGGGCAGCACAGAGCACAAAAGGTCCGGGTTGATGCGATTAAGCTCATATATGATATCGTAGATTTTGTTTGTAATGGACAGTTTTGTGTTTGGCTTATCCATAACCAAAGCACGGTTGAAGAACTATTGATAAGAGATTGTTTAACAGAAAATTGGAAATCAAAAGTTAAACGAACTATTACCATTTTGATGGTGGACTCCAAAGCATCTCCTGTTTTGGTCAGAAGTTGTTCGGTGAGTTGGCAGGCAAACTTGTTGTTCGATTTGTACGGCTCCACAATGTTAATAAGTATAAGGTCCAGCAATTCCACCGAAAGATTATCGGCTTCTGTGATTAAAGGACTCAGCACGTCCAGAAAAAAGTTAGTAACTTTTGCGCTGTGCTGTTCACTAATGGAATATAATAAAGATTATTTATTAGGATGTCTGTAAAGTCAAATGACTAGTTCAACTCACTTGACAATTTTAAAGATAGTGCTGAACAACTCCTGGAATATCTCCTGGCAGTCCTCCAGTTCAAAACACATATTAAAAGACTTGACAAAGGCCAGATTCTCCAGAAGATAAAAGTACCGTTTGAAGGAGGGATCCCTTGGATCCTTCAGTCCATGCAGTTGCTTGATGAAAAACTTAAATATAGTTTTGATTTGATCTTGCTCTTTGTAGGGCGCCTCTGGCGCATAAACTCGCAGGACATCTGCCACGCAGCAGGCGATCAAGAGTTGGACATCGCGGGAGGAGTGCTGCATGAAAAAGTCATCCAGCAGATGGAGGGCCAAGGGGATGTACTGCTGATAGAGATTGTCGTCCTGGTCCATGGTCTGCAGCACATTAGCGAGGGTCTGTGGGCAGACATAAGGCATTATACATGAAAGGGATTTTATGATGGGGTAGCGAATTACTCACCTTGAGGCGCCTTATAAGCTCATCCGTGCCCAGATCCTCGACCAGCGGTCTACAGCCAGTGGGATACACGATGTCCGCCATCCTCACCAGCTAAGGGAAGTTACCTGCAAGCCAGGATTCAAGGATTCAATGGCAGGTGCAACAACGCCGCGTAATAACAACAAATAAACGCGACCCTCAAAATAACATTGAAAATTCGGAGGGTGGCATCACGCACACACAAGCACGTAGCCCCACAAACACGGACACACGCACACTGGCACCCACGCACACACTCACTGGCAAATATTGTGCAGTGTTTTTTTCTTTTAGCAAACAAATAGCAAAGAGCTCGCGAATTTCTCCGCATGCAATCTGCAGTTACTCAATGTTTTATGCTAATCAACGGCGCAGTTTTCTGGTATTTGCAATCTTACTTTTCACAACGGGCAGGCGGCGGCACAATTTTTGGCAATTTTGCAAGCCGCTGGTTATGATTCTAGTCTTAACGAACGGCTCCTGGAAATCACTGCACTTAGTAAACGACTGTGGTGGGTATATTTATACACATGTTCAACCGTTTGCTTTGTTTGGCGGCGCCGATGTTGTTAAAAACGGAGAAAACTGTGGAGCATTTATGCGGAGTGGCACGCCATTAATCCACGAACGGAGCCTTGCCAGAGTTTGAGCGAAAGTGTGGCCAGTTGTTCCTCCGATTATTTCTCGATTGCAGTGCAGCTGATGCACGTGACCAGTGATGCCAAAATTTTTTCGAAAAAAAAGGACAGATTGAGAAAAAAAAACGGGAAAAATAGAATGAAAATATTATAAAAAGGATAAAAAAAAAAGGACAAAAAGTTTTTTTTACAGTAATTTTATTTTTTATTATTAAAATAATAGTTTTAAGGCATCTTTCATTATTTTTCCTTCGTCATTATTGCTGTCCTCATAAGTAGGCATGGAGCCAATTAATTGGAGAGACTTTTCAGGCAAGTTATAATTATGACAACATAATTTATGACGACGCAATCCAAATCTCAAGAAAGAACACATGTACATACATGTATTTATAAGCGGTAAGCTTTTGAAAATATATGTATGTATATTTACCTGTTTGCCAAAATGGCATTTAATGAATCTACCTCCAAACGGTACCTAATTTTGGTTTTCACCAAGTTTACTTGGCTAAAAACTCTCTACCTCAGCATTGTAATGAAAGCAGACTGAGAGGTCCTCATAGGGGTTGTTGTCTGCAGAATCCCGATACCTCTTCCCTTCTGACCAAAATGTTGAAATATTTTCAATATCTTCCCAATTTATTAGGTGAATATTGGAATATTGTGAAATTATTTTGCTTTTAATCTTAGAATTTATTGAAAATATATTTAAAATAGGCAGAATTTACCCTTTTTGAAAGTAAATAATATTAGATTTTATAAAAGGACAGATTTCCGGATGAAGAATCTAAAAAAGGACAGATTTCAGGTATGCGGATGATTTTCAATTTTTTCCGGATGAAGGGTTAAAAACAGGACAGATCTGTCCGGAAAAAGGACAAATTGGCATCACTGCACGTGACGTGTTGTTGTGGTCAGAGATGAGAGGAAGCCATGTTTTCTATCGAGTTAAGAAAAATATCCGCATTAGTAAGTCAATTTAAATATATTTTGTTTCTTTTCTTCAGGTCTTCTAATCTAAATGATAAAATGGTTTGGTAAAAATGCAGTTGTTAATTGTTTTACAACTATAGCCACGCTGTCATCTCTAGATTGGTTTGTTGTGCTTGGCAAACAGCTGTGGCGTTGCCACATAACCACACTGAATGCAAAAGGGCAAACATTAGATAAAGATAATTGCACAATTATTGGCACCTGCAGCCGGCAAACGCTGTAACGGAATTTCGCGCGTTCAAAAGCCGATGGCGCGCATGGCAAAAACGCCGGAGGAGAAAGATGAAGAGCTGCTGACTTTTCATGTTTTGTTTTCTAATCCAATTAAGCGTGTGCCCTGAATTTGGTGATGACCCGCCGGTTCTGGCCAGTTGACCACCGCCCGTTGCAGCAGCTCCACATTCCCGAAACTATGAGCAGACTTACGTAAATATTGCATGGTCAGTGCATATTTAATTATAGATTATGCGTATACGCAATGTAAAGCACTCGCATTTCTCTGAGGACAACCGAAAGTATTAATTAAGCAATTAAGTCGATGTGGAATATCAAGGAATCATGGCTTCTCTGCGCGTAGTTAATAGGTGAGTCAAAACAGTAACATCAACAGTAAAAGCAATCCATGTAATCCCCTTTGTAACCCTCGAAAGAAACAGACTAGTGTGCCGCGGCTTTGTGGCCCTTACTTTGCTGCTAGTCTTCTTCAATGAGTTCATAGTCTACTATATGGCTCAGTCCAGTTGGCAGCCAATCGATTGCAAGCTAGGTAAGCTGTACCCCAGTTTATGGACATAATATACCCACTAACCTGATTCTCCATTTAGACAATTGCACGCGCCTGCTGCTTATTGCTGATCCCCAGATTCTGGGAAACTCCTACGATCGCTCCTCGCACAGTCCTTTGGCCAGGTACGATTCGGATAGATATCTAGCCAAGACCTTCGAGCGAGCCCTAGCCTTCACGCAGCCCCACATCATCGTCTTTCTGGGCGATCTGCTTGACGAGGGCAACATAGCAACAGCCCAAGAGTATAAGCAATATGTGCAGCGATTTAGGCGCATATACCAGAACAAGAAGTTCAAAAAGGTAAGGGAATCTTTTCAAAGAGCCAAAAATATCAATATTTGTAGGACTTATGTTTAAAACCTGACAGTTTTCCATGATCTCTGCCTTTTTTCAGCGAGTCCATGTGCCGGGAGACAACGACATTGGCGGCGAGAATGGCGACTACATATCCAACTCGAACCAAAGGCGGTTCGAGAATGAATTCATGAGTGAGGACCTCTTCGACTATGACAATCACTTGCGTTTCTTTAAGATCAACCGCATGCTGCTGGACTTTACCAATCCGGATAGGGATAACAATGCCGATCGGCTAAGGATTGGCGTCTCGCACGCTCCTTTGCTGATTGGCGGCGGACCCTTGCTGAGGGCCATTATCAGCGACTTGGACCCACATATCATTTTCTCGGGGCACTGGCACGAATCGAGAATATTTATTTACCCCTCCACCAAGGTGATAAACTTTTATGAGAACGCTGTAAGGCACTTCGATCTGAAGGCCTTGAAGGAGCAGGAGCATAGCTATTTGGAGATAATGGTTCCCACCTCCTCGTACCGCATGGGAAAGTCTAAAATCGGCTTGGGCTATGCGGTTTTAGGTGAGTACTTAGTACGTTAAAAAAGTTTTTGTTAGATCTAACTCTAAATCTGACTTTTAGAAAACTACAACCTAAGCTACACAGTTTTGTGGCAGCCAAATCGCTTCATCCTGCTCTTCACCTACGTCTTCTGGGGACTATTTGTCGTCTGCGGTGCCGTCGTCTTCAAAATGATGACCCGCTGCCCATTCCGCGTGGCCAAAAGGCAGACGCTCTACAATCGCGTCTCGACCATACCTCAATTTTAGACTGCACTCCCAATTCCTCACGGACAATAAGCCCAAGATTCTCTGTAATTGCTCGAATGTACCAGTCAAAATGAGATTGAAATTGTATTTATAAACAAGTAGATCATAATCTGATAGTATTGTTTTGTAAGCTTTACAATTGATTGTACATTACCTAACCTAAAACGAATTTTTAGTTCAAATTAGGAAGTAAAAGTATCCCGTGTCCTCCATATCTATTTTCAAATTGCGCATAACATTTTTGTTGGCTTTTGAATTGTATTTATCTTAGCAATGCAAAATGTGTTGTTCAAATAAAATCAGGATGTAAACCAAAGTTGAATGTTCATTACTGCAAGTTTCTCAACTGCTACCTTTTTCAGCATTGCCCTTTTAAAAGGTAGTAGGTTTGTTTTTAGTAGTAGATCCAGCAGAGACGCTCTTTAGGAACAGTTAACGGACTGGCGGACCCGATGAGACAACCTTATACTTATTCCACCATGGTTTTTAGTAGTAGATCCAGCAGAGTCGCTCTCGTCCATGGTAGAATCAGTGCAAGGTTCATTTAACGTACTGACGGATCCGACAAGACTACCCCATATTTATTCTACCATGGTGCGAACTGTGCGCCGGCTGGCAGCGTTAAATTAGCCCTGTGCGGCGTCAAATGAGTTCTGAAACCGAACGCGGAAGGTTGTGCCCTCAGAAAAGATACAATTTGTGGGTTCCCCGAAATCGAGTCGCTCGAAAGATCCCCGGGCTCTGCGTCTCCGGCAGGATAATAAAGCGTGACGCGTGTGCGTAACATAAAAATAACCATAAAGCAAATGCTCTCCACTCCGGGTGGAATAAATGAAGTGAGGTAAAGTGAAGTGAAGCAAGGGAAAGCCAGAAACAGAAACCGACGAAGGCAAACGGCGGAATTCCTTCAAAAAATCGGCAAATAAACAAGAAGAAAAGAGAAGCACACACCGGTTTTGTGCGAAAGAAGCGAAGGAAGTACGAAGTGAAATCAAAAGAATTCTTCGCTTCGAAATGGGGCTGAACGGAAGACGATTGTTCAGCTGCGGCCTGGGATTCTTCTGCCTGATCTTGTGCTCTTACGGTGAGTTGTTAAATCTTCTGGCTGACTCATCTTTTCTCATTTTCATAACTCCTCCACTCCTCCATCTGAACCACAGCCGCACCCTTATCTTTTGAGGATGTGAGCATCGCAAGTGGTCTCCAATCCGCGATAACCATCAAGGAACAGAGTCCTTTGCAACTGCCCTGCGACTACCAACTGCCGGATGAGTATCTCCAGAAGAACAGCGTCGTTCTGCGCTGGCGGAAGGACAACAAAACGCTCCGCCAAGTGGAGCTGGGCAGGACGAGCGGCACCACCAGCGAGCCCCAGTTGGAAACCATGTTGCGCGAGGATTCGCGAGTGGCTTTGAGCAGGGACAGTGGTTCCCTGCAGTTCACCAGTGTTCTGGCCAGTGATGCCGGCCAGTATCAGTGTCAGCTGGTCATCGAGGGTTCCGTGGCAGCCAGTTCCTCCAATGGAGTGGTCACTGTTATAGAACAACTCAAGTTCATGCCGCAACCCACGTCAAAGAACTTGGAGCTGGGAACTCTCAGTAAAGTTCACTGCAAGGCGCAAGGAACACCAGCTCCACAAGTTAAATGGATGCGGGTTAGTAGTCATTTATAAGAATAATGCTAATCCCTTAATTTAAAAATTCAATAAGAGATTTAATTAAATCCAATACTTGAATACTATGATAATACCAAATTTCAAATCTACAACAAAATAGTTTTAGTGCAAACCAGAACATCCTTTATTTTCCACCGTTATTATAAACCCCTAATTAAATACTTAAATCCTATCCTTCCAGGAAACCCAGCTACCTCTACCTGCGAATGTGACCGACCAGAATGGCACGCTGATCTTCAACCAGGTCAGCAACGAGCAGCGAGGTCAGTACACCTGCATCGCCTCCAACAGCCAGGGTCAAATCAGTGCCACCGTGTCCATCAACGTTGTGGTGGCCCCCAAGTTCAGTGTTCCTCCCGAAGGACCCATTGAGGTGTTGGAAAGCGGGACAGCCGTAATCCACTGCCAGGCAATAGGGGAACCAAAACCCACAATTCGCTGGGACAAGGATCTCACTTACTTGAATGAGAACAATACGGATGCGGATCGCTTTTCGGTGATGGAGAATGGAACGCTGGAGATCCGGAATGTGCGACCGGAGGACGAGGGTCGGTATGGCTGCACCATTGGCAGCAGTGCGGGATTGAAGCGAGAAGATGTACTGCTGGTGGTGAAGTCCAGTAAATCTGCCTCAAACTCGATAATCACCAGGATAATCATAGTGATCATCTGTCTGGCCTTCCTGTACTTTGTGCTGGTGCTGGGCCTGAAGGTCTGGTACCGCTATCGCCGTCACCTGGGCAAGGTCCAGTTGGAGGACGGGCATGCCAATGGACCCACCGATGGCCAGGAGCACGATCACCAGGAGAACGAGCCCTGCCTGACGGAGGCCAACTCCAGCAAGAATCTGAAGAGCAAGCTGAGGGAGAGCACCATCCTGGAGCAGGAGTCGCAGGTGGCCGATGATATTGTGTGAGGAGGAGGAGCAGCACTTGCCCTCCGGACACCCTTGTCTGCCACTTTCCATGATCTCGGTCACGTGCCCCTCGAGTGTTACTCCGTTTTGTTGTTGAGAATCAAAAAGGAACTTGTGAAATCCAACGGAAATCTATTTGTATTTATATTTATCTAGTTTATGTAACTATATGTATTTATGCATGTGTGTGTCTGTGTGTATATATCCCATGTACAGTTATTTTTTAGTAGAATAAATATTTTATGGCTCTCATAGAGCCCCATTTTATAGCGCAATCGTTTCAATCTCCTGTTTTCTATTTTTTCTGTTTTTTTTTTTTTGCGGCAGGGCGGGCTCGTAAAATTCCTACGCTCCACCATCATAAATTCGTAGCCCACTTGGCACTTGGCCGTAAAGCCCATGGAGCCCGGATGAGTGTTCCACAGCTTTTTATGCGCTTTTTATGACGAAGGCAGCTCGCATCGGATGACGAAAAACTCCGCTGCAAAAGAAGGGCAACCCCCGATAAAAAGGTCGTAAAATAGCTCGACATTCTGGCGTTTCTTCGCAGGCAGGGTTGATTTCCTTAAATGAATACAATGAAATTACCTCTGTTTTTTGTTGTGTTATAAAAATGCTTATTAATTTTTTAGATCTGAAAATCAAAAACCCAGGATATAATAGGAGAAAGATCTTAAATATTTAACCTGTCGTAATAGGGAACTTTTTCCTTTCAACTATGATGACTTTAATGGTATGTTGTACTTCTTCCTCCTGCATGTTCATAGTTCATCTGCTGTGGGCATCATCAAGTGAATTCCCCACAATTGCCGACGACAATTTCTTTCCAATTGCCAGCGTCTGCACTTAATCGCTTCATTTCCATTTCCATTTCCATTTCCACTGCCATTTCCACTGGCATATTCAAGCCCGTTCAGGGCTTCAATCGCAATTGCCCGTGCGTTTTATGCATATTTTATGGTTTTTTATAGCGCTCGAATAAACAGTGCACATCAAAGGCGAGGGCAATGGTAATAATATCCAAAGGCAACCACACATGCGCAGGTTACTCCATGCCAGGCACCAGATAAAAAAGTAAGCGGCAAGTGCAATTAAACGACTCCAACCACCCACCCCCCACCACCCCCTTTTCCCTACCCCCCTTCCCCTGCATTTCCACCAACCCATACGAACGGTATGATATGTTATATGGTATGCTATGGATATGGTATCCTATGCAGCACCCCAACCTCTATCTCTCTCTCTCTCTCTCTCATTCTTTCTTTCTATATATATGTATATATACGATTTGCCTTTGATCTGCGGCGGCGACGACGACATCGACATGCATTAAAAACTTGTTGTTGGGGGCCCTTCCGCTGATGTTTTCCCTCTACTTCGATTTTCCCTCGCTTTCCTTTTTTTGGGCACTTTTTCGCCTTATTTGTTTATAGTAAGTGCGCACGGGGCTGCTGGCTTGTGGCTCTGCCCAAAAACACCTTCAAACGCTGTACTATGTATGTTTATTTTGTTTAGTCTACGCAAAGGCCGCGTTACTAAAATTTATTTTAATGCCTTCAAATGTTTGATGTTTGCTAGCGGAGCATTCGGATCTCGATTCTAGCCGGAATCCGTTGCAACTTTGGGATGCTCCATAAAATTATACGATTGTGAGGCGTTGAGTTACGGTAAGCAGTTCGAAATAATAACTTAAACATCTATGAAAAGCGATCTGAATGGATAACTGGAAGTCCCTACAAGATGAAAGGATTTCTGGTTAGTCGGAAAAATCTTACTTTCTGGGGAAGAATATCTGAATGTATTTGACTTCCTTATTTGAGATTTTTGCCTAATTAAGCTATGGAATCCCGACCAAAGAGATATCTGCGCCTTATCCAATTAACATATTACCCTTTTGCAACCCTTTTGAAAAACAAACTTCAATACAATATTATTAACACACCATTTGCAGCTTTGGTTCGTCCGATCGTTTACACCCCAAAATCAAGAGGGCGAAAAAAAAAACAAGAACCAAAAATGAAACAAGGGGCATAATAAAACATAAGCCCTACATTCAGGCAGGGCATGGCATAAATCTCCAACTTTATGACATCAATAACTGTCGTTCGTCCAAAGTCAGCCAGTGAGCATTGGGAAATGGGAAATGTTAAATGGAAAGTAGAAAAGCGCACTGGAGGTCCCAACTTTGGATGGTCCCTTTCCCTTCTGGGCATGGCCAGCATTTGATAACCGCACACACGCATTTCCACGCCGATATAATCACAAAGGGCCGGGTCTGTTAATCAGGGGGCGGGGAACAGGGGATGAGGGGGGAAAAAGGGGGTGGGCACCACCCCTCTCGGTTATATAGTTTATACAAATGGCAACGGCAGTTTACGACTGTTGGGTGTCAGTCAACGCCGGCTAAAGGATCTGCTGCAATTGTTTCTGCGGCTCCTGGGTTGGTTTTCCATTTCATTTTTCCATTGTGCGGGGTTGAAAGGCCTCGTAAAAAAACAAGCGGAAAACTATAAAATGGAAACACACACAGCGCCGCCACTCGCTCATAATCGCACAGTAGCTGTGGACTGTCTTAGATGCACAGAAAGAAATGTGATCTGCTAGATTAGATTTATTTAAATTTTAAAGCATGCACTTAATAGGATAATATAATTATATTTAATAATTATACATATAAGTTAATACCCATACCATTTTTAAGTTATTTTACTTAAAGAAGTAATGAATTAAATATAATGTGTTGTAATTATAATTAAAGTGTGAAACCATACATTTTCCCACCATTTAATTTAAATAAATAATTCATTTTATTTTCCCCTCCTGAATCTTTTAATTGGTTTATTATTCTTTAAGTGTGTAAACTTGGTAGTGTAAGTGTCTTGCAGTTTCCCCAAGCCACGCGGTAATACTGCTCGTAAAAACAGCGAGCCACCAATGGATTTCCTTCCCTTCCCGCTCGACCACCCCATTTTAGCCGATTCTTGGTTTGGTCATTAAGACGCATTATTGTTTGGATTTAAAATCGGGGGAAGCGGCGGATGATGAGACAGCGGGCGGTTTGCATAGTAACTCTCTGTTGATTGCCGGCAACTGATAGCTTTATTTTGCATTACTGAATTATAGTTTCGGGGGGAGTTCATTAATTAAATTTAAGAAGATATTCTGCGTCAGCGAGTTTAAAAATGATTTGATTGTATTAAATTGTTGTTCTTTATAAGTTGATTTAATTCGTAAACAATTTATAAGCTTAACAGAGTTAAGTACACTTTTAAGGGACGTACAATTTATAATTCAAAAGAAAGGCAGCTCATTTGTATTGCATTGTTTAAAATAAATTAATATATTCTCTTCAGGAGACTAAACTACCTAAAAAAGAAAACTATTTAATATGAACATGACTTTTACAACAACTAAATTGATTCAAATTGCTTGGATACATAAACCAATTTAGTCTTTCAAACTTTGGCGCCCACTTTCAGCACGGCAACACTGTTGAGCAGCACAGAATACCTCCAGAGAGAGAGGGCCCATTTGCTCCCAGTACTTCTGGCATGGAGACCACAAAAAGCCGGTTTTCACCATGGTGAAGTAAGTACTTCAGTCCGTTAACGTTCGTATCCACCACCATCGTATTCTTAAGTTTACATGGCAGCGGCAGAGCCTGGTTTGTTGGCCAGAAGGGTGAAGATTCTGAACGTTAGCGGACTTAGCCCGAATGATTTGGCAGCCGAGGAGACAATCTTGTACCTATTCTACCATGGGTTCCCACCAACAACTTCGAACAGCCGGCTTCAGTAAAGACTTCGAGCGCGTGCAGTTCGGTTCGATTTGGTTTGATTCCTTGGACATAAAGCGATAGCCCGCTACGTTCCATTCGATACGTTCTGAGTTTTCCGAGTTTCCCCCGACCAGAAATCACCCACCGAAAGCCGGTTCGGGATGCGCTGCCAAGGATGCAGCTGATGCGGCCAGGCTATTGTATCTTTGGGATACAAATTAAGTTGATTTGTTGCGCTCGCGTTCTCTTGGGTAATTGAACCCCGGGTTCCTTGTGCCGCGGTCTTCGAGCATTTCACCGGGATTGCATTTTGTGTATCTAGATACCTTTGTCGGTATCCGTCGCTTGTCAATCTGCTCGCTGATAAAAAGCAAACGCAGCGCGACCACGAAACATAAACCACCAACAACAACGACAACGACAAAACGACAACGGGAAAATAAAAGTAACAACTGCGAACAGGGCAAGTGGCGTATCTTTTTTGTGTGGCCTATCTCCTCCGCTCGGTGTTCGGTGATAAATGCATTTCATGCGTTCCAACTATGTAAATAGCAATTTAATTTGAGTGTCCACAGTAAACATCGAAAAAAAAAAACCGCCCTGGACTCCGAGGTACTCCCAAGTACCACCCCCGTAAAACCCCCACCCATCGGAAAACCCCCAGTAAGCTGCCCTGGAAAAAGGGCAGTCGTCGTCGGATTCATTGGATTCGTCGTCTGCGGCATCCAAATATTGAATATTTACAAATGCGTTGAGTGCACTTTCGAGTGGCCGGCACTTACAGCGACTCTTCGTTCGGTGAATGTGTGCGAGTGTATTCATCGGATTGCCAGCCCCATAAAACTCCGATCCGATTCCGATCCGATACGCGAGTGTTCATATTTTGGTGTCGCTAATTGAGAGTCGAGGTGTTGAAGTGAGTGCAGGATATACGCAAATGGCTGCCAGGATGATCTCAATTTACTGCCTGGCCATCGCTTTGATGATGGGTAAGTGCTCCTCTATTGGATTATGTGGGTTAAGTGAAGGGTTCTTACTTCTTTTGGGGGGATGACAAAATTGAAACATCGTGGAATCTGGCAAACAAATGAATCTTGTTTGCTCAAGGGGCTTGGAATTCATATTTATTTGCTTGGTTTGATGTCGGCAATTGCAAATTGCTTTTGCAACTGGATCGCTGGCAACTTCAAAGGAATCCCAACATTTGTATTGCGTTGAATATTCGCCATTGCGTCTTAAACGAAAGACCACCCATAACGTGGACTCCATTAACCCCAGGGCTCTCTCAGTCAGAAAGAACTACTCCTATTTCCTTATTCTGCGAGGGCTATTTTGTGTTGCGAAGAAAAACCAAACACCCAACGAGCCTTTGTCTCTGGCAATTGAATTTGAAAGGCAAGCGGAGTGCAAAATGACTCAATTAAAAGTCAGCCAGGAGCAGAACTAATTTGGAATAGGAGAAGCAAACCAGCGGGAGAGGAAGCCGCTTGGAAAATTATGGGACTCAGTGGTAAGGACACGACCGAGTTCAAAATTAAGTCGTTTGGGCAATCATCAACAGTCAGAAGAGAAGAGCAACTAATGTGAGAAGGATACGCAGGGTAAAAAATAAGGGTATCAACTTCATAATAGATTCGAGATGTTTGGTATCATGAATTATGTATTTAACAGATACTAATGTATTCAAATCCATACCATTATTTATTTACAAAATATGTATGGCTCACAAATTAATAGACTAATAATCAGTTATCAGCAACACAATTTAAAGTAGGAAAGCACTTAGGCCTAACAAGATACTTCATCTTGGTAAATGGTTCCTCAATCAGCACGTATTTCTCTCAGTGCCAGCACACACACACTTGAAGTAAACGGACTTCGCTGGCAAGGATCAGGATAACCACTTGAAGTGAGACAAGCGACGCCGAAATTTCGGCTAATCAAATATAGTTTACGGCAGGGATTACGAGTGGGATAAGGATCGAGTGTGTGGAGGGGGGATCTCGGGTCTCAAGAGGGACACGATTATGCAAACGGAGGTCCCTAAATACGCATGTAAGCGAGTATAGTATGTGTGTCTGTCTGTTTGTTTGTGTGTGTGAGACAGGACAGAGTTGAAAACTGCTGACTGTTAAGTAGCACAAAGGCAAACAGCCGCTAACAAAAGCCAGCCGGCAGACGACGAGGGATTCGGGTTGAGGGGATTTGGATTCGCATATTTCAAAATCTGTGCAACGCTACAGAGGTCCATTATTTGTATGGCAAATAATGTGGCTGTCAGTGTGTGTGTGTGTGTGCGAGTTCCTTTTGTGTGGCAGTCATAATTTGTTATTCAAGCATGCAAAATGCTGCATGCAACATGCCAGGCCAGAAGCAAAAGCAAAAGCAAAAGCATCGCATCCCACATTAAGGGCAGCTGTGGCAACTACAAAACTCCCCTTCAACAACCTTTTCCACCCCGCCCCCTGCCCTCTGCCCCTCTGTCCGCCTGTCTGCGTCCTTCGGCAGCCTTAAAGACCTCAAGGCGAAAGTCCTGGGAGGGGAACCCTCCTGGAAATTGTGCGCACCAGTCTTGTATTTGCTTAGAAGCCATGCAATTTCTGTCTGAATTATACCAATTATATTTGATCTCCGCTTAAGAGAAATTTAATTTCCAAAAAACCCAAAAATATTTTACCTTTAAAGAAGTCTCTGGATGAAATTTGAATTATAAAAGAGCTTTATTCATCTCTGTATTTTATTTAAGCCACAAGGAAAATGGTCAAGGGAAACCCAACCGTAGTTAAAAGGAAAAATCCCAGAATAAAGCCAGAGAGTGATTAGCCTTGCTGTAACCTCCAAATTGAATTCCAACTCCATCAGAGAATCCAGCCCATTACGGTCTCTTTTCACCCCTGGAGAAAACCCTAGATCAAACGTTTGACGGGTAATTGTCAGACACATTTCCACTTTTCATTCAGTGCCTGTCTGTCTGTTGACTTGCAGTTTTCCGGCACCGGCACCGGTTTTCCCAGACAAATGCCACACATTCCAGAATGACAGTTCACTTCTTACTCCCCCTGTTTTCCCCCCCTTTCTCCTCCCTCGAACGCAATAACGAAATCAAATCAAAACGCCACCCATGGGGCAAGTTCAAGTGGCTGCCACAGTGGGTTGCCTGATTATTACAACAATATTTCGCATTCATTGTGCTTAATCGACAAATGTTGCCGCACAATTTGTGGCCGTCGAAGTTGGATTTGTATCCGTATCTGCGTGGCACCAGAATCCGAATCGGAATCTGAATCTGAATCTGAATCTCAAGATGCTGATGAGCAGGAGGCCCCAGCAGTTGGTACTCGTAATACTTCTGGCTGCTGACTTGCTGATTTCGGTTATTCGAGCCAAACAAACGAACTAATTATCACACACACACATGCAAACAGGGGGTGAAAGGGAGAAATGGGTGATACACTGAGAAAGTTTTGCTTAAAAATTACAACAAATTTTTTTAAGGAACTCTTTTAATCAATCAACTAGTAGGGGACATATTAACCGGAAATAGTTCAATCTTCAAGTTTAATTTTTAATGGATTTCCGAAAATGTTATGTTATAAATATGTAGGTAATGTTATTAAAATTGTAAAATTACCAAAAGATTTATTGCTTATTTAAATTTTCAGTTACACTCATAATCGTCAATAGTTTCTCCTTAAACCAAATTTACACTTATTAATTAGATCTTAAAAAATATTGCTAATGTGAATTAAAAATTAGAGGGGTTTAATCTTATTTATTTCCTTACCCTTGGCTGATTTATTTCCGCTCAGTGTTTATTTGCAGACAGATCGAGATGGGCAGTTGGGACCGGGACTGCCCGCTGCTCCGTGGCTCTGTCGCTGATGTTTGCAGCATCAACACTTTTTCAGTTTGCTGCTCCGTCTCCACCAGTGCTTCCCCTCATTCCCCCCATCCTCCCCATCGTTTTATCGAACCCCTCACGCATTTTCGTGCCCACATCAGCGCAATCAGCGAGTTGAGGAGCGGGACGCATATTTCTTTAATCGACGCCCAGTAACTGACTTTGTTCCCCCACCTCGAACTCGTTTTCCGCACGGCAAATTAAATCGATTCAGGGGGGCTGTGTGGGATCGAAGGGAGGAGGAAGAAGGGATTCCAGATCCAGAGGAGGGCATCCCGGTATCCCAGTGCCTGCCCAACTGGCTTTCAGGTTGGCCTTCGCTCCCTTCGTTGTAGTCGCCTTGTATCATAACACGTCGGCTGGCGATGTGACTGGCATATGAAACCCGGGGAGACCCTCCTCCCCCGAATCGCCTGTAATGATGTTGTTGGCCCGCTTATTGATTCCGAGTCGTGGTCGTGGCCCAAAGGAACTCTCCTTCGCAGGAACCCCACAATCTGAGGTGTTGTCTCAAATTGCTCCAATTAGTGGCCAAATATAATGGTGGCCGTTTTGTAGTTCTTGTTCTTGTCCATGTTCCTGCTGCCTCAATCGTATAATCAAAAATAATTGCCTTTGAATTGCTTTTCGATTCGAGTTGCGGTTCGAAGGGATCTCGTCTACTTGACTCACTTGACTTTTTAGCCTCCTATGGCGCCACTTGTGGTCTTATTTAAACAACTTTAATGGGATAAAGTCTTTTTGAATCGGTTATCCGAATTTCTTGACGGCTCATTAGGCAATCGTCATTAAAACGCAAACATATCTGCCACACCTGACTATTCAATTGCATTTTAAGTGCAGCAAATTGCATTTGCGGCTGTTGATTTAATATAATAACCAAATTGCATTGCCAAACAAAAAAAAAGCGGGAAACCCACAAATTAAATGAATGAAAACATATTTTCTCTCTGAACAACGTTTTTTTTGGTCCCGGTTTTTATGGCCGCCTTTCTCTGGGCTTTTAATTATGTTGGCACAAAACTCTGAATACGTTTTTGTTTATTTTATTTTCCATGCACATATTGTAATTTTGTTTGCGGACACGCAACTTCGGTCGGCAGTAATATAGGGCTTTCCCCTATCCGGTTTTTTGATATCCTTTTTTGAAAATAATATATTAAATTGAATATTTTAGGACTTATGCAGAGCGAACTAGTTGCTCCCAAAACCAGTTTAATTTTAATTAATTAAAAGGACTTCCAACAGAAAGTTAATAAACCCTAAATATATAAGGGTATTTTAAAGGGCTTTTTTCCACTTTTTGAGTATTTTGTTGCTGGTGTTTTTGTGCCTTTGCCCTTGCAAAGCGCTCAACAAAATTACATTTGCGTTAAACACTGTAATTTAAGCAGCTTAAGAGCATTTAATTTGTTAAAACCACCTTAATTAAACGAAATTATGCTTGATGCACTTTTTTGTTTAATTATGTTAAATTGTTCGAAAAGGTATAATTGCGATGAGCTTAGGCTGCAGAATTGAACTTTAAAGGGTAATTCCAAAGCTGCAACTTCTCACCCTGTAATCAGTGTAACGAGTATCTCAAATGAGATAAAATTCGCTAATTTCGCTAATTTGGTGTATCTACTTTTGCAATTACAGCTCCCGTTTTTGCCGGCTCGTCGCGCTTCCTTCGATTGCCACAAAGCCAGTCGGTGGTGGAGAACGAGTCCGCGGACTTCGAGTGCGAATCCACGGATCCCTACAGCGAACTGCACTACGACTGGTTGCATAATGGTGGGCATCACGATTTCCATATCCCATGGACGTGCATTAAGTATTCGTTTCTCCCGTTTTCTTGGCAACCATTCCAGGTCATCGGATTGCGTATGACAAGCGTGTCTATCAAATCGGCTCCAATTTGCATATCGAGGCGGTGCAGCGAGCGGAGGATGTCGGCGACTATGTTTGCATCGCGACAAATTTGGCCAGCGGCGCCAGGGAGGCGTCTCCGCCCGCCAAATTGAGCGTGATATGTGAGTAGTTATCCCCGATTTCCACCGAGTACCATATACCATATATACATATATATACAGGGTGCGCCATCTCGAGCTTCGGTATTGAATAACTTTCGAAAAAAACAAAAATTCATGGAAAATGTTTTATGTTTATTTAGATTGATCCTTTACAATTCATTTGAGTTAGTTTTTGAAGGGTCTAGAAAATTTCTGGTTTCAGCAGGACGGGGCCCTATGTCACACAGCAAACGAAACCATCGAGTTTTGCAGCGAAATTCCCTGGATGCGTTGTGTCAAAAAGAGGCGATATCGACTGGCCGGCGCGTTCGCCGGGCTTGACCCCGCCGGATTTCTTTTTGTGGGTATACATAAGCAAGCCCTAGACCATCACAGAGCTCAAGGAGAGTATTCGCACCGAAATGGCCAATATATCGGCCGATTGCTCAAGAAAGTAATGGAAAATGCTCGAAAAAGGACACTTTTTGCCATCAAGAACAAAGGAAGTCACTTAGTCGATATTGTGTTCAAAAACTAACTCAAATGAATTGTAAAGGATCAATCTAAATAAACGTAAAACATTTTCCATGAATTTTTGTTTTTTTCCAAAGTTATTCAATATTTTCATACCGAAGCTCGAGATGGCGCACCCTGTACCATATCCATTTCCATTCCCGCCAGTCGCACAATTGCTCGCAATAAGCAAATTGACTGATGGTTAAGGGCGACTGCAAATCTGACTTTGCTTGGGTAAATTAACAAAGCGAAATTGAATTGCTCGAGAAGTACACAGAAGTCTTTGGTTTACAAGGAATTATTTATCTGTTACTTAAAGATTCGATAGTTTACTTATTTATATTTACCCAAAAAAAGAAAATAGTGCAGATTATTTAGTTGGAAACAATCTATGAACTCTAAAGCTTTTATTTAGGAATGCTTTATCTCATATAGAACACAATATAGTACTCCATCCAAACTCTATTTAGTTTCTCTGCGTGTAATTGCTAGGCATAGGGCAAATTCATTTGATTAATGCTGCATTTAATGGCATTCCGTACCCCCTCCCCGGGCACCACCCCCGATCCAGCCCATTTTTAGAATGGGGCAAACCACAAGACAACAAGAAAAGGTAAAGAGGCATAAAAACACAACCGAAGCGAACGAGCGAAGCGCTGCACAACAAACCGATGAAAGATAAAAACCGAAAGTTTTGATGTACATGCGTCAGATCCCATGCTAACCGAACCCCCTTCTCCCCTCCCCCCTCCACGCCCCTTTTGTAGTAGCCCCTCCCTCCGCCCTGAAGCCCCTTTCCCCAAAAACTACAGGAAGTGCAGTGCAGTGCACAGAATGCAGTCCCATGCAGCAGAGCGTAAAAAGAATACCCCGATGAAGAAGAACCACACGGAGAAAAGCTAATCGATTCTTTAACTGATCAACTGATAAACCCACTTTAGTTTGCAAGGATAATGGTTCCAATAAAACTATTTTCTATCATAAGAATACTTTTTTTTTTATCAATAAAAAGAGTCTATATGATGATGAGTTATTATACTTACCAAATATCTTCCAGTTGAAACTGAAAAGCAAACCCTTCTGAAGTTTTGATTTTTAATGGAACGATATATTTACTGATTATTGAAATAATCTTTAAGAATATATGATCTATGGTTTGATAAGACTCATATAATAACATTAACTTGTTCCTCTATTATCCTAAACTAATTTAAAATCTTTTTTCAAATTCGTTTGAATAATAAGCTATAATTTTCGCTCAGTGCATGGGTGATTCCCTTCAAGTAGCAAGTGCAGTTGCAGTTCTTGGCCTCATGTTGCGGCAGCGGCGTCACGTGATTGATGTTCATTTAGTTGCATTTGCCTTTAGGCAGAAAAATGCATAAATTTAACAAACAACTCTGCAGCGCTCCCCAATCTTTCCCCTCCCCCTTCCCTTTCCCCTCCCCCTCCTCCTCCCCCTCCCCCTTTAATTCCCTTCCCTTTGCATGTAAACAAAATGCGGGTTTTTATGCACAATCTGGAGTGCATGTGTTTGGGGGCTTCCTATATAGCAGATATATCTGTTGGCTGCTATCTGCATCGGCATCGGCATCTGCATTCGTATTTGTATTTGTATCTGTAAATGTATCTGTAGCTGGCCTGTCAGCACGGCCACGGCATCCGAGTTGTGATCAAAGCCACCCAACAGCAATGGGCGGCTATTTATACACCAGCCTCATCTCAAGTGTTTTTAGCTAATTAATTAACTAATTAATTTGTAGTTTCGGGAGTTGATTTTAATTGCCACAGCTCCCCCCAAAAAACAGCTGCTGTTTAAAAGCTCGTGGATGGGGGGGAATATATATCTTTCGGGGCGGTGGGGTTGTGTCTTGGCGCCAGCTGAAGCTAAGTGGGTTATGTGATTACAACCCCCTGCCCAACTTGCATCAATCTCATAATTCTCGAGCGGCAGACAAAAACTATTAAAATATGCATGGGGCCAAGGATGAAGATGCTGTTGTCTGCTCCCAGCTCTGAGATTATAAACGTTTTTATTCAGGAGCCGTCGTTATTGTCTCCCGACTGCATTGTCTCAGCCGGGGTTTCCCCGTCTCCATTTTCTAACGAAAATAAGTGTTCAATTAAGCGCGAGAAAAAGTGACATCTTTGCATGCAAAATTTAACAAATTTGCGATGGAGGGTAAGTGACAGAAAGGCTGTAGAAGTAAGGGAAAAATTGGGGATTTATTATGTCATTAAAAGGAAGAAAGCAAATCTATCAAATTTGTAATGATTAGTAAAAAAAACATGAAAAGATGTAAGCTATTAAAATTTATCAGACTTTGAAGTACCTCTGATTGTTGGTATATTGATTCTATAACAAACTGCATCATTAGTTAATTTTTTTATTTTTTTTACCGATTTTTTTTTTTTAATTTGCATGATCCTTTCCAAATTTCCAAAAAATGGGTTTGCTGAAATTTGACCAAAATTCACTAGTTCTATGTCCATAACTTATCTAATTTAAATCAGATTTTGAATTGGCATTCCATAGTATCAATACAGTATATTTAACAAATGTAAATCATTGTAAGGAAAGGTTTAGACAAAGAAAATACGAACTGTTAATTAAAACAAAGTACGCTTCAGCGAATGCAAATAAAAGCAAATCTTTAAGATGCTCGCAATCTCAACGGCCAAGTCGGGAAAATCCCTTTTGCAGGATCATAAAAACGGGAAGACAAACGCTGACAGGGCCGGGAAACTAACCGATGACTACGAGGAATTAAGCAGACAGCGAAGAAATTAAACAGACAGCGGAGCGGCAATAAAACCAAAACCCAGAATCAAGTCACGGCCAAAACGAGGAGGAAGACAGCAGTGTCAGACCGAAAAACCAGACGACTGGCTTCTGAAAGGACGAACTGGGTGATGGAGAGGGGTAAGGGGAAGACATTCCAAACATTTTCTCAGCGAAAGGGGTTGTTGGACTCTCAGGACTCAGAGCCAGGATACACAGACTAACCATTGAACAGCTGAGCGGAGCTGTTGGCTAAAAGCAAAGGGAAATGTGCTGGTTCGTTCGTTCGTATGGTGAAATGTACGGGGGAAATGAAATGCAACATTAACACGAAACATAAACATAAAATGAGAAATGGCAGCAGCAACATCAGCAGCAACAATGGCAACCGAACAGCCAGCAAAGTCATAAAAACCAAACAAAATGCAAAGACACACCAAGGACATAAAGGGTGAGGGGCGTTGAGGGGGTTGAGGGGAGGAGTTGAGGGGGTGGCAGGACGAAAAGCAACCCCCAAATCGGCCAGACCAGGCACCCCCATCGCACATATATAGAAGACTCCTGCCGCCCGATGTATCTGTGCTCTAGACACACAAGTTCAAGTTGACTGCAGTTGGCAAGTTGGGTTTTTATTTTACGAACATCCCGGGGGTGGAACGGGATTCCCGGGGATCCGTGCTCGCGCGCGGGGGGGAAACCGGATAATTTTCATTTTGTGAATGCCGGAAAAACGCATAAAATTTTACGAGCCGAGCTCGGAGAACATTAAAGGGGACGACGACAGACAGACCGAAAAACAGACACGAGCTTCGAAACAGTAAATGTAGCCAACTTTTTGGCGCGCTAGCTTGCTGTCCTCTCTTTTCCGTCTATTTGGCTCTACACAGAAAGGAAAGTGACATTTTCTATATAAAAGAAGGTTCTAATTAATAAATAATATGGTTTTCCAAAGTCTTAGCAGATTTTCTAAGAATTTACCCAAGTACTTTCTATATCTTCTATGATTATTAATGCCTAAGAAAGAAAGTCAAACATTTCTACAGATTTCGTTTCCTTATTCATATTTTCCCTGTGTACCTCTTTTCATCAGCTCTTTTTCTAACTCTAGGACTTTCTTTATTTTCCTTTTTGGCATTTATTTTACTTTTAGCTTTTTTTCTGTTGTTACACGAGTTGATCATTAGCAACTTTTGGGGAAGCATTAGAGGCCAGCAGCAGCAGCAGCAACAGGAGCGCAGTTCGGGAAATCCCCCGCAAAAGGGGGTGATGCCCTTGCAAGAGGGCAAAGGTCACAGTGACTTAAGCCCCCGTTTCAGCAAGCCACTGGTGAGAAAAAGCAAAGAGAGAATCCCCAGCACAGACGACGTGCGATAATCGAATGTTTAACGTTTTAATTTGAAAAGCGTTTGGGGTGCTGAGACAGCGACTGGCCAACTTTAATTAAAGATTCTGCGATAACGCAACGGAGGAGCCATCGAATGTGCTCCCGTCTGTCGTTGCCATAAATTTTCCATAAACGACTGGCCGGCCGGCCACAGAGGAAAATGGGTAGGAAAAATCGGAAATCTGAAATGCGAAATCTGAAATTCATTGATACTGAAATGCGCTGATGAAAAGCACTCATCGATTTGTATCTGCGGCAAACGATCTGGGAAATAGTTCGTTTGTGGAGTACTTATTATCTGCACACAGTTTTGATACACACAATATTCGACCTCTCGCATCTGCGCCAATTTGTGAAATGGGTCAATAACTTGTAAGCCGCTTTGTGCCCAGCCAATTGAAGTGGAATGAAATGGAGTGGAGTGGTCAACTGGCCAACTGGAAGTGCAGAAGGGCTGCATAAGTCCATTAACGTTTACAATTACTGGCCGACTACTTCAGAAACTCGGAAAGTCACTTGTACGGTCTCCCATTTCCCGGTGGCCACTTGGTTTCGTGACAGTTCTGAAAACATTTCCACTCGAGCCAGCGATTCAGAACTCGGCCCGCCCAAATAATCTATTTTTGATTATCAATTAATTGTATTTTCATAAAAGTGAGCGATAAACGGAGTGCAGCATATGCAGCTCCCTCCTAAAAAGAAAAATACATAGCTATCTTATCGAGGGTCTCACGTTTGACGAAATAAGACGCAGTCGGCACACTTATTCCGCCTTTGGGGTCTTGGCTTTTATATTTTGAAGAGGGGGTTGGTTGAAAGGTTCTCGATAACGACTCGATCTGCTCTCCAACTCCCCGGGCAACTGTCAATTCCGATATCTATAATTCTGCCCGCCTTTCGACATTTACTTCCACTTTGTTTACCCAAGGCGTCTCTATTTTTTTATGGGTCTCCTCCACCCACTCCCTTTCCTCCCGAAACTCCTCGGCATTCCGGCAATTGTTTACAGCGATTGTGGTTTATGCTCCAGCCAGCGAAAACTTTAACAAATTTATTTTGTTTCGGAGTCGTGTTGGTTTACTTCGTTTTATTTCCACGTTTCCCAGTGCTGTTGCCCTGTGTTTACCTCGACTTGCACGTTCAACGTGTGAATGACGACCGCCTTCCGACCCCGCCTGTAATTTTTAAAGCCACCCCTCCACCCCCTTCCCTTTCTGGGCACTCCCTCCCACGCCCACTGGGTTGGCATCCCAAAGGTGTCAAAAGATCCGCAGACTCTGACGATGCATGCATCAGCCTAATGAGACGCTCGTTAATTAGCGAGACGCGGCTGGCTCGTAATTTGAGTAACAGTTAGGCCACGTTTTCTTACCTGCCGCTAGTAAGCCAACATATGGTGGGACTGCAGAGGTAGCACTGCCCAAGATCACTGAGGAATCTCTAAGCTAGTGGTGCCTAAGATTATAGAAGAATGCCTTCAAATTAGTAGTTGCAGAGATAGAGATTCATGGGCGGTAGCACAATGAAGCGATTCAAACAAAGCTATACTTTGTAAGCTACTCCAGATTTTGTCTTTTATGGCAGCGGAAACTAGTACAAGTTAAGATGGTGTAAGATGATAACAAGAATGCATTTTTTATGAATTTAGAAATATGTTAAAATGAGTTCACTTACATAAAAGATTTTTTATGATTTCCCTAATAAGAATAAAACATAACGACTTTGTTTCCTACTTATAAAACAACAGGTATTCAAATTCTTTAAATATTTGAAACGTAAGTCTATTGAAAGCTGTTTAAAAGTGTAGAACTTAAGTATCTGCATTTGTAACCATCAAATAAAATATCTAACATGCCATATTTACCCCATTTTACGACAAAGCCGAGTGTCGATTGCCACACTTGGCTGTGGAATGCCTGCCCATCAGATACTTACATGTTTGCCCCTCGAGTTGCCCAACTTGAATGGCCAGCCCACTTTACCTGCTGCTCAGTTCCCCCAGATGTTTGGCCATCCATTAGATACTTTCGCTCGCAGGCCGTCTAAGTGCCAATTAGTTCGCTCTACTGTCATTTTAGTCGTAACATATACCAAAAGTTTGTGCCACAGGCCAACCGAAACCAACGAATCCATTGGATCCATCGGTGCTCCATCGTCGTCGTCGTCGTTGTCGGAATGACGGACGTGCCCCGAGAAGAGCAAATACACAAACACATTTCAAACTTTTGACACTTCCCCAACGGAGACGAAGATACGGCTCTGTTTATTGAGTTGTTGCTGTCGGTTCTGTGTTTTTTTTCCTTCTTCTCGGTTTTTTTTTTTGGCTTGCCTGCCACCAAATAAGTGTCTACAAATATTTAGAGGCATTTTTTGTTCACTGACTCCGCGAGACGCAAACAAAGTCGGTGCCCAAACAAGATTTATGTGCATATGTAAATTTTCTCTAACGCGGCCAGCAAACCGCAGCCAGAACTGGCAAACATTCAGATAGGCAGGCGGAGAGGAAAAATATCCATAAAACATACATCAACCATTTGCCTAGTCCGCTCCTTCGGGCCGCAGATAAAAAATGTTTTATGAAAATTATGGCACCATCTTCGAAGGCTGCGAGGAAATGTGGGAAATACGTATACGTTTACGAAAAACCCAGGCAAATAACGAATCTGGGGGAAAAAAAAAACAATTTGAATAAATTATTTGGGAGGATTTCAAATTAGAACTTTAAGGCGAAACATCGCTCGGCATCCGACAATTATCACTCTGCATACAAAAGTATCTCATTCACATCAACACAATGGACGGCAGATACACGATTGCAGCTGAAAGATACGAAGGAAGTCCGGTAGACAAAAGCCACACACTGAAAAGAAACCTCAATGTTTGGAATTTCAGAAGTTATAAGATCAGATTGAAAGATTCCTTTATAAAGAAAGCATCTGTTAAAAAGATACATTATGTTGAGAATATCTTAAGCCGTGCAATACTATAAAACTTTTATTCTTTATATGTAGGAGTTAAACGATTTTAAAATATTAAATTCATGATAGCAATAGAGATTAGTAACTTTCATTATATCCAATAAATTTATTTACCAATTCACACTAATCATTATATGATTGGATTAATATCTTTTGAATAACTAAAGCAAGGAAATCCTGTTATGTACGAATTAATTTTTTTAACTGTGCAGCGATTGTGAATGCTAGCGTGTCTGCAACATGACCGGCCACGCCCCTTTTGCCTCTGGCTTGCACTAAAACATAAATTAAACCCTATGCCATAGAACAGAGTTTAGAGAGCACTGCGAACATTCTTCGCTTGCTCTGCAGTTTTCTTTTCTTTTTCCCCCACGTTTTTTATGCGCTTTTCTTTTCCGCCACAAAAACTCTTTTCTCATGCGGCAATTGTTGGCAAGTACCGTTCCATTCCGTTCCGTCTGGCCAGGAAAAGTGGAAAGCCCGCCGGGCAGGAGGATCGGCATGGAGGGATGGGGCATGTGAGCATTTACATATGGGGGGCAGCCAGGTGGTGTGGAGGTTCAAGAGGGGGTGCAGAGGAGTCCTCCGCTGACTGACAGTTCAATTTATGCTTCCTCGGCACCTTAAATGGGCTGCCAGGCTTTGGCGATAAAGACAAAGATTGCAGCGTCGTGTTCGGCGCTGAACTGACGATAAAATGCACTTAATGCCGCGCGAAATACTCGCAAGGCAAATATAATACAACCGAGGGCCCAGAGAAGCGGAGAGCAGAAAAGCAGAAAATCTGAAATCATCAGCAAGAAACTCGCGCGGAGCGAATTCGCAGAGCCAAGAAAACGCATTAAGGCTAAATGTATCTTCCGGATATATTATGCATATTTATGGAATGCCAGCCTATTCGGTTTCACCGCGGCCGATCAATAACTTTAAGGGGCGTCTCACTAACATCGCGAGTCCCGCTGGCCGAACTCCTGCAGCAACCCTCGGCCAGCGTCTTGCCTTAATTCAATTAGTTTATTGCCCACACTCGTTTTACAGCCTGCATCGCCGCATCTGCTGCCTCCTTTTACATAGAGAGAAAAGATGTGCAAAAAAAAAGTTTTAAATTTAATAATAAAAATGCATTCATTTAATTATTTATTGTAAATATCTTTTCTCAGAATTTAAATAAAAGAAGTGTTGAATTCAATCATCTAAATTTTACAATAAAAATGAATTAATTTAAATATTAATTGTAAATATCTTTAAAGAAGTGTTAAATTAAATCATCTATATATTCTTTTACATCAAATTGAAATATTAATATTAAATATAAAACCATAAAAATAAGGATTTTGAAGAATTCTAAGACTTACCCTTTGCATTCCATTTCCCCCTTTTCAGATCTGGAATCTGCCAGCGTGCAGCTGTTGGGCAATAATCGCAATGAGCTGCTGCTGAAGTGCCACGTGGAAGGAGCCTCCGGGGACCTGCAGCCACTGGAGATCGAATGGTATCGCAACAGCGCCAAGTTGAGCAGCTGGAGGAACGTCCAGTTGGATCAGCATCGCCTGATAGTCCGCCAACCAGGATCCGAGGACGACGGTCTGTACCGCTGTACCGCTTCGAATGCAGCGGGTCGAGTGATGAGCAAGCAGGGCTACGTCTACCAGTCGAATGTGAAGTGCCTGCCCAGATTGCCGAGGAGAAAGAACCAGAAGATGCTGGAGTCCTGGGACAAGCAGACCTTCCTCTGCCGCGGAAAGCGAGGAGGATCTGGAGGGTTAGAATCCCTTCCCGCTGCTCCAGAAGATCTTCGTATTGTTCAGGGACCCTCCGAGCATGTGGTCATCAAGGAAGGAGAACCCACTGCCTTGACCTGTCTCTACGAACTTCCCGATGAACTGCAAAACCAACGAATTCAACTTCGCTGGCGGAAAGATGGCAAACTGCTGCGGCAAGTGGAACTCGGCGATTCGCTGCCCATTCCAGGACACTCCTCTGATTCTGGGAAGGATGCTCTGCTGAGAGAGGACGCCAGACTGGTGCTCCACAAGCAGAATGGCACCCTGAGCTTCTCCAGCATCATTGCCAGCGATGCGGGTCAGTACCAGTGTCAGCTGCAACTGGAGGCCCATGCTCCGGTCAACTCTTCTCCTGGAGTCCTCGAGGTCATCGAACAGCTGAAGTTTGTGCCACAGCCCACGTCCAAGAATCTCGAGTTGGATGCAGTGGTGGCCAAGGTGCACTGCAAGGCACAGGGAACTCCAACGCCACAAGTTCAGTGGATAAGGGTGAGTAATCAAGGGGGTCTTTGGGTATAAAACCTAGAGAAGATTCAGTTTACTGGTATAAAAATATGCTAATAATATTAATGTCAACATTATTATTAATTTTATTTATATTCCTACATATAACTATTAGATCCCTTAACTTAGTAGCCTGGTATTAAAATTAAGCATTTATAAAATCAGTTACTTTGGGAATGTATACCTCTAAAGAACTATTAGTGAACTGAGTATCTTCTTCCCTTGATAACTCAAACTTTTAGTCCTAAAATCTTCTATTGCTTGTCCAAAAAAACCTACTATTGACATCCGATTACTCGGTTATTGCCAAGGTACTTCGTTCTCCATTCCGACAGCTCTCAAATTTGAATGTTAGACAGTGCAGACCCCTTAATTCCCACTCCACTGGGGTGTTGGCCACATGTCACTGACAAATTGAAAAACGCGCAATGCGCCGCTGGGCAAACTTTTCCTTCCAAACAAACCGTTTCATATGCAAAACGCTATTGAGTCTATCTGGCCTAAGCACCCTTCTGCTTTTCCCCCCTCCCCTCCCCTTGGAAAACCCACTCCAATGGGCAGACATTGAGCGTTTTGTGTTGCCAGCTGTTTGCCATCGCCAACCAATTTCGGCAACTGTTTGTCTATTTGGAAGCACGGGGGCCAAAAAAGAGGATCGAACCCTTTCAAAAGAAGTTTTTCATTTGGCCGAAAAACAAACCTGGCTCAAACCTGTTCAAAGTGTTGTGTGTGCCCTTTTTTGGTTGCTTTTCTGCATTTTTGATGAAAACGCATGGCACACACGTTGGCAAATTGGTTGGTAATGGTCGCCCGTCTGCTTCCATTTCTCGCAGACACTGGGCTAAAATATTGTTTTCAGCTTGATATTAACGGATTCAAATTGAGTATTACATTTGCATGTCCCTTTGATATTCAGATTGATAAATTGGGAATGACAAGCAAATCTCTAGTGGTTGAAAATCAAGTTTGGGGTGTTCTTTAAATATGCAGGGAGGCATTGTAATATATTCATATGCCAATCAATCAAATTCAATAAGATCTTTTAGACAGATTTCTGTTTACTGATAAAACATTGTATTTATTATTTCCTGTGCAGGATGGTTCTAATACCTCTTTACCCGACCAAGTGGAAATGGACGCCAATGGAACGCTGATTTTCAGGAATGTGAACTCGGAGCATCGGGGCAACTACACCTGCTTGGCCAGCAACACCCAAGGTCAGATCAATGCCACGGTGGCCATCAATGTGGTGGTCACTCCCAAGTTCAGTGTGCCGCCAGTGGGTCCAATTGAGACCTCCGAACAGGGAACCGTGGTGATGCACTGCCAGGCGATCGGTGACCCCAAACCGACGATTCAGTGGGACAAGGACCTCAAGTATCTCAGTGAGAACAACACGGATCGGGAGAGGTTCAGGTTCCTGGAGAACGGCACCCTGGAGATCCGGAATGTCCAGGTGGAGGATGAGGGCAGCTATGGTTGCACCATTGGAAACAGTGCGGGATTAAAGCGAGAAGATGTCCAATTGTTGGTTAAATCAAATGGAGATGGCTTTGCTCCCGAGGAATCCGGTGGAGATGGCTTCCTGGTCACCCGAGCTGTTCTGATCACCATGACTGTGGCTCTGGCCTACATAGTTCTGGTTGTGGGTCTGATGTTGTGGTGTCGCTATCGTCGACAGGCCAGAAAAGCCCGACTGAACGAACTAAGTACCAAAGAAGCTGGTGGAGATCAACCGGATGCCGCGGCAAATGGCAAAGGATCGGAGCAGGAACCCTGCCTCTCCAAGCAGCACAATGGTCACAGCAAGTCGAGGTCCAAGTCCAGTGGAGATGCCCAGAAATCCGATGACACCGCCTGCAGTCAGCAGTCGAGAGCCTCCAAGAAATCAGCTCATATTTACGAGCAACTGGCTCTGCCAAGATCCGGACTCAGCGAACTCATTCAGATTGGACGCGGTGAATTCGGGGATGTATTTGTGGGAAAACTAAAGGCCACCCTGGTGACCTCACCCACGGACAAGGATGCGGATACGGAGAAGCAGCACAGCAATAGTGAAAATGGAAGTGGAGGCAGTGGAAGTGGCAGCACCACATTGAGTACTTTGAATGAGAAGCGCCGCTCCAAGACCTCCATGGATGACATCGAGGAGATCAAGGAGGAGGAGCAGGAGCAGCCGGACCAAACAGGACTCGAGCAGTTGGTCCTGGTAAAGGCCCTCAACAAAGTGAAGGATGAACAGGCCTGCCAGGAGTTCCGTCGGCAATTGGATCTCCTGCGCGGCATTTCCCACAAGGGAGTGGTGCGTCTATTCGGCCTCTGTCGCGAAAAGGATCCGCACTACATGGTGCTGGAGTACACCGATTGGGGCGACCTCAAGCAGTTCCTGCTGGCCACCGCCGGAAAAGTGAACACAGCCACCGCAGGCAGCTCCTCGCCTCCACCTTTAACCACCAGCCAGGTTTTGGCCGTGGCCTACCAAATCGCCAGGGGAATGGACGCCATCTACAGAGCTCGGTTTACCCATAGGTAAGTTTCTTATTTTTGTTAACTTTTTTCCTACATTTATTTTGAGAATTCTTTATCTATAGAAACTTTGTAGCATACTTTTGAGCACCTTTTTAAGAGGTTTCAAATCTCTAGATATTCTAACAAAGTTTCTTTCCTTCTTTCTTCATTTTCTTACAGGGATCTGGCCACTAGGAACTGCGTGATCTCGAGTGAGTTTATCGTGAAGGTCTCCTATCCGGCTCTCTGCAAGGACAAGTACAGTCGGGAGTACCACAAGCACCGAAACTCACTGCTCCCTGTTCGCTGGTTGGCACCCGAGTGCATCCTGGAGGACGAGTACACCACAAAGAGCGACATCTTCGCCTACGGAGTGGTGGTGTGGGAGCTCTTCAACCAGGCCACCAAGCTGCCCCACGAGGAACTGACCAACGAGCAGGTGGTGCAGCGATCGCAGGCCGGAACCTTGGAGTGGTCGGTGGCCGAGGCGACTCCTGACAGTCTCCGTGAAATACTGGTAAGAATTATATATCCCTCTTACCTCAGATTTATACAAATTTGATTTTTATTAACAATACATATATCAAAAATTATGGTTAAAGAAGAAGTATCTCTTCTCTTATAGTAAAAACTCCATATTAAATAAGGAAGACTTTCAATTAAAATTAATTATAGAGAAAACGTTTTCTTATTCAATTTCTTAAGCTAAAGAGGTTTCTTCACCCATAATATAATAACACAGTAAAGTTAACAACATGTTAAAATAACAAGTTATATATATTGATTGTATTTTTTTGACCTTTTGCCTTTCGTTAAGTGTAGCCAGTAACTAATAACGACCCACTCCCTGCCTTTCCAAGACATGAAAACTAATTCCCCCATTTATCTCGACCATTTCAGTTGTCCTGCTGGGTGTCCAATCCCAAGGAGCGGCCCTCGTTCAGCCAACTGGGAGCTGCTCTCAGCAAGGCGATGCAGAGTGCCGAGAAATGAGGCCAGACTGAGCGAGCAAATGCCAAAAAGTAATTCGTAGTATTGTCCTTAGTGTCTGCCCGAGTATTCTCCCCGCTAGTTTAGACTTAAGACTTAAGTTTCGAAGGATGTCTGCGTATGGGCGCCTGTTCAACATGCGTACTTAACCGATGGCTACATTTTGACAGTAACTGTACAAACAGAATATACTATATATTTGAATTTGAATGGGGATATCTTCGAGAATAGTATTTGCGTGGTGCTGCATATGAGGATGCAGCTAAAATGTAAATAGAAACTGCCACAATCAAGCATTTATACCAGTTGAAGCATTTCTAGGATTAGAGCATTTTAACCTTCATCTGCATTTTATAATCCACTCTTAAGCTAAATTAGTACGTATAAATACACACACAAAGCATCACACACACACACACAACGAGCGATTTCGGTGTTTTCAAACATTGAATTACTAAGCCAAATTTTAAGTTTAGCATCGAATAAAATAGAAACACACCCACATATTTTATCATACGCCTAGTTATATACATTTAAGTGCATAAGGAAAACCAGCCGAAACAAATTTATGACTAGCCATTTAAGCTTTGATGCATGTTTACAAAACATTTAAATAAGCCCGAATAAATAAATTTAACCAAAAAGCAAAAATGCAAAGTCTCAGCTTCATTTCAAAAAGGGCCAATGCGAACCCTCGTTGGACTCGACTACGATTTTTTACAGGCATTTCATTTGGCATGGCAAATTTGTTGAGGGTCCTTCGGGCCCAAGCGGACTTGGCTCATTCACACTTCACTTGATTTGAAAAATGAGCGCCTATTGAATGGCGGATTGGGCCGACTTGCCTCCACGTCTTTTCCCAAAACGATTGACAAACAAACATGGCAATAAACCGTAAAGTTGCCCCAGCTTATTGGGGCTTAAAGTCGAACCTCCCCTTCCCCATTCCCTTCTTGCTCCTCTGATTTTACTCCACCGGAAGTTCCAGCGCCTACGTAGCCAAAAAGTTTCGTCGTGCGAAAACTTTGGCCAGGACCAACCAAATCCAAGCGATATTTGCATTTGAATCGGCAGCAAAAACAACACCGCTACATCCTACAATGAGTTGCCATTTTCCTAGGCTAGTGGATAGGCTGCTTAGCCTTTCCGGGCACGTACAAATATCTGCCTGTCATGAATATCAAATGCCTACGAAAAAGGTTGATTGAACAGTTGCCAGCAGGAAGTGTGGCAGGAAAAGCGGAAGAGTATAGGGAAGCTGGCAGAGGGTTGAATACCCTCTAAAAATGGGCTCTTCATTTATCATCTACCCAATGCGAACTTTAAAACATTTCTTCGTTCACAATGTATCAGCTTTCCCCCAAAGAGGCACTCTTTAAATTAAAAGCCGCCTTTGATATCTGATAAAAGCATTAGCGTGGCAAATAAAAGCCACATCTCTCCACTTTGCCAGCATAACTCAAAGGCTCAACTGCATTTGCAGTTGGCAAATATAAATCTGCCTAAAATAAAATATTCGGATTGCCGCACATGGCGTATGCGCAATATTTGCAATGTTTGTAATGGAACGACAGCTGTGCAACAAAAGCCTAAGCTCGAACAGAGAACAGAAACATAAAAATGCCATTTCACATGGCTTTCAATTTATTAATATTTTATACGGGCCACTGGCAGAAAGGGAATAAATAGAGAAGACCAAAATGGTGGGCGGACGAAAAGGGGAGGGGAGGGAAAATAGCTTTGGCAATTCAGGCGTAAAATGTGCATTACTCATACGCCGCATGGGCCAATGGTGGAATGACCTACGCCACTTTGTTCTGCCTTTTACCTGGGCGCGCGCATAAATTGCACATTACATTACGCATACGCACCGATGGCCAGGCCTGACACACAAATAAATTACGCATTACGCAGTTTCGGCTACTGTTTTCATTCCCGACGGCAAAAGCCATCAAGTGACTCGAAAGCCAGCAGATTGATGGTGCAACTCGCTGCCGAGTTGCCTCATTATGGAGTCCCCGAAAACATATTTTCGCATTCATCACAAGGCAAAAGTTTTCGCAGCCGCGAAAGTAAAAAAAAGGGGAACTTCCTGGCTTCCCGGCACTTTGGCATCCTGGCTTCCTGGCTTCCTGGCATCGTGGCACATAATTGAGGCACATCGCAGACTCGTTTATAACGCAGTCATCTCCATAGCAATCGTAGGGCTGCGTGTGTTGCAGAATTTTATGGATTCTCCCGCCTGTTTATGGCATTTCCATTTGTGAAATTTCTGCACAATTAGTGAGAGGGAAACTTTGAATTGTGTTTTTGGGGCATGCTGAATGTGAATGTGAGACAACTCAAAGGGAAGCCACCAATTACACGGGCAAGCCCACTTACTTGATTACTTCCAGCAGTAACTTTAATGCGTCTTAATTTGGAGAGTATGTAGATGCATGGAGAGATCTCTTCCTTTTGTACTCGAACTCCTTTTAGCAAGAGAATTATGCAGTAGCTATACCGCAAACCACCTTCTTCCTGGCAGCCTGAATAAAGTTTTTACAAACTCATAATTTGCCATGCTGAAATACCGAATAGTTGACTTACTTGCAAAGAAAACTTCACCAAAGTTTTAAAATATGGGCAAATTATTTGAGTGACAGAAGATAATTGGGATTATACATGATATTAAAGTGAATCGAAGATTCAAGCTTTATCTTAAAATTATTTAGACTGCAAAAATATAATTAAAACAGGACAGGAAAAAACTAAAATGAAAATGTTTAATACAATTGTATTTCCCCTCTTCTTCTATTTTTATTTTAGAAATTTCCTGAAAAGGTTAATCGGATGTGGCCCAACTAATTAGGGATAAACGAGGGTTAGTCGTCCTGCCACTTCCGGCCAAGAGTGATTTGCTCGTGTCAATCTGTGAGCAGGGAGCCCCCGAAGTCAGACCAACACTCTGCTTTATTTGGACAAACCGTAGCGGAGCAGAGACGACATTGAAACACTAAACACCCACCGCCCACCACCCACCAACACACAACCAACCGCCCACCTGAAGGGGTGTCTAAAAGGGGTGGAACATGCATTAAACAAACAGCTGAGCCTTTTGTGTTGACTCATTAACGCACAAGTCGAGGGAGGGTGAAAGGGGAGGGCATCGGGGATCGGGGAGGAGAAAGTAAGCAGCGACAGCGAAACGACAGAAATGAAACATCAGGCTGAAGTTACCCCCTCTTCAGCTCAGTGTAATAAATACCCCAAAGTCATAAAAAGCAAGCAGCAACAAAAACAATGCAAAATATAGTATAGAGATGTCAGTGAAATTGAATATCCTTGAATATACGTGAAATTGAATGTGCAAATATTTAGTTAAATAAATATTCTTTTTTATTCTTTTTTATTTTGAAAGAATTTTAATATCAAATGGTTTAAGTTTTCAGGATTCCATCAAATAAAACATTTTTAAACGAGTCATGCATGTATGTATTTTATGTATGTATTGGTTTAAATATTTTATTATAATTATTTGCAATGAACAAGCCTTTATTAATCTAAAGCTGAGATTTAAAATATTAATAAAACTATATTAAGTATAAATTCAACTAAAATTATTTAAGATGGTAAGAAATCTGCTAAAATGCTACAATATCTTTCCAGAGATTCAGTGTTTTTTCGATGGACTGTCAACCGTCTGAACTTTCATCTCTAGGCCAAACAAAGTGCCACCCCTTGGCCACGTCTGGCAGGCGACACGACACTCGACTTGGCTTGAATGCCGTGGGACACCGAGGACAGACCCGGAGTCAGAGAGCCGGATCCGTGGACGGGAGGAGCCGGCTTGTTGTGGAGTAACAATTTTCATTTTCAACGCCCAGTGTTGGGCGCAAAAAACGCATAAAATTTTACGAGCGCAGCTAAGCGAGTGGGGAGACTAGGGGAAAATCCGGGAAAACCCAGGGAAAACCAACAGCACCGAGGAAGGGAAAGGAAAGGAAAGGAATGGGACAAGGGCAATAGGAGTTCCGGGTGGGGTTACGACTCCCTCGGCAAAAGTTTAGCTTTCGTGTTGGCCATAAAATGCCTGACAGGGCTTAGGAATGCAGTTGATTTGGAATGGAATGGAATGGAGTTCGTCGAGAGAGAGTCTTACGCCTCAATGGAGTTGGCATCAGGAGTCCATTGGGGGGATTTTGCGGCTGATGCTTCAGTTTCCCAAGCGGTGAAAAGGGTTGGGTTGCCTTGGGTCGGGTTTTCCGGGAGCCTTGTGCTCAGGTGATGTTCAACATCGCTTATTGAGTCGCTTTGCGTTAAGTTTCGAAATCTCCTTTTTATGGCCATAACGGTTAAGCGGCATTAGCTCCAACTTCTCCTGTTTTTGGCCAAAACGAGATTGCAGCATTGTGTGAATTAGCGGTAAATGAGCAAGGTTACTCGGCTGAGACAAGGAAAATGTGGCTGGGGGAGGGGGAGTGGGAGGGGAAAACTCAAGCAAAACTGAAGACAAACTTTTCTTTTCCACGGGGCATTTAAGTTCAATGAGGTGGGCGGGGTATCAACATATAAAACAGGTAATGGGACGTTGGGTAACTGCAAACTGTGAAATGGGAAATCTTCGGGGAGTTGGGATGGGTAGGAAAACTTTGTATAAAAGAAAGATTATCTGCAATGGATACTATTCAAACATAAAGAAATAACAAATCAAGGTCAGTCATCTCGTAAAGAAATATAAGTTGTAGCTTGAATTTAGAAACCTTCCCCAATAAATGTGAAAAGTAATGAAGAATGCTTAAAAGATATTTCATTTATTTAATGCAATATTTCCAATTTGTGTATATGATTTAATCCGGATATACTAATTTCCCTAAGAAATCTCATTTGTACATTAAAGAACACAATTGGAGCAAGTCCTTTCTTTTCTTTCGCTTATTCATATTGTTTGATTAGCCGCAAATCCTTTTTCACAGTCTAACGCTCCTCCATATTTGGCCTCGGCATTAAGCGGGCTTTTGTCCTTTGGCCTTTAGACCCGAGCAAATATGCTGAAGAGAGTGGAGAGTGGAAAACTTTAACTACACACCCACAGACAGACACAGGAAAGTCGGAGAAAGTCTAGCAGAAGGGCAAACAAAAGTAACTGAAAAATTTAGCGCTATGTCAACACATTCCAACAGGCAGAAAGGAAAGTCCTTCTGCCAGGCTGCCTACCCATTTTTCGAGAAACGAGCAGCCATCCCAACAAAAGGACAATGCAACTCAAGTGTTGAACCCGAAAAAAAGCGAAAAAAAAGCGAAAAGGAAGCTCACATGTGCTCAAAGAAATGCCAAGTGCTTGTACTGCTCAATGGGCCAAGGGGAGATTTTAATAAGTAGCCTTAACTTGTAGTCGTAGTACCCCACTTTCCCCCGCTTTCTCCTGCAAAACGAAGGACTTTTGCAAACTATCTCCCCCGCTGCTGGGAAACTTTACATGTACGCTCGCCACCGCATACAAATTATTTTGGCCAAAAGTTCCAGACCGACTGAAAAGTATTTTAAAAACTTTCGCAAGCCCACTCCATTAGGCGGCGATTGTCTTGTGTGAGCTGAGCAAGCTGCTGGCTTTCTCTTTTGATTTCTTTAAATTTAAATATATTTAAATATTAAGACCAACCCAGCAGTCTCCTGATATTTTTCCAGCTTACTTGTCGAGATATGTCGAGACGTTCTCGTGGGCTCGTGGAGCACCAAAGCCACATTGGAGGAGGCGGAAAGAGAAGAGGGATGAGGAGGTGCAACTGGGATCCGGAGCAGCCTTCACTCAGCCAACAAAAACAGAACGGAGCAGCTGAGATGGCAGCCGAGGAGCAGCCAAGGAGCAGGGATTCTGTATGAGTGTGTGTGGTTTTGTGAGAGGAGGGAGTTCCGCGTCTGTCTGTCGCCCATTTTCAAGTTGCATAATTTTGTTTTTCTTTCACAGCGAGCCAGCTCATTTCTCGCGTCCTCCAAGGGGCACAAAACCAGGCAAACTCCATCCCCATGCCACGTTGGGTGTGCACATTCTTGGCTGCATTCATACTTTTTTCACACCCTTTAGGAATATTTCGTGCATGGCATATCCTCGCTGGCAACTCGAGAGGCTGTGTTCTAGGAGGAGAGTCCTAGCCAGGAGCCAGGAGCCAGGAGCAGCTCCTGTTGCCATTTGCCCTGAATGAAACTCGTTTCTGTTCTCATTTTGCCCATTCAGCGTGCTGTGCACCTGCTTTTTTTTAAAGCAATTTAAATTAACAGCAATGACGATGATGACGATGTCGAGGACGACGAGCAGAAAGTCCTGCAGGAGGAACAGGAACAGTGAGTGAATGCGACTCCGCGTGTGTTTGTTTATGCCTCACGGCCTCCAGGAGGTGGGTGTCCTGGGGACATATGTACGAGTGTATGAGTATATGAGTATGTATTTGTGTGCGTCCCCAACATGCAATTGGAATGCAATTTGTTATGGGAAGTTAAGTCTCCACTTGTCAGTTAAGTTTACGCTTGGCTGTTTGCCCGTTGTCGTCGTCCTCGCTTGCCATGCAGTTATGGCCCCGGATCATGGCACTTGGTATCCCGCTCCCACTCCAGCTCCTCCTCCTTCTTCTCCTTATTCTCCTCCTGCTCATTCTACTCCTTTTGCAGCCCTCCCTGTCTGCGCCTGTCCTTGTTGGGCAGTTAAAAAATAATTAAACTCTTTAAATATTTAAATTAATTTGTGCTGTGCCATGCAGTTCTGTACAAGGAAAATAAACCGAAATTCCGCACTTAATTGGCAGGGACAGTGCGACTGCTGCTGACGGGGCGAATGAGTGATATTCGGAATGGGAGTTGGGGTTATTCGAGGATTCCTCTTTAGAAGCTTATCCTTCCTAGTCCCTAGCTTAAAGCCTGCAAGCTAAAATCAAGAAAGGCGCTGGAAATATCTAACTATCAGTTCTGTATTAAATCTCTATCTCTATCTATCTATCTATTTCTATCTCAAAAATAAATATTATTTAGTCCATAAGTCCATAAGTCCATAACTTTTCTAATTTTCATCTGATTTCACAGTGGCATACCTCTAAAATTTTACAAATTTCCAAAAAATGGGTTTGCTGAAAATTTACCAAAATGCACTAATTATAAGCAAATAAATCTCTTAATTTTAAGCAGATTTTGAAGTGGCACACCTCTAAGAGTTGGTTATTTAATTATGTAACAAACTGCATGAATAAAAATTTATTCGGCTTGCTTCTTTTCTTGTTTATATTGATAGAAATACAAACCAATTGATAATTTGATGATACAAAACTGAAAAGTATGTTTACCTGTTTGTTGCTATGGCCAAAATAAGCTTCAAAGCAAGAAGCTTTTGTTTGCTGAGAAAGTTCAGATCTTTTTACCAGAATTATGAAATTCTGTCTTCGGATTCCCCAAAGAGAGGCATAAAAAGCTCCGATCACAAGTTGTGAAACCCCAAAGCACTCGAGAAAAGCTACCTCGATTTACACCAGCACATTAGTTTGTGTTGCACTTGATTGGTGATAACTCCGTCCAAATTTACATTTGATAAGATTTCTAATAGATATTTATATATTATCGATTACGTCGGGTATAAAAAGGCTCGCCGGTCAGCCGTGTAGTTCAGTTCTAATTAGACTATCAGCCAGCAAGTGCTACAACCTACCTCAACTTATTAATCATGGCTTACCTTGAAATATTTCTGGCCATTGTGGGCATCGCTCTGCTCATCTACAAGTGGTCAATCGGAACCTTCAAGACCTTTGAAAAACGCAAACTGCCCTACGAGAAACCCTGCCCATTCTTTGGAAACATGGCACAATCTGGTCTTCAACGCACCTCGATGCACAAGGAGCTCACTGAATTTTACCTGCGAACGCGCCATCAGTAAGTTTATTCTGTTTATAAATCGATTTCAGTAAGCTTTATTGTTTGCAACTCCAGCAAAGTGGTGGGCTTTTACAACCTACGGAAGCCGATGGTTCAGATCAACGACCCCGAGTTGATTAAGAAGATCTGCGTCAAAGACTTCGACTACTTCCCCAATCACCAACTCTTGATCACCACCAATGAACGTCTTTTGAACGATATGGTCAACTCCATGAAGGATCAGCGTTGGAAGCGGATGAGGAATACCTTGACTCCAGTTTTTACAGCTGCTAAAATGCGCAATATGTTCGTTTTGATGAACGACATTTTCGGGGAGTGCATGCAGCACTTGGACAAACTATCCGGAAATCCCTCTGATGGAAAAGCATTCGAAGTGGACATGAAGGTGCTGTTCCACAAGCTAACCAGCGATGTGATCGCCACCACTGCTTTTGGCCTCAAAGTGAACTCCTTCGAGAACCCAAAGAACGAGTTCTATTCGGTGGGTTCGACCCTTATCTTCTCCACAGCCCTTCAGTTCTTCAAGTTCACGCTGTCTGCTATGATGCCAAAGGTTTTTACTGTAAGTATTACCTTTATCAAACCCCTTATCAGACCCACTTAACAATGTAATTTCCCTAGATGCTGGATATGAAAATCTTTGATGGCAAGAAAGTTGATTACTTTGTGAGTCTGGTGGTGGATGCCATGAAGTTGCGGGAAGAGCAGGGAATCACTAGACCCGACATGATCCAACTGATGATGGAGGCTAAGAAAGAATCTCAAAATAACTGGACGGACGACGAGATTGTGGCCCAGTGCTTCATCTTCTTCTTCGCAGCCTTGGACAACAATACGAACCTTATCAGCATTACAGCTTATGAACTTCTAAACAATCCAGAAATTCAGGAGCGGTTGTACCAGGAGATCCTGCAAACCAAAGAGGCTTTGAACGGTGGTTCCTTGACTTACGATGCAGTGCAGGGGATGACCTACATGAATATGGTGATCTCGGAAACCCTCAGAAAGTGGACCTTATCCCCCTCCATTGATCGAGTTTGCTCCAAGGCCTACACCCTCACCGATGAGGATGGAACCAAGCTGTTCGACTTTAAGCCAGGTGATCTGGTCACCATTCCCATAGCTGGTCTCCATAGGGATGATAGGTACTTCCCCGAACCCAGGAAATTCGATCCCGAACGTTTCAGCGAGGAACGATTGAGTGAAATTGTGCCATTTACTTATATGCCATTTGGAGCTGGACCCCGAAGTTGTATTGGTGAGGAGATCTACTGAATTTAGTTGTTGAACCTATAAATAATATAATACAATGATTATCCTCTACAGCCAATAGATTTGCCCAGATGCAGGCGAAGGGATTGTTGTTCCACCTTCTTCTGAACTACAAAGTCGAAGCTTCTCCTCGGACCATGAAGGATATGTGGCAGGAGGCAAGGAGCTTCAGCCTGACACCAAAGACAGGATTCTACATGCAATTGGTGCCACGCCAATGAATTTGTAACCGAAAAGACTGAATTTGTGATAAACCACAAAATATGGAACGTTTAAAAAGCTGCGCGAATATGACAAAACGAATATGAGTATTAATTTGATTGCCTCTGTGTTATAAATAATCTAAGGAAATAACTTAAGAATATATATGACATAGAAAAAAGTGCTTACAAGTGATATTGTGGAAAGGGCTGGGGTAATTTAAGGATTTGTTTTTATAAACGTATCCTAGCTTATCAGTCTTTTGAGTTGAAACACATTCTATTTTAACTGAGTTAACTAAAACATAAAAGGGATTTTTCGATCTTTTGGTAAAGTTTTAGCAAGATAGCTTTAAAACTGAGAGACTAGTTTTCATAGACTAGTTTACACAGACAGAGGTATTTCAATGCAGATCGTGATGCTGATAAGAATACATATATATACTTTATGGGGTCTGAAGTGGCTCCTTCACTGTATATTATAATGTATAGCACCCTCTCCCAAGGATATGTTTGAGCAGTCAACGAACTACAGCTTAACAACCGAACATGGATTTTTCATTCGATTGGTGTCACGCCAATAGATGATTTTTAAACGAAAAGACTGAATATGTGATGGACCCCACCAAATGGAAGGAATTGAAAAAGGAGTTGCGAATGTGACAAACAAATGTCAGTATTAATTTGTTATACTTGTATGTGATATCTTACCTGAGATAATTGCTTAAGAATAAATATGAACAAGAGGATAACCAAGTTTATAAGAAAGAGTTACTGACCAATATTTGGGATTTTTTCTGCTGTGCAGCAAGTACTAAAAACAAGGACCGGCTAACAAACTGCTGGTAAGTAAACACCACCAAAACAATGCCCAGAATCATCCGAACGCAGAGCACGCAACTTTTGACTACTGGCGCCAGTTTGGTAGCCCCACCCACCGCCTGTAGTTGCCGGCTTTATAGCCGTTTACTTTGACATATCGCAGCCGACTTAACCAAGCAGCCCGGCCAGCAGGCCAACTAATGGAGCTGAAGGCTTACCAACGCCCGGAGTTCTGGTATTCTGGTACTGAACGTACTGAAATTGTAGCTTTTCCGCGTTGTGTGGGAGGAGCGCCTGGAATTATGCTACACATAAGCGGGGTCGAAATGGACTCGGGGAAAATCAGACGATTTACATGCAGGCAAAATGTTGATTAGAAAATTAATTAAGGTTTTTACGATGGCACCGAGAACAACCGGGCGCTTCTGAGCCCGGTTCTCCGCTGGAAAACTTTCGCTTCGCCGAATTTACGACATTTTTATGACGGCCTGCCATGCGAGGGGGTTTCTCGGCTGGCTGGGTGGTTGGATCGTAAAAAAAGTGCGTAAAAACTTTCTGTCAGCGGCAGGAGCTCCGCTTCCAGCTCCGGCTGATAAAGCAGCCTGCTGTCAGGACATTCAATGCTCCGCCAGCTCCTTGCTCCTTCCTGGGCGCTTATGCAGATGGGCTCCAGCCGTAAAGTTACTCGCCAATTTCTTTGTCCAATAAATAAATTGTGCGCCCAATGTGTGAAGCCTTTCGGTTCGCTTTCAGCTCCTTCGGGGGGCGTCAACAGGCCCACAACTTATTTTTGAGGTTTGGGAGGTGAACGAACCCAGGCAGGCAAACAAATTCAACCGCATATTATTAGTCATCAGCTTGGGATTCGAGAAAAAGTAGTTTTATTAAAAGAAAAGGTTCCATTTTTATTTTTAAATTTTATTTTATTATTTTACAACCTTTACTTATTGTTCTTAAACCAAATTATGGATTCTAATAGTAACGACTACTATTTAGTTAAATTTTATTTAAAAGCTTTTCTGTTCCCACTTTTATATCGCAGTGTGGAGCTCGTTTAAGCTTCGAAGCTTGATTGGTGCCACCAAGGATCTACCCAGTTATATAGATCCCAGTCGCCCGCCTCCTTGGAAATCCTTGAGCAACCCCCGTTGAATGCAACAAACGACGAGGGGAGGATTTGCCTGCTTGGGCCACTGCCACTGCACAATGGCAAGAGGACTTGACGAAATCATTACTTCGCCCCGACATTTATTGATGCCATAAAGTTGAAGATTTATGCGTTGTGGCAGTCGCACAAAGCAGCCAAAAAGCACCCACCCAGGAGCATTGCACCCGAAACGGGGGAAAACGGGGGAAAACCACCCGGGAAGGACAAGGACATTGATACCGAGGACTCCCCCTTCTGACCAGGAACATCGTACTGGCTACGTGGGCACGTCAAATGCTTCGTATTTTGGCATATTGCAGCACAGTGGGACGCGGAGGAACAAACCATTTGCCATGGGAATCGGAGGGGGTGTGCTCTCCTTATCTAACCCACACACACACACAACAGCGTGTTAATTTATTTAAATTGACTACGTGCAGAGTTTACTCGTGTCTTGGGGTCCTGCCACGCCCCCTCGCCCTCATGCCTTCCGTCTTCTTCGGGAATCGTGGGGGAAACTGTCTCACTGTTTGCACAAATTTCACATTTTACTGCGCTTCGTGAACGTTTTTGTCTTCAAATGCAAACCAATTCTGCAGACTGCGAACAGGAATATACGACTGAGATTCATGGCATGGCCATAACCGACAAATCGAATGAGCTATAGCGGTTAGGAAGGATTAGTATTAGTTTCATTTATTTTAACTTTCAACTCAAAAGTGATACATTGAAATTAATACTACTTGCCTAACGGCGGCAGTTGTTAAGTTTTCATACTGCTACAAATTCTATTGATTTATAGTATAACATTCAGGTATTTAATAAAAGTATAGTATAATATTTTCAAAACAAATTCGTTGCTATAATTCATTTCTTAACTTAGTAGTGCTTCATAAAATAGAGATTTCAAGAACAACATAATATTTAAATGAAAGTGAAATGGAGCTTTAATCCCTGCTTTAGTATCATAATTGGTATAGATTAAATTCAATTATTATTTTAATAGTATACTTGACATTCCTTATCAAATTAATAAGTTATAACCATTTTTCAACAGCGCACAATGGCAAATCATTAGCCTTTCTCATTGCTCCGTAGGGCATTTGGCAAACGCTCGCGCATAAAAACTCATTTGAAAGAGTGCCTTGCCAGCGCGACTCCCTTCGCCGGACGAGAACGCAGCGCTGCGGAGACAACAGCCGAGGGTGCTCCTCCAGCGTTGCCATCGCGCTCCTTCTCCAGTTTCAGTTCCGGACGAGGCGCGTTCAAGTGCACATTGGCTGCAGGCTGGAATGCACGGGCACAGCTGCTCCTTCAACAATTCGCGTGTCAACAATAAGCGCAATAACTTAAGCTGCATTCAATGGGGCGAGCTGCAGCCGGGGGCAGGTGATGAATGCTCCTCTTCGTGGAGGCGACCAGCCAGCTAATTAACTGGCAAATGGATTTCAGCCGGCGAACACTGGCCACTTGTCCTCCGCTTTCTCCACTTGTAAAACACAGTCTCAACAGTTTGCTTTCGCATTCTCCTGGTTTACTGCGATCAACTTTCTATGGCGCATGCAGGATGTGGACTTTTTGTGCTCATCCCTCCAACATCTTTAACAATGGTCTTTGGGTTACGAAAGAATAACGCACCGCTTAAACTAAAAGTTCAACAAACAGAATAAGCTTAAACATGTATATGTAGAGTGGAGTATACAAGTGAATCACAATTTTTTTTATCTACAACTCAGGAAAAAACTATAAGGATTGTATATACATATCAAAGCAACTATAAAAGATTACATGCTAAACTAAACAATAAATTTTAATGCACACTGATAAAGGTGTTCAGTTGACTAGATAGAACCCTGCTGCTTTCGAACTCGACTGCTACTATATTAGAGGATTGTTCTTTAAATAGTTGGCCAGCAGAAGCAGGGCAAACGACGAGGTCAGGAAGACACTCCCGGGTATAGAACGGCGAACTGGCAAATTGGGATCAAGTTCTCTTTGGGCAAACAGCTCGACATCGGCCTCGTAGGTTTCGTAGTTGTTCCAGTGCAGGCATCTCTTAACCGCATAATCCCACCGCTTGTAAAGCAGTTCTCGACCTAAAAAGGAATAGGATTTGTATTAAAATAGAAAGTATTTTTTAAGGAAAGATTAGCTAAGATTTAAGGCACACATTTTACAGCTTCTCCTTAATTACTTACGATTCTTTGTGGTTGTCGGCGAAAAAACATCCGTGGGAGGGGAGTACATTTTCATGGCGTATTGCAGGGACACCACTTTCATGGTCACGCCTGCGGCTATCATTACGCCCAAACCTGCTGGTGAGGTAGTCTGGGGCCGCTCCAGCATGTAGCCAATTATGTCCGCGATGAACTGCACCAGATGCGAGTTCTCGGCGAAGTCGCCGCCAAACGTGAGCACAGGCTGCATGCAGGAGCGGTCCCAGTTGGGCGTGTCCCTCTTGAAGGCCTCCAGGATCTCGAAGATTTGAAATCCGGTGGCCTCGTAAGCCGCTTGCGTGATGTTCTCCGCCGTGGTTTGGCTGGTCAGTCCCAGGATAATGCCCCTGGCATCGTGTCGCCAGTAGGGTGCATACATGCCATGAAAGGCTGGCACGAACGTGATCTCCGACCGCTTGGCCGCCAGTCCACACTCGGCATTCAGCATGGACGACGAACAGGAGGAGGAGATCATTGAGTTCTCGCCGATAAACGTGTTCAGCGACTCCACCACATTGTCGTTGGAATTTATCTCAGTATTGATCTGCAGTTTCTCACGCAGCCAGGTAACCGTGGATCCTGCATTGGAGATGGCTCCCTCCAGCGTGTAATTGGTAGCCGCGCTTGCGCCCAGCTTGTGCGCTATGCCCGTTATCAGTCCGTTGGTCGAGTCCAGTTTCTCTTTGGCCGTGTTGAGCAGCACGAAGCAGCTGTCGTCCAGGGTGCACACGTTCTGACCAGCCTTCACGCAGAGCTGGCCCAGCAAACTGGCCGGCTGCTCCCCCATCATGCCCGCTATGGGAATGCCCAGCAGCGGACCCTCCAGCACGTAGCCGAATATCTCGGAATTGGAACGTATGCGAGGCAGTATGTTTATAGGCAGTTTGAAGAACTGGCAGAGCTTGGGATCCCACTGCTGAGTGGATAGGTTCATGAGCGAGGTGTAGTGCGCGTTGGTGATGTCCGTGGAGTGAACGCCCGTCTCCACGCCGCCGGTGAGGTTCCACAGCAGCCAAGAGTCCAGGGTTCCAAAGAGGACCTTATTCTCCTCGAGGGCAGTGGCCACGGAAGGAACGTGATCCTTCAGCCAACGGATCTTCAGAGCACTGAAGCAGCTGCTCAGGGGCAAGCCGCTGCGGTACCGCACGTAGTCCACATTGTGCCGGACATTGTGGAGTAGGCTTTTGAGGATCGAAGTGCTTCTGCAATCGGACCAGCCGATGGCATTGTAAAGCGGCTGGCCCGTCTGCTTGTTCCACAACACGGAAGTGCCCCTCTGATTTACGATGCCCATGGCGATGATGTCATGCGGATTGATTTCCAGTATCACTAGATTCTTGTAGGCAGTCTGTAAAATTGACTTGATTAGTGGCCGGGTGATGATATAACCCCTCAAACAGGCACCTCAATACACTCCTGCGTATTTCTCCATATTTCGACCGGGTCGTACTCCATCCAGCCCGCCTGGTGGACAATCTGGCGCAGCTTAAGCTCATGATAGGCCAGTACCTCCGCGTTTTTAGTTGAGTAAATCTATCAAAATAGAATCTGAGTCAGCGAGCGTTTTCGGCATTTTGACCTTCTCACCAGAAAGCGGCAATGCGTGCTGCTCACACAGGCGACGCCGATCAGTGCTCCGAATCTTCCGTACCGCCCGTTGGACATCTTGGGCCCGGCCAGTGGCCTCGCACACGTGCTACTTGGTGTTTAAGCGCGTTGGTCGAGGAAAATGACCAAAGCCGTGTTTTGTTGTTGTCGCCGTTTTGGAACGCCAATATTGTCAGTGGAGAGTGTGACCGTGGGTGGGTGGGAGTGAAATACCAGCTGATAAGCGTTCAATGGGGCGGGTCAAGATAGCGTCGATGAGCTTGTTTTGAAATGCTGGAGTGGTATACAACATATTCATTTATTTTTAAACTTTCTGGCTGAAATGTAAACGATTTAAATAAAATGGTGATGTTAAACAAAAACATTACAAGTTGTAGGACAAAATTATCCCTATTTTATTGTTTCCCTTGCATAAGCCATTTTTGGCTTTCCAACTCTGGTCACATGTTAAATTTTCCGGGCCCTTCTCTCCACGAAGCAAAATAGAAACAAATTTCGTATTTTTCATGCTAAATTGGCCCAGACCCGTACTACGATGCTCATGAGTAGGGCGCTTTGCCGGAGTTGGTTGCCCCAGGTGGCGTAAGTAAGCGTATGGCCTTCAAGTTCCGAATTAGAAATAAAGCCAACACTATAAACTTGCAGCCACAGATGTCATGCCAATGTGTCAATCCTGCGAATTAATCCTGGTCATCCGGCGGCCAGGTCATGGCGGCAATTCCACAGTAACCGGAAGCAGAGCAGCAACCTGAAACCGACCACCGGAGAGCCCCTCGCTGCGGAGCAAAACACGGTGCCGATAAACAATGTGATCAAGGCGGTAGCCTTTACGGGAGCAGTAAGATTTGGATCTGATCGGCACTTCAAAAGAGTCTATATATTTTTGTGCTCACTCCTAGTTTACGGTGGGCTGCTTTGCGGGCGCCACAATCCTGGAGTACGAAAACACACGCAGCCTCATCCTGGAAAAGGCGCGGCAGGCGAGATTTGGCTGGTGGCAAAGTCGTTCCCTAGCGGATCGGGATTACTGGACACAACTGAAGCAGGACATCCGACGGCACTGGGACGCGCTGACGCCCGGCGACAAGATGTTTGCCCCCATCTTCCTCTGCAATATCCTGGCATTCGCCATGTGGCGAGTGCCCGCCCTGAGATCCACCATGATGACTTACTTCACCTCCAATCCAGCGGCGAGTAAGTGCAGAAATAGTATAGCAATATAATATAATACAAACATATATAGACATATAATTATATATAACATAGTATTCAGCCAAAAAAAAAACATAAAAAATTATTGCGATCTTAAAAAACAATAACAATAGTTAGTAACGAATAACATCTGCATTTCCATAAATCTTTCCTTGCCTATTTTGATTCTCTTTCCGCAGGAGTCGTTTGCTGGCCCATGTTCCTCTCCACCTTCAGCCACTACTCCGCCATGCACATATTCGCCAATATGTATGTGATGCACAGTTTTGCCAACGCGGCGGTGCTCTCGCTGGGCAAAGAACAGTTCCTGGCCGTCTACCTCAGTGCCGGCGTCTTCTCCAGCTTAATGAGTGTGCTATACAAAGCGGGGACGAGTCAGGCGGGGATGTCTTTGGGTGCGGTAAGGAAACGCCATCTCGTGAAGTAAACATAAATTAAAAGCTCTGTATTTAGTCTGGAGCCATTATGACACTGCTGGCCTACGTGTGCACCCAGTACCCGGATACTCAGCTTAGTATTCTGTTCCTGCCCGCGTTGACATTCTCCGCCGGAGCCGGCATCAAAGTGCTGATGGGCATCGACTTTGCCGGCGTTGTTCTGGGCTGGAAGTTCTTCGATCATGCGGCGCATTTGGGAGGCGCCATGTTTGGCATGTAAGGTGGCTTGTCCTCTCTTATTTTCTCCTTTTAATTCATCTGTAATCTGTAGATTTTGGGCCACTTATGGAGCACAAATATGGGCGAAGCGCATTGGCTTGTTGAATTACTACCATGACCTGCGCCGAACGAAGCAGAAATAGTACTGGAGGTTGGTCTGTGGCCAAGTGAACCCACGGGGAGTTGAGCTTTCGAAGTGGTAGCAACTAACACTCTGATGTAACGATAATAATGACATCGTTCTGCCTTATGACTTCGTTGCCATGAATTAAGTTGAATAAAGCGTTAACATCCTGTAATCATCTTGCTTCACGGTTTCTTTTTTGCACTTGAGGTTCGTCCTTTTGGTTCCGCTGGATGCGAAGGATTACTTCTTGTTTGCGTTGCAGGAGTTTCTCCCGTAGTTCATCGAGCGATTCCCTCTCCGGAGCATAGGAGATATGTAGTATACCGCCGTAGAATTGGCGGGCATCAAGCATCTTTTTGGCTCTTCTAGCCACTTCTAAACGTTCAAATTTTACGGCAAATACATCCGTAAAGGCCTCTAGCTCCACTGTAGCAAATTGAAATTGTAAACAGGATATATTGGATTTTTTTTTTTAATTTTACCCACTTTTTGTGGCCATCTCTGAAGTTATACAAATGCAGGATAGCAGCTTGCCAAACCCTTGTAGTTTAGTTTTAAGATTGGTTTGGAGATTTATTTTGGGAACACCAAAGATCAGTAAATGCCGGGATTCACTGGCAACTGTGTAAACCTTTAAAAAATATACATTTTATTAAATAAGCAACTAATTCTCAACTAAGTCACTTTCCCACCTTTACGGCTTTTAATTCCCTACCCTGACGGTACGGTAATCTTGTTGTGCAATATTCCAGACGTTTGTGGTGTTCTGAAGACGAGGCTTCCATAGCTTAGCTTAATAAAAACTCTTTCTTCCTTTACGAAAATTTATTTACAATTTTCTTTTGCCGGTTATTTATTACATTTGCCTATCGATAACAGTTGCAAAAGCAACAGTCAGCTGATCTGTTATTACTCTGTTAATAACACGAAGGGCCGCACCTGTTGCATTAAGGTATTTCACGATAGTTACATATATAGTGACTGAATTCAAAGCGATTTAACAATAATAAAAATGATCTTTCTGATACATATATAGTACACATAGATTTACTTTTTCGATACAAACAAAAGGGCTTTATTGTTTTAACTCAAAACTTTTGAGTGACTTTTTATCAGCTGTTGAATTTCTAAAACAGCTAAGGGTTGTCGGATGACTAAAAGTTATGTCAAATGAAAATATCGTATACCGAATATTTTTTTTTAATTTATTAACATTATTAAAAATAAATATGTTAATATCTGAGATAAGAACTAAAATCTTTGATCGACAAAATAAATGTAACAGTTAATTTAAAGTTGAAAAGAACTTCACTTGTGGTGCAATGATTTTCTATTCCATTTTTGTATTTAGCAGCAACTCCAGAAATGGAATTAAATCTACAAGATTCTAACTACATTTAAGTAAACAAGGTTTTATAATGTGTTCTTTATATCCTGATTTCAAAAAAGACTACACAATACTTGCAGCCGTCGACAACCCCGAAAATTTGTAGAAAATTTTCCACCACCAAAAATGGCGGTAAATCGAAACATTGCCGCCCGGCATAAATACCTCGGAAGCAGCCTTTCTCAGATCATTTGCCACTGAAAATTCGAACCCTACGTTAAAGATACAAATTCCGGAATCTATTACAATTTCATCATAAACACCACTGAGGAAAAAAAAACAACCCCTTAGGACTAATCCAATCACAAACAAATCTCAAATGGCATCTAAGGAAAACATTGCGGACAACATGGAGAAGTTCTCACTGAAGGTAAGTGACACGCTTCTTATGACCAAAAGTTCACAGCTAAACATAGACGTAATACGTAATTCCCAGGCGGCAAAATAGTACTATGCAGCAAATAAGTAATTTATGTTTTGGTTGCACTTTTTTCGTTTTTTTTCGTGTAAACAGAGCCCAAGCAAGAAAATTCTGACGGAGAGCGCCAACAACGTTCGCAAGATGTCCATTGGCCACGAGGCAAACGGCCAGTTGGTCAAGGAATTCTCTACAGAGAACGGAGTAGGAAAATCGGCCAATTCCCTTACGGAAAAGTCGGTTACTCCTTTTGATCCTTCTTTAGAGCCCCTCTTGCGCGAGAATCCCCGACGCTTCGTCATCTTTCCCATCCAATACCATGATATCTGGCAGATGTACAAGAAGGTATGTATACATACAGTTTACCATATGTATTTCATAAGTTTTCCTATGTTGGTGGTGAAAATCCGATTTTCGGGCGGCAAAAACTGTGAAAAGGCGGGTGTTTTGAGATAAAGCGCGCCAAAAGCCGGTCACGTAGTCGACGTGTTTGATTGCATGAATCAACTCTCATGATAGCTAACTCATAAACCCCAGCAACCCCCACTCCCGAAAACCCGACCCTTCCTCTCCTCTGATTCACTGCAACATGGTTTATTTACCCAACGACGATCCACGCTGTCGTTTTGGCGGGAACGTGTAACAGAGATAACGAATACGTACAGAAAATAAAACCACTTGTAAAAATATGTGTGTACCTCGGCTTCAATTGTTTTTGTAAGCCAATTACAATTTGCTTTAACTAACTCGTGACCGGAATTTTATGAATTTAAATTCAATCTGGGGTTTCCTGTAATTACATGTAATTAAAAAAAGGTATTGGATAACTATTCCCGCTTAATTTTATTTCAATTTCACCAGCTTTTCAGTTTCTTGTTAAAAAGTACAGATATGTATATTTTATGTCAATTGCGCTATATATTTCCCCTTTACTATTCCCAGGCTGAGGCCTCTTTCTGGACCGTGGAGGAGGTGGACCTGTCCAAGGACCTGACCGACTGGCACCGCTTGAAGGACGACGAGCGCCACTTTATTTCGCACGTGTTGGCCTTCTTCGCAGCCTCCGATGGCATTGTCAATGAGAATCTGGTGGAGCGCTTCAGCCAGGAGGTGCAGATCACAGAGGCCCGCTGCTTCTACGGCTTCCAGATCGCCATGGAGAACGTGCACTCGGAGATGTACAGTGTGCTGATCGACACATACATCCGCGATCCGCACCAGCGAGAGTACCTGTTCAACGCCATCGAAACGATGCCGGCGGTGAAGCGCAAGGCTGACTGGGCCATGTCCTGGATCTCCTCCAAGTCAGCCAACTTCGGGGAGCGCATCATCGCCTTTGCCGCCGTGGAAGGCATCTTCTTCAGCGGCAGCTTCGCCTCCATTTTCTGGCTGAAGAAGCGAGGCCTGATGCCGGGACTGACCTTCTCCAACGAGCTGATCTCAAGGGACGAGGGTCTGCATTGCGATTTCGCAGTGCTGATGTTCCAGCACCTTGTGCAGCGACCCAAGCGAGAGCGCATCATTGAAATCATTCGCGATGCGGTGGCCATTGAGCAGGAGTTCCTCACCGATGCCCTGCCAGTGAACCTTATCGGCATGAATTGCGATCTGATGTCGCAGTATATCGAGTTCGTGGCCGACCGTTTGCTGGTGGAGTTGGGCGTTGGAAAGATCTACAACACCAAGAACCCCTTTAACTTCATGGAGATGATTTCGCTGGACGGCAAGACAAACTTTTTCGAGAAGAAGGTTGGCGAATACCAGCGCATGGGAGTGGCCTCAAACCGCCTGGACAACGTCTTCACCCTGGACGCCGATTTCTAGGGCTGGTCCCAGGTCATTATTGTCACAATTTAAACATCTTATGGGCTGGCTACTCATCCTTTACAATTTAATCTGACGGAGCTTACGTGTAGTCCCCGTTTTAATATAACCTAGGCTAAGCACAATCACTGACTTTTAGCACATTAATTTTCATTTTTCGGACCTCCTCCAAGCGCTAAATCGCTGGATAATTTTGACGTACTAGGAGCGTACCTTTCTCGAATTCATTGTACATAACACATTTTCAATAAAATTATACATAGACAAGTATTAAGCACAACAATTATTAGTGGTTTTAATTTTTTGGAGAAATATTCAGTTTCAGGAACAGCCATTATTTGATAGTGTTTTTCATAAATGAGATGAAAATAATTTTTAAATATTTAAAAACTGAAGGTATAGTTATCGGAGGCTGGCGATGGCAGCTCATTTATCGATAGTCACGAGGTCCCTACTATTTTCGTAATCAGCTGACAAAGAAATTCGCTTTTTATCTGTTTTGATTGGACTTCAATTAAATTGACTTAGCTCTTCTAAAAGCACTTAAATGTGAATCACAAGTACCGAATTGTTCCAGCCCTTATCTACCATCCTTATCGACTATATACTGAACCCAAAAAAAGAGCCAACATGAAAAGTGCCCCATGAAATGCGGACCAACCCCAGAACAGAAAACTAAACCGGCAGCCAAATGAGCAGCGCATGGAATCCAGCAAACGGCGAGGAGCAGTGTTCGCTCCTTTCGGCGGACAGTTCCGCCAGTTCGGGAGCAGCTGCCTCCGGATCCGACGAAGAGTCAGTGTCCGCCAGCGGAGCACCACGGAGCAAAGCCAAACTGAGGAAGATGCAGCGCAGGACTCGTATGCCGTTGCCCAGGATGCTGAGACGCCTCGGCTGCTACACGCTGAGCGCGATCTTCATATTCCTGCTTCTTTTGGTATACCTGCCACTCATGTACTTGGATGTGCACAAGCGTAGTGGTGGGACAATATATTTCTAAAAATATCCTCTCTTTGTCAAATTCTAATACTTTGTTTGCTTTCTCAGCTGGACTGCCCGACTGGACTCTGGAGACCTCCCGCAGCACAGCCGACTACCTGGATCCCGTGCACGACACAGCTCTCATTGTTCCCCGGGATTTTTGTCGCAACAAGACCTTCCTGGTAATCGCTGTTTGTACAGGGCTCGACAACTTTGTCCAGCGACAGACTATCCGCGAGACCTGGGGCAACACCACCGAGTTCAACTACCCAGCATTTGCCAAGCTCCATGGTCACTTAAAGGGCCACTATCTGCCGCCACTCCCAGAGCGTCTGAAGCGGTACGAAGATTACCTGCATGGCGAGGGCGAATCGCTTACCGCCTCAGTGCGAATTGTATTCATAGTGGGTCGCCAGCGGGAAGATGCCCTTGTAGGCAACGAGACCCTCAGTCGGATTCACACCGAAGCGGAGCAGTACAATGACATCATTCAGGAGAACTTTGTGGACAGCTACAACAATCTAACGCTGAAGTCTGTGATGGCTCTGAAACACATCAGTCGAAGCTGCTCAAACAGCTCGGCCTTCTTCCTTAAGTGCGACGACGACACATTTGTGAATGTGCCCAATCTGCTGCACTTTCTGCTCGGCGGCACTATTCCACTGTACAACGACACGCTGGACTACCATGATAGATCCAACTATTTGGCCACTGCTCAGCACAGTCGAATGAACGCCAGCAGGGAGGTGATGTATGGACACCAGTTCTGCAACGTGGCACCCGTGAGCGACGTGAGCAGCAAGTGGTACATGCCCTCGTATATGTTCCAGCCGGAGAAGTATCCCAAGTACCTATCCGGCGCCGGCTATCTGCTGTCTATTGATGTGGTGCAGCGACTGTTTGAAGCCTCGTTAAACACTACGTTGGTCTACCTGGAGGACGTGTACATCACTGGGCTGTGTGCCCAGCGGGCAAGAATTAGACCCCACCACCATCCGCTTTTCAGCTTCACCCACTCGAAGCAGCTGTGTTCCTTTAAGGGGACCATAGCTCAGCACCAGATGAAGGACGACAGCATGGTGGAGGCCTGGATTCACGTGATCGACTACTCCATTAAGTGCCCGCCACCAGGACGCTACTTTAACCAAACGCGACTGCGAAAGCGACCGATCTGTTAAACAGCGGGTGTGGCCACGATGTCTTTCACCTCTCCCTGCTCTCTGGGCAAAAGGAAAGGCCCAATTTAAACTACATCGATAGAGATTTTTGACTTTTAGTTCCTGAAGTTACTTGTAAACCTGCTTCGGATATAGAACGTAATCAGGCAAAGGTGATATATAACCACTCATACTGTTTGCATCTGAAATTTTTTTTAGCCAAGTATGCTCATGGTATTTCTACCAAATTCTCTCGTATTCCTTAAAAAAGAAAAACAAAACGTTTGCAAAACTCATTTAGTGTTAATATGTATACGTAAAAAGATATTTAAATTTGTCAAGGCTGGCACCCCAAAACTCCATATCAACGTTAAAAATAATGCACACACACAGTATCGTAAATGTATATTTGGAACACTACAGCTTCCCAAGAATTGAAGAGTTAATAATAACCATTAGACTTTATCATAAAAGTGTAAGTATTTATTTTCATACATGAGATCTGATATCACATACGTATATATATATATAACCCTTTGGTTCAAATTAGTTACTAAATCGCACACTTCATACGTTCATTTGTTGTTCTCCTATTCGTTTTCATTTTAAAGCTTCCTTGAGTTTAAATAATTGCACACAAAAACTGCAAGTTAGTCTGATTTCACGCACAAAAAGTGTAAGCTTCATAACTATATAACTTGTAATAATTTTGTAAACGTGTGATAGAAAAGACAGAAAAAATATTTATTGCATAAGATTGCCAAATATCTAGTTGTGTTTTTGTTCGAAAAAAGCTGAATAAAATTCTAAAAAGCATAAACCAAGTGTTTTTCATTTGCATTCTGATTAAATGTATGGCTGGCTTTTCATGGGTTGTCAACTAGGAGCATTTTTTATTGAAAAAATGAATATTAGGTCCTTAAGGATACCTTTCAAGCTATGGCAACAAGTTCGTATACATTTACCAAGAGTTTGGCGGGTGCTTATCAAAATATTTAAGAAGATTTTGGTTATAAGCATTGCGCTGTACTTGGTTTATAAGATACTAACCTTCAAGGAGGATCCCATAAGGCGGAATGGTAAGCTAATGTATGATAACGAAGCTTGGTCTTGAATCTTAATATTGTATATGTATTTGGCAGCTTCTCTTCCTGGTTGGGGACGCGATACGCCCAGAAGTATATCTGATTATTTGGATCCAAACCAGGATACTGCGATTATTGTTCCGCGAGGTTTTTGCCAGAGCAAGGCCTTTTTGACAATCGCAGTCTGCTCATTCGTTCACCACTTCGATCGGCGACGCGCCATTCGAATGCTTTGGGGCAACTCCACCGACTTTAACTACTCGTCCTTTGTGAAGCTCCATGGCCACCTCAAGGGGAAATACCTGGAAGTCCTGCCAGAGCGTGTGAAGCTCTATGCCGAGTATCTGAGTGGAGAGGGTGCCTCCTTGAAGGCGTCCGTACGGATTGTTTTCATTCTGGGCCGCCGAAACCTAGCTTCTCTGTGGGAGAATGAGGCGGTCGCCAGGGAGGCGGAAAAGTATAATGATATCATCCAGGAGAACTTCATGGACACCTACAACAACCTGACCATCAAGGCGATTATGGCTCTGAAGCACATCAGCCAAAGCTGCGTGAACACGACTGCCTTCTACTTGAAGTGCGACGACGACACCTTCGTGAATGTGCCCAATCTGCTGCACTTCCTGCTCGGAGGAACGGTTCCGGTGAACAACGTCACTGCTTATTACCATTATCGGGACACGTACATGGCCACATGGAGGCGGACCCGATTGACGGAGATTAAGGATGTGATGTACGGACGCCAGTTCTGCAACGTGCATCCGATCACCAACAAGTTGAACAAATGGTACATGCCATCGTACATGTTTCGTGGTAAAGTGTATCCCCCATACTTGTGCGGATCCGGCTACCTGACGTCCATCGATGTGGTGCCGCGTCTGTACAAAGCCTCGCTGGGCACGAAGATGGTGCTCCTGGAGGACTTGTTCGTCACCGGATTATGTGCGGAAAAGGCCGGAATTAAGCGGAATAACCATCCGCTCTTCAGGTCCAGCTATCCGTATCCGCCGGAGGAAGAGTGCACCTTCAAAGGATGCTTCACCGTTCACCGCGCCAAGGACTACTTGATGTGGGAGGGCTGGTACCAGGTCATTAACTACAGCAGCAAGTGTGAGCCACCATCAAAGGCCATTACTCTGCCCAAAACACACAGGTGTTAAAAATGAATATATTGCTTTACCTTTCTAAAATAGCAGCCATAAAAAAGTATTAAATGCAAGTGCATAATTTGGCAGTTGAGAGTGTTTAATCTGATTTGTGTACTTGAGTCCGAAGTTTCGAACAGCAATACCTCATAACTTAATCGAATCGCATTATAGCCCAGCCAATCTAATCTATTAAAAGTGTGTTTTGATCAATTTGTCGGTTTGTCTGCGGCAATAGTGACGAGGCAGATGAACTTCAAAGCAGACAGGTAAACAATTAATATGATTAGAGTCTATTAGCGATTAGTACCCATCGAGCTGAATGAATGAGATAGTCACTACGCACTTTGATAATTTATCAATGATAACATTGTGGATAGGTAATCATGATGCTATTAAATTCTATATTCAATAACTCCTTCGTATATTATAAACAGCACTTGCAATAGAGCATATTGAAGTCGTCTATTTGCGGTTTAATGCTGATTATGCTGGATATTTTGGGGGTCAGGCAGTGGCACCTTCATTGGAGGGCAAGTCCCCGGTGCCGGTAACGAACCCTATCTGGTTGATTTGCTGTTCTGGTCGCGGCAAAGTCAAATTACCCCGCCCTCCGTCGCGTCCACTGATAAAGTTCACGTGCTAGCAAACAACGCGTCGTTGCCGACATCGGCAGATAGAGATACGACTGGCGACGTCGACGAGCTTTTAAACACATATATTATAAAGCATGCACTGAGAAAAAATGTGTAAAATCTATTAAAAAATAATATTCGATTTAAATTAAACAAAAAATCTTTACTATAGTAAAGAAATCAATAATAAGTCAGAAAAGTAATCATAATACTTCGGAACGTCTTATTTTGGTTCTATTCACTTTTGCAAAAGATACAATCCTGTTAAAGATATTTAATATCTATTTCCATTGGTTAGCATTGAAATATTTTTTTTCCTGTGTTGGAATGCGTCTCCGACGTCGTCTTGTTGCCATTTGTACAAATATTGGTACTCCAGCGTGGGCGGAGCGCTCTCCACGCAGTGGGAGCGTGCAAGGTGTTCCGCCGGACAATCCGTTGGATACTTTGTATCAGTTACAGGCGGCGTGATAACTGCGCTTTCGGCACAATTAGCCCAGACGTTTAATTTTGGTAAGGGAATGCCAAGGTCGTTTGTAGGTCTGTACTGTGTTTCTGTTCTGTTTTGTGTGTTGTGTTGGTTGGTTCGAACCGGCGGATTGGCGGGTCTCGTCGCGTATAAATAGCCATGGAAAGTTCTTGCCGGATTGCGCAAGTGAACTGACCTACCTAACCCAAGCCAGCCATCTCGTGTACGGTGACGTAGATCCGAACCGCGAATCGCACAGACGTCCGTACTTGAGTCTCCTGCTCCGGCTGCTCCGTCTGCTCTCTGTCTGGGCTAATGGCCCCTCATCTCCGAAACGGATATCCATTTAACCATTTGCTTCGATGGGGGCTCTCGTATCCATGATTCATTCATAACGCGGTGCCCTCGAAATGCGTAAAGCACTTGTGAAATGCTGCCTCTTATCGGCGCAGAGTGATTCGGTTCCTGATTCGATTCCGATTGCGAGGCGCCGTGGAAATTCACGGAAGAGCAGAACGGTTGCCCCGCGATCCAATCGCTATCACCCGCCACATAATTGAATAATCTGCCGTGCGAAGAGCGCGAAACAATAAAAATATCTGATACGCTGCCTGTGCGCCGCCAGTTACAGAATAAATCCGCTCCGAGCACAACGTGGGCGCATCTGGCAGGTGCCAAAATCGAGGTAGAACCGAGAAAAAGTGCGAGTGGTTCGTACATATAGTATACTATATAGAGATCTCTTTAGATCGGGAGGTTTGCTATTCTCTCGGCTAAATCGTTTGAGACAAAGAATTTATAGAGAACTGATGTTTCTTTATCGCCGTTCAAGTATCTGTGTTACATTTCCCTAATTAAACAATACATGCGCGAATTAAAATGTGATTTGAAATTATTTTTATTTTTTCGATGGAAAATTTCTGGCCTTGTCGGTATTCTTGCATAATTTAATGTGAATGCCCAATACTTTAAAACAAATGAACGGATTATAAGTGATATAAGTGGTTGCTACAAATTTATTTATATAAAGTGATATAAAACAGCGAATACTGAAACTAGAAATACATTGAGAGATATTAAGTAAATAAAGACATCAATTGTTTTATAACAATTTGAAAGATAAAGATATTAAACCCTTGAAAAAAGGGGAATAACCCATCAAAGGATATTGCCGTGACACTTGGAAACTGAATAAAAGCGATTTCGCTGGCATCTCTTACAAAAACACGACTAAATGCCGCAGCACGAGTATCTGGCGAATACCTGGCATCTTGAAATCTGCCAAATTGGCTAATTAACCGGGCCGAAAGAGGGTTGCCGGCGCAAGGGGGCGTGGCCCAACAGCTGATTGCACCGAGCACGAGCCACGAACTGCACTGCAAAAGTTTTGTCGAGCGGCGGAAAAAAGCTGCAGGCAGTGCAGTTTTCGCAGAGCGACGGCGACTGGCGAATCAAACGGACGGAGCAAGCGGAGGATACGGATACTCGCTTCCAGTTCTCAAGCTCAGCAGTTCCAGGCAGCCACACGAATCCGGAATTGGAACCGGAGTCCCCGGATAGAACGAACGGCCAGAAGAGCGCTAGGTGAGCTCAATAACCGATTTGCCTTGGCCGAGTGCGGATGCGAAAAGCGCGAAGTCGACGGGAAAGTGACTCAAACTCTGATGTAATCATTTTCACATGCTATTACGCCCGCTAAAAACGTTCCGTTCGCATTCGCATTCGCATACTCATTCTCGGTCGTCGGAAATCGGGCGATTTCGGTTTTTTTTTCTGTTTCACCCTCTCGGATTCAGTCTGTTGCTGGCCTGGAAGCCAAAAGGTAAACATAGTCACCACTCGAATCGGTTTGAATTGGTTCGAATCGGATGGGGTGTTGATGGGTTCGAGAGCCCCCAAAAGTACGTCCTCGCTTGAACTCTGTTTTGGACCCAGTGTTCCGGGTCCCCACATTCGCATGGAATCCGTTTCTTTATCTGGTCATCTGAGTATTGATTTAACACTCATTCGGAATCCGATGGATGGCAATGGAATGGAACACTCGCCGCACTTCCAATGAGAAGAGAGCAAAATGTTGGAAGAAAGCTCTGCGACAAAGCTTCGGTCAGCTGTGAATGAGCGCGCCAGAGAGCTTTATGTGTTTTTAATGCGCGATTTTATGGTGTTTGTGATATCATCAGATTCTTATTTATCTGACAGATATACATATGTATATAAAACAAGTTTTAAGTTTGAGATTCTAAATCATTTGTGTCACGGCAGCGGGATTAGTGTTCAGCAAAAACATAGTCATAGTGAAATCAAATGACAACCTATAGAACAGAAGGAATGCAGCGGATTGTTGTTCCAAAAAAATAAAGTGATATTGGTGTCAAAACTTATAATTCAATTTCTCTAAATATATTTTTGTGAAGTTATTAAATAAGAAAGTGTGTTAAGGACAATAAAACAACACTTCCTATTCGGTTGCTATTATGAAATGTGTATCTAAAAAGTAACAATTTAAAATATAACGAATATTTTTCACTAATAAAATATAAAGACAGAAAAGGTGCAGTTCGGACAATAATTATAACCCAACAAGATAATATTCAAATTTCCATTTGTGGAACTCAACATGAACTGTTTTTGTTGCATACTTATGAGCTGTTTCCCGGCATCCCTTTTCCAGCCCAATCAAATACTCGATCGTTTCATTAGCTTCGTGAGAGATCCTTCGAGATGACCTCGCGAATGTTCAAGTTCGGCGTCACAGCCGCCAGTGCCTGTGTGGGATCCGTTCTGGCCTCATACACCCTGGACCGCTGGAACTCACCTCATGTGGTACGAATTGCCTGATATCCCATATAATATAGGGAGGTATTTATAATAAACCTTCCTGTATCCTTAGGTAAACAATGCTCAGACCCTTCCGCCGAAGAGGAAGCGCACTCTGCCTCCACGAGCGGATCAAATTAAGTCCCTGATGAGCGGCGAGGAGTTCGACGTGCTGATCATCGGCGGAGGAGCCACTGGAGCTGGATGTGCTCTGGATTCGGTCACGAGAGGTAAGTTGGAAATGATCCTTTTAAAAACTAGAAATTCTTAAAAAAGAGCTCTCCCCTTAAACAGGTTTGAAGACCGCTCTGGTGGAGCTGGACGACTTTGCCAGCGGCACCTCTTCGCGTTCCACCAAGCTCATCCACGGCGGAGTGCGATATCTGCAGAAGGCCATCCTGGGCGTAAGTTTGCCATCTCCTCCAGACCATCCTCCATTGTAGAGTGCTAATTGTCATCTGTAATCCCAGCTAGACCTTGAGCAGTACCGCATGGTCAAGGAGGCGCTCGCGGAACGCGCCACCATGCTCGAATCGGCGCCCCACTTGACCCACCCTCTGCCCATCATGCTGCCAGTCTACACGTAAATTGAAGAAATCCTTTAAGAGAGGTGTCACAGAAAGCTATTTAGTGAATTAAAGATTACCTTAAACAGTACATTTTTCATTATTTATAAAATTTGTTCGAAAATGTAGTTAGTAAAGTTTTGTGATTAATTGGTATTATTAATCTTCATCATTTAGTCATCATATTTGTTTAACTATCATGATATATCTATTTTTTTTTATTTCATTGGATATCAATATTATAGGGACACTATATATTTAAATTGTAGTTCAAGTACTGTAACAGCTAGAAACTCTGTGACACTTCTCCTTACCTTCTTTAAACTCCTCTTACTAATGGTTTCCCCCTTCCGCAGATGGTGGCAGGTTCCCTACTACTGGGTGGGCATCAAGGCGTACGATCTGGTGGCCGGTGACCGCAACGTGAAGAGCTCCTACTACCTGTCCAAGAAGGACGCCCTCGAGCTCTTCCCTATGCTCAAGAAGGACAAGCTGTGCGGAGCGATCGTCTACTACGACGGTCAGCAGGACGATGCCAGGATGTGTCTGGCGGTGGCGCTGACCGCTGCCCGTCATGGAGCCACCGTGTGCAACCACGTGGAGGTGAAGGAGCTGCTCAAGAAGGACGACGGCACCGGGAAGCAGGTGCTGTGCGGCGCCAAGGTCAAGGACCATATCTCCGGCAAGGAGTTCACCGTGAAGGCCAAGTGCATCGTGAACGCCGCCGGTCCGTTCACGGACTCCATTCGCAAGATGGACAACCCGACGGTGAAGAGCATCTGCTGCCCCAGCTCCGGTGTCCACATCGTGCTGCCCGGCTACTACAGCCCCGACCAGATGGGCCTGCTGGATCCCTCGACCTCCGACGGACGCGTTATCTTCTTCCTGCCCTGGCAGCGCCAGACGATCGCCGGCACCACCGACCTGCCCTGCGAGATCACCCACAACCCCACGCCCACCGAGGACGAGATCCAGTTCATCCTCAGCGAGATCAAGAACTACCTGAACGCCGACGTGGAGGTGCGTCGCGGCGACGTCCTCTCCGCCTGGAGCGGCATCCGCCCGCTGGTCTCCGACCCCAACAAGGACGACACCCAGTCGCTGGCCCGCAACCACATCGTCCACGTCAGCCCCTCCAATCTCATCACCATCGCCGGCGGCAAGTGGACCACCTACAGGGCCATGGCCGAGCACACCATCGATGCGGCGATCAAAGGTGAGTCTGGGTATCCCTGGGGTCTTGATCTTCAAGGGGTTTCAAGTGAAACCTTTTGACACCAATGGTATCAATAAACGTTCGCTGATTATAGATCGAATTGATGATAGATCGAATTAATTTAAATTCAATTATGAAAGCTAGCTTTAAATCCTTTTTGGTAATTCAGTGACTAAAGAGCACTTAACCTTTCGATTCCCTTTACAGCCTGCAACTTGAAGCCTGAGCGTCCCGAGGCGGTGACCGCCTACCTGAAGATCGAGGGCGGTCAGGGCTGGACCCCCACGATGTACATCCGACTGGTGCAGGACTTCGGGCTCGAGTGCGAGGTGGCCCAGCACCTGGCCAAGTCGTACGGCGACCGGGCGTTCGCCGTCTCGAAGATGGCCTCGCTGACCGGCAAGCGGTGGCCCATCATCGGCAACCGCATCCACCCGGAGTTCCCCTACATCGACGCCGAGATCCGCTACGGAGTGCGCGAGTACGCCTGCACCGCGGTGGACATGATCGCACGTCGCCTGCGACTGGCCTTCCTCAATGTGCAGGCGGCCCAGGAGGCCCTGCCCGTAATCGTGGACATCATGGGCGAGGAGCTACAGTGGTCCAAGGACGAGAAGGAGCGCCAGATCAAGGCGGCCACCGAGTTCCTGGCCAACGAGATGGGCCACTCGGTGAACCGCACCTCCAAGGAGCGCATCCCGATCAAGCTGTCCAAGGAGGAGATCCAGACGTACATCAAGCGCTTCCAGCTGATCGACAAGGACAAGAAGGGCTACGTCTCCATCAACGACATCCGGCGGGCACTCAAGAGCTTCGGCGATGGCGACGTCTCCGGCGAGCAGTTGCACGAGATCCTGCGCGAGATCGACACAAACATGAACGGCCAGGTGGAGCTGGACGAGTACCTTCAGGTAAGCTAAACGATTTAGGGAAATCTTATGGAAGTTTCATATACCATTAACTATTGATTAAAAGCTTATTAATTTTTATAAAACCAATGTATTTAATAGTAAAACTTATTTAGATTCCCAAGAGAATCTCAAGATGACCTGTATAAACTTAAGATACTTTCTAAAATATGATTTCTAACCATTTTGCAATTGCAGATGATGTCGGCCATCAAGACGGGCGACGTGGCCTACTCAAGATTCGCGCGCATGGCGGAGCTGGAGGAGCAGAAGCACGAGGCGGCCAACCTGAAGCAGAAGATCAGCGTGGACCGATCCGGAGGAGGCCTGTAAGGGCACAAGCGACTTAACAACGACGACCACATCACCCGGCCATCGGAGGCAAGGACTAGACTTAAGATCGAACGGTTAAGATCAAAACTTATTTTCATTTTGCTGTTAATAAATCCCCTTCAACTCACAGATCACCGCCGCTCCAGCTTTCACTATCTTGAAACTAGTTTACCAAGCAACTGGACTGCTCCTTTTTCTCGCTCGATGGAGGCTCAGTTTTCGAGTCGGTGGTCTTTGGCTTCGCTCCATTTTCATTCGGATTGCGATTCATGGCAGGCTGCTCCTTCTTCGTTGCCTGGTTAGGCTGAACCCCTTTGGGCGCCTTTTGCTCGTTCGGTTTTGGATTTGGTTTGACTGGAGCAGGAGTCACCTTCTCCTTGGTTCCGATAAGAACATCCAAGGGCTTCTTCTGCTCACTGGTTTTTGGGTTTGGTTTAACTGGAGCAGGAGTCACCTTCTCCTTGGTTCCGTTAAGAACCTCCACGGACTTCTTCTGCTCACTGGGTTTTAAATTTGGTTTGAGTGAAGCCGAGTCCGTTTTCAAGTGCTCCTTTGAAGTGGAATTGGATTTGGTAGAAGCAGGATCCAACTTCCGTTTGGGCTTAGCTTCCGCTTGGGTAGTTACAACCTTCTTCTGACTTTCCTGAACTGGTTGGGGATTGGTCTTCTTGCCCTGACCATTGGGAGCTTTGTTTTCTGGCCCTTTCTCCTTGCCGTTGCCTATAGAGATAAGGTTTCGTTTATTAAAGTTTCGATTTGGCAATATATTTGCTTTTCTCACTGAAGGAGCAATGCACATTGTTTTTTATGTCGCCGGTGAGATTGGCATCGGCTCGAAGGCAAATGTATTGGAACTTGACCACGCAGTTCACCATGTCCTGTCGCTGGCTGTCGGTCAGATGGGCGATCATGTCCAGCTTGGGATCCCAGAAGAAGAGCAGCTTGCCCTTCTTCGAGGACAAGGATAGGTTATTACGCAACTTGTCCAGCGTCTGAAAAGATGGATAAGGATAATGTTAGGGAACGAGTCATTATTAAATAGATTGATCACCTCGGTCATTATATCTTTGACCGGTTTATTCCAGTAACTGCCGTCCTGCTTGGCCACTTCCCACAGGAAAATCGTCTTGATGAAGTAGCTCTTCAGGTTGCCCATGTTGTTCTTGGTGTTTCGGTGCTGCTTCAGCAGCCGGATGGCGTTCTTCAGGTGGTTCTTGTCATGGAGCAGCCTCCGCTCGGCATCGTAGTACGAGCCTCGGAAGGAGGGGTTCTCGTTTTTGGCTGGCTTCATCGGCTTGGGAACGGCGTCCCAGAAGGGAGTGCCACCGAAGTGTTTCCTCTGCTCCGGGGCCAAAACGCACTGTGCCGCCGAAAGTTTGATGGCCGGCACGAAGTCCACGGAGTACTCATACCGACCCTTAACGAAGATCGTGTGGGCGGGTCCGCACTTCTTGTACTGAAGGGGCGAGACCTCGCCGCCCACTTCGATCTGGTTGCCCATCTTGTTGAGCGTTTGGGTCATCACGCCCTGCAAGAAGCTCTGCAGCTTGTCCTCCAGCAGCTGATTCTTGCGGTTCACGATCTTCTTGAGGAGATCGAAGACCGCCTTGTTGTGCTCTTGATTGCAGATGGTCTCCAGCACCTTGGTCATGTCTAAGATCACGTTGCCTGCCCAAAACAGATTAAAACCCTTCAGCGATTGGTGCTCTGAGTATTTCAGCGATGTCCTTACCCCTGAAGCTGGAGTCGGCCGTCACGATGATCCTGTCGTTCTCGGGAAACACCAGGTGAATCACCAGATCGAACTCGTCGGGCATCGACACCTTTAAGTTATCGCCATAGCCGCCTGGAACAGAGAAATGTTTAACAGGTTAATGGTTGATAACTTGTTAAATGAATGACAGCTATTTACGATACGATATAGATTAGATCAGCGGAAGCAAGCGATGACCCTTTTCAAGAAACCTGGACCCAACTAATATAAATTACGTTTAATGGTTGATAAGATATAATTAAACGATTTGTTACCCAGGAGAAAGAAATTACATAAATGATTATTTAGACTTTGCAAGTATTGGTTGTTGTAAAGCAATGGACAAATCTACTACCGATAATTTATTTTAAAATAGTCAAGCAAAAATTGTTGGCTGGAGAGAAACTTCCAGACTTTTTCACTCAGTAGTTGCATGAAGTAAGGGCATATTGTACTTGTGCTCATGTATGCAACAGGAAGTTGTAAGGCACGTTTGGTACCGAAAAATATTATTTTTGATGTAGCCTCCATTACAGAAGGGACAGATTTCTGAGAACCTTAAAAAAGAAATATTTTTGCGGAAGCAAGTAACAGTTTTCCTTTCTTAATCAGATAAATATTTATGGGTTTGGGAAAAACATTACAGGGTTATAAAATTGCAAAAAAAAAAAAAATGGGCAATTAATTATTTTGATTAAAGTTTAGTGCTCCAACCAACAGGAATATTAGTTTTAGATCGTATATGGAGCGGATTTTTCGTTATCAGATAGGGTATATCACTTTCGGCGATCGTGAATCTTACTTTCCGGTTGGAAATCTCGTTTTACTTTATTTTCTTATCGCGGCAAGTAGTGACGACACAAACCAATTTGCAGTAGTTGCACTGAATGTTTGAAATGAGCTAAGACTGATTTGTTACCATTGCAGTCTGGAGTTTTCGCTTGCAGACACTGCCTCGTAAGAACACGTTGCATCTGGAGAACTGAGAATGCCACCTACCGCCCAGTGTGAATCCATTGAGCAGCTTGCCCAGAACCCCCGATGCCTTAAACTCGGTGTATATCTTGTTCCTCAGTGCATTGTAGTGGTCCGTGTACTCCTTGCGGTGTGAATCGAAGTTAACGTAGCTGCCGTTCGCCTGGTTCAGGTTATCTTCCAGATTCCTCGCCATATCGCTGATGTTACTCTACCGAATCGCTACCGTCGCCGAACGCCGCCGAATTGTATCTGAATGGTCAACAGAGACGGATTGTGTTGGGAACCTCTCAACTGCGCTTTCTACATTCTCTCTACACTCAATCGGTGTTCGGATTTCGGATTCCGCGAGAGAAGTATCTTCGCCGGCGCACACTGGGCCACAACGTTGATTTTGCCGACAAAAACTGTAATTTCTGACCCTGGAAAAACTAAAAAGTGACATTTTATGAAAGGCTTTCTTAACAGGTTGTGCTACTCGACGAATTAAAAATGAAAAATTAAACATATTTATATATGAATTAACCAAAGCAAATCAAATAAGTAATAACTAGCCCTAGTATACAAAAATTAAATTTAAAATCATTACTTAAGATTTATGAAAGTTTAAATGTTCGAAAGAAAATAACGTATCAAAAGTATCACTGCAAAAAACAAACAATTAACTCATACCATGAGCGTTGATATGCCTTTAAAATAATAAATGTTTGAAATATGTCCACATTTGAGTGAATATGCTGTGTTTATCCTTCAGCATGTTTATTTTTTTAATTCTGGGAATCACCCGCATGCTGTAAGCATCGGGTTCTTGGGATTCCCCACTTTACACAATCTTGGAATCTCCTGGCGAATTCTGAAAAAGAAATATAATATCTGAAAACACTGGGTTGTTTAAAATGCAATTTCAAGAATATTTTATTGATCGGTATTTTTAATTTAAGTGGTATTCATATTGATTTCCATTAGCGCGTCACAATTGCAGAATTGAGAGAACAATCATAATTCATTGATCCATAAATTGAATGTTATTACATTTGCGTCTTGTCTCGTTCGACATTGGTTTTTTGCTCACTTGCGTTTATTTTAATGCACGTATAAATACTAGGGAGTTGCAAAAATATTGTACAATAACAATCAAAAAGTACGATCGATAGTTGGTACGTTGGTTAATTGGTAGATAAAAAGATTAACAAAGGCGTAGGCCAATAAAGCATGGAATCTGTGGTAAATCTTAGACCTCAACTAATGTGTGGGTGGTATTGGGTATTGGGGAGGGAATTTTTCGGAGAGACAACCCATGGAATTGAAACCACTTGCAGCTAGCGGGGTTCAAAGCGGATTTCGGATGGAGGAGGAGGATGTTAGCCGGCTCTTTTCGGAAGTTAAGTTTCCTTTGGTACAGATACATCTGAATCTTCGTCGACTGGGATTCTCATCGTTTGCGTTTATGCTCAGTTGCGATTCGTTTCAGTTAAATACAATATACTTATGTAAAAAAGAGTAAAAAGACGCGCAGATCTCGCACTGGCGCCAAAACTTAATGATTAGCTTACAGCTAGGTATATATAATATATATGTATATATATATCTGCCCGTTAAGTATCTATGTACTGGCGCGAGATGCCCAATATTGTTAATATGCCGTGTTATCGGGTTGGAGTAGAAAATTGGAAGAGAAAAAGAGTGGCGCATATGCTAGGTTACACGATATAAGTATGCTCTATCTAGGTGAGTGACTATTTATAATTGATTTTTACACACTTAATTGCAATCGCTTGCTTTGTGTTCGATTCAGCGATAAGCGATAAATGCCGATGATCCTTTAGTGGACACCGACCGATAAATACAACTCAAAGGTAATCGTATAAATATATGTATAGGTATCTATCTAAACGCAGATACATTGAGAACATCGAGAAACGTTTCGTGTTTTGTATAATTAAGAGTTTAGGTTTAACTTTGAGACTTTTGCACAGCATTTAATTTTATACATTCTCGTTTATGTTCTATATATTCATATTTCTATATGGTATTCCCCGTACAAGTACAAATCGAGTAAAAACCTCTCTATACAAATCCAAAACCAATGTAAACCAGTGAATCAAAAATAAATGCGAGTTTCGTTAACTAATCCGAGTGTAAAAGGTTGGAAGCCGGACAACAAACAATCGAAAGAAGGCTAGAAGGACACTCTAGGGACAGGATAGATAGGGCATTTCTCATTTTTTTTGGAAGGGGCTGCAGCTACCGTAGAGCGTATAATGAATCAGTCTTTGCGCGTCACAAGTCGTCAATCGAACGGGGAAACGATACGATAAATATATCGAAATCAACGCTAAGCGGGGTTCGGATTATCGGATAAGGAGCGGGGGAGGGGAAGTCGGGATTACTAATGCGACTGAGGATCCTCGGGCATACAAACCGTACAAAAACTAGCTATGTAGATACAAACATACAATACACATTATCAGTATAATCATCGCTTCGATTCGATTAGCTTCGATTTGGTTATCCTTTGTATACAAAGTAGATAATATTCGAATTACAATAATAATTGCGGTACGGGTAAGTAATTAGTTTAAATACGGTAAAACAAGTTAACAAGCTTTAATGCAAATATTCCGCCTCGAATCTGAACTCGAATATTTCGAGATCGATTTCGCTTAGAGTTAGTTCAGAGTAGAGTGTAGGTTAGATTTAGGTGTGGGTTAGCTTTGAGCCTAGCCAAAAATTGAATTACAGAATCGAGAGCGTAGCGTAGTATGCAAAGTGGTAGTAGATCCATATCCATATCCATATGTATATCGGCGCAACGGGTACCCAATCAAATATTGGATATCCGCCAGCCGGCTTGTTTACTCGTAATTGGTGCTTTTCCGTTTCGCTTAGGTTTAGAGTTACATAAAGTACTTTCGGAGGAGAGTAACGAATAAAAAATCCTCATCGTCCCTGCCCTCGGCTATCATATATGTGTGGTTGCTTTTATCGAATACAATACGTACAATAAAAAAATGTATAATTAGATTTATAATTTCTTTAGAATCGAAGTCCAATGCAAATGAACGCCAAGAGCTGCGTTGCGCAAGCGTTCTAACCTTATTCTGCACTTGATTTTCTGTTAACCTGAATACAAAAATACATTATCATAAATATATTTATATGTTCGCGTGTATATGTATGTATGTATATGTATGCAATTGGTAATTAACTGTCTGGTAACGACAACGACAAAACGATTTCGATACGGATTTGTATTTGCAATTGGATGTGGTTGTGTTGCAGGATGCGCTCCTCATCAGTGGGATGTCGCGCCATGAGATTCTGGATTCTGTATCCTGTATCCATCCTCTACTTGTTGTTCTGCGCCATCACGTGCGGTGACTTGTAGAAATTCTGCACGAACTCCGAGAGGCTGTAGACCGCTCCCGGACCTTTTCCTGCGCTCATGCAGATGAAGTCCCCCAGACAGTGCATGTTAGCTGTTTTTAAATCAGGATATGAGTTTAAAAGCTTCTAATAGAATTTTTAAATACTTACTATTCGAGAGAATGGGAGGATACGAGGGAGGTGGCTTGATCCAACTGCCATCCGGTCGACGCATGTGACGCCGGTCCGAGGAGAACTCAATGAGATATGTGTCTGCGGGTATGACTCTGAAGAATCTATTGTGAAGATTGTAAGTCAGTTAGTCAAAGAGCAATGAAAAACCCTCTCTGAAACCCACCTGTGGTGCTCCGGTCGCAGGGCCAGATCGGAGCGGAACGTCTCCGTCACGTACTTGTGAAAATATGTGGGGAAGGGCAGCGTGGTGTCCAGATCGAACACCAAACAGCGATTCAGCGAGGGATTGTGCATGAAGAAGACGTGGTAGTCCTGAAGATAAAGGGTTGGATGAATTTTAAAAATAAATGTTAGTAGAAGCTTTGAGGGGAAACCAAAGATTAATCAAAGATTAACTTTATTTCAATCAACATGTTTACTATTCACTTAACAGCTTATAGTTCGTTTAATATTTTGAAATCTGAACAGCAGCTCGTTCGTTTTATAATCAGTGCCTTAGTGCACTATCAACTTACCCATATCACAACTTGATCATCGCCGCGTCCGGCCTTCTGGCGCCAAAGGGGCACCGTGCGTCCCTCATTGGAGACGAAGACAGCGTAGCACTTGGACAGCTCCTCCGGCCGCGTTCGCTTCACCTGCTCGCAGAGCTTCCACACGTTCTCCTCGCTGGAATAAGAATTAGATACATTTATCAGAAGCATGGTTAAGCAATCAATAGATGCACTGCCCCGAGAAACAGATTAAGTTCGAGTCAAAGTCCGAGTTTCGGTGCGGGGCTAATCCCTGCACGAAATGTCAAGTGGCTCAACCTGTTTCTAACCTTTATCAGCAACAGGCCGCCACTTTGGCATTATAATAATCGATTTTGCTTAGCACGCGTCTGGCTTTTGGGCCGTGCTCCTTGCCAGTTTGCTGTTTATGGGGCTCTTTCGAATAAATTCCAATCAATTCGGCTGCCACACATTGTTGCTCGCATGTCGGATGGGCGGCCGCTTCGCAGGTGCATGTGAGTGGGGCATTAAACTAGGTGGCACAACAAAGGCGGCCATATCAACAGTAACAGGTATAACAAGGACTCGCAGGGGGTGGGGCGGTGGATTGGAGGAGGAAGGGCAGGTGGCACAACCCACTCAAGTGGCGCGGTCAAAAGTCGCGACTGAAAGTGGCTCGCGGCGATATCGTGAGCTGGCGTTATTAATGCCGCCGGGCAGAGATTGCTTTAAAGGGGCAAAAAGGTGGGGGTTGTGTGGGTGGTGGTTGGTTCAACACAAGACCCAGTTTGAGTGGGTTCTCCAAAAGATGCACAGAGAGAAAAAATAAAAAATTTGTTTATGCATAGAAAAGATCACACGTTGTGATGATTAACTTTATAATGCTAAATTTAGAGCTTAAAATAAAAACCATTTAATGTTAAAAACAAGTTTAGTTGCAACTGGATTTTTTTCATATAACAATTCAGAGTTGTGAATAAAGATTGGATCAATAAAGAAGATAAGATCCATATGTATTATAAACCAATTTATCATTATTTGAATATATGCAAAGATAGTTGATACAATTCTTTTTCAGTGCAGGCAGCAAAATGCCAGAAGGCAGTGTCTTGAATTCGCGAGCCGCTGCAACACGCGACCCACAGATGGCGCTGCTGTGGTGTGTATGCCGAGGAAAGCGAGAAAGGCGAGGAAAATGAGAGCGGAGGAGAGCTTCCAGAGTTTTCCTGGAAGGAGAGATGAATCTGAATCTGAGTGCAAATGTGAGTGCGCGAGCAGTTGCGAATTAATCAATGAACATGTCCTGCGGGAGCAGGGGGCGTTGGGTGTTAAACAGGGGGAGGTGGGCGGTGAGTGGGTGGGTGGTGGTATGAGGTCAGAGAACGCGACGACATTTTATCTGGCCATGTAAATGGGTGTGCGTGTGTAAAAACTTTTTTATGTTCTGCGCCTCTTACTTTATATTTTTTGTTCGCCCGCTTTTTTTTGTATTTGCGAGTGTGTGATTGCGAGTGCTAGTGTGTGTGTGGGTGTGCGGATGTGTGTGTGTGTGTGGGCGGCAGAACATAAAACTCATATCATGCGGCAGGATAAACAAGTCCCCGCCGCCGAAAAGTCCGTGGGGGACCGCCTGCCAAGTTGCCATTACTTTGCGCTCGTCGCCGCCATTGCCGCCATTTTTGCAATTAGCATTTTAAATATTGCACCAACACAGCGACAAGCCACATCCTATCCAACGTGTGGTAGTGTGTATTTTGTTTAATTTTTGCTTTGGTTTTCGACGGCTTTTTGTTGTTGGTCGGACGGACGGACGGACGGACGGTCGGTTGGTCGTTTGTTTTATAGTCGAAACGCGCCTCTCGCATGTGGCCATAAAAACGGAGCGAAACCCGTCGACATCCTTTCGAATGTCCTACCCCACACTAACCCATACACTCAAACCCACACAGAAGGAGGACGAACACACACACACAAGCACACACAGACAAGTGCAGGATACACGAACACAGCGGCACGCTTTTCTTGTTGGCAGACATGACCGTTTGACCTAATTTCTGGAGCTGCGCAGCGCCAAACGGCGCCGCATCAGGATTCTGAGAAGCAGGATTTCGAGCTCGGGACGCCTAAACGGAGGAGCAGAAGGTGGGGGGGAGGGGGAGAGGCGGAGGATGGAGGATCCAAAAGGATGCGGCTGGGAAGCACAGGACTCACAGGAGTGAGTGAGTAATGAGCGAATTTGAATGCAAAGCGAGGCACATCGAGCGCCTGGGATAATGAAAATCATCCGAAAACAGCGTCGGCGGCGGCGGCACAGGACGAAGGCGAAGGACGCAGGACATGGCTCCGTTGAGTGGCGAATGTTGTTGCCAAAAGAGATAACGCACAAAAATAAAATATACATAATTAAAAGAAGAGCCGCTCGGCAGTTGGGACTGGCCAAGCATGAGATAATCATTCACAGAAGTGTGAAAGGCAGCGGGAATCATGTGCATCTGGGGAATAGGCCGCTTAATCCCCGAAACAGTGGTCACTCGGTAAAGTAAACTAGGAGATTAATAGTTTTTTCTAGAAAATTTGCTATCTATATAATCCCTATTTAAGGATTATAATGAAGATACCCCAGCTTTACACTCTGCTGTTAATCTTTTGTAAGTACATGCCACAAAAAGTTCACAAAAATATCAAGTCCTAAGATAATTAAATTTAATGTTTAAAATGATGTTAAATTTTAATTTTATTTAATACACCATATATGGAATTAAAAATGTCTCATCCACCAAATTTAATTTGGGTTTAGGTAAGTAATCTCTAAAAACCAGAGACCAGAAACAAATTTTACATAAAATATTGGCGATAAACTCTGCCTTAAAAATCTTTTAAAAAATCTTCTAACATAGCCAGTGACCACTGTGCTCCGTTCATTAGGCTCAGCGGTATTCTCCGCAGCTTTCGACTTCCCCTGGGAGGTATCCTACATATCAGAGCCATTAGCTGCGTTGCCGCCGTGTTGATATTCAGGTGCTGAAGGTTGGGTGAATGATTTCGCCTGCCTAATGAAAAAGTTTCCCATCTCCCCAGTTGTTGTTATTGTTGTTGTTGTTTGTCGTTAGCTGTTGCTTTTGTTCCTGCCCGAGGGATTTATCTCCACTATATATATGTGTTTACATTTATTTACTCACCAGTAACAGGACACATAGGAGCAGTCCGCTATCTTGGGGAACAGAAAGTCCGTGGTCATCTTGATGCGCTTCGGGATCTGCGGCTCTGTTGCTTCTATTGTGTTAAAATCCTTGGCTATCCTCGGGTATCCTTGGGTATCCTTTGGCTGGGAGCTGTGTGTGGGTGCAGGACTGCAGGATGGATTGCCGGGGGGCCAGGGGCTAATTGTCACTGGGGACTGGGAGTTTGCACGAGACACCAGACGAGCGATATATAATCACTGCATTATGCGCCGCTGACTGGACAAAAGCAGGGTGTGTGTATCTGTATCGGTATCGGTATCTGTATCTGTATCTATGTCCTTGCGGTGGCATCGGTGGCATCGGAGGATGCTTCCCTGGCTAATCCCGATCTCTATTTTGACTTAGATGCTGATGGCGATCCTGTTCCTGGTACTCCATCTACTCCTCCGCTGGTGAGAGGAGGTGCTTGTGCTCCCTCTGTTTTTATATTTTTGTTATTTTCCCTGTCTTTTTCCTGCTTCCAGGATGCTGCTGCTCACTCACACTGCGGCACAAATTCAGACACACACATACACATGCACTGGCTCTCTCGCGAAGGAGCCGATTTCTCGGTTTTCGTTTCGGTTTCGATTTTTGCGAATTAAATTATGCTAAGGATGCTGGAACTCTGGAGCTTCCACCTCTTGTTGCTGCTGCTGCTGCTGCTGGATTTTCGCCTGTTTTGGGAACGCACACCTGCCCGAAAACAAACGCGCTCATTCCCCGCTGATTTACCGTTTTTCTTCTTATTTCTCTTTGCCTTGCAGGGAGTGGGGAAAAGGGGGGATGGAGGGGGCGGACTGACCAGGTGACAGAGCCTGGGGCAACACACTCAGCAAACCATGCAGCTTTGAATTAGGAATGCCAGGTTTTGTTCGCCTAACGGGTTCACAGGTTCACGGGATGACAGGCAAACAAAAAAGTGTCCTGGAGAATCGCGAGGAATGCAGGCGGTGTGTGTTTTTGGGGGCCCTCTCTATCCGCTTTTCCTTTTCCCGTCCACGCTCTGGTGGTGGCTTTTCCGCTTTTTTTTTTTATCTCGGCGCACTCCGCTCCGTGTTGTGTACGCGTTCCCGAATTCGCACAGTGTGACCCACGTGGAGCAGTCGAGAATTCTCCAAAAGTTCTGGCGACAGCGGGAAAAACGGTAAAAGTTCAGTTACACACTGAACTGAGAGCAAAAGCGCGCCATTTTTAAATAGGGTAATTCATGTTAAAAGCATTTTTAGTGTTTGTTACTACATAAATTAATATACAAATTAAGCTAAATTTAAATAAGTATGTTCCACACAAAAAGCTTCAACATTGGAAAACAAATGTCAAATTAGAATTTAATATAAGAATGATAAATAAGGAGTAGAACATTCCAACAAGGTTTTTATCGTACTAGAAATTAAGCAATCCAATAAGAAAACGATAACATGGGCAGCACTGGAAAAGCGCTGAGCATTGCTGACTGACAAAACATCACTGCTACGGCCGCCTTTGCTCACTGACATTAGGTATGGCTTATAACACGCAACGGCTTTTCAAATTACTTTGTTTCTAACGAGCACTTATTACCCGCTTACTCCTCCGTTAATCAGCGCTATCTAATCACTCGTGACTGCTAATGGCCAATTGACAGCACGCAGTTTTGGCAAAGCCAATTAGTAAAACCCCGCCGGCGGTGTCTCTTTTTTTTACAGCACTCGACAAATATTGCGGCAGGCAAGGCGAAATACCTTTCGTTCGATAAGATAAATCTGCGCAGTCTGTTGAGCCATTGTAAATGCCTCACGAGTGGATTTCCTCCACGCCCAGAGTAAATCGGCGAAGCTGATAAGCGACTATATAAACGGCAGGTTCAGTTAAACCAAGCGAATCGGTGAAGAATGCCTCATTGGGAACTCATGGGATGTGCAAATTGTTCTTAATATTGCGTAGCCAAAGAACTGATAAGGCAGCTTGGCAACTGATTTGGGATATAGGGGGTATTTATGGGGATAGGGAGTGTTACCCCAAATCCATCGGCAACGCTTTATTGATTAAGAATCCCAAAGTGATCTGCGTTCATCGCTTTATCAGCGATCACAGCGATCAAAACGATCATGACACACAAAACGCAAATCTATCGGCGGGATGACGCGACTTCTATGCCTATATGTTATGGTTGCAGGCAGTATCAGGCGGCTTTATCACGAGAGAGAGAGAGAGAGAGGGAGAGAAGTAGAGGAGAGAGAGAGCTCCCCATCCGTAATCCGTATAGTTTGGGGAGTCCGACGTGGCAAGCGGCCTTTCAGTTAGCTCCAGCACTCAACCGTCGACGGGTTCGCTCCGCTCGGTAGCATTTCGTTTCGAGATCTAGAGATTTAGAGATCCCCGCTTCCAGTCACGACCTTTTGTGGCAGAACCTGTTTACCCGCCTCGTGGATTTTTGGGCAGCAGGTTCTCGAATCCGGTGAAAATCTTCATCCGCGCAGAAGAACAGAAACAGAAGTAAGTGACACCGCATCGAATTGCCTGGCAAGCGGTTTAATTGAATGTTAATTGGCATCGATTGATCAAAGCAACGCGACCAGCTTGCAATCCACAAACGAAACGATCGCCTGGAAACTGGGAAACTGGGAAGTCAGCTGTGGCCCAGTCCCACTTTTATTTCCGAGTGGACATCCAGCGAAGAGGGTCAACACTCGCGCACTTCTTATCGCTTAAGATTATGTGCCAGTATTAGCAGGCTGTCGATGGCAAGGCCATCCTATAGTCACCATTATAAAACTAATAAACAAGAAAACAGCTGAGAATATTCAGAATACTAAACCGAAGATAGAAATACCTTACACAGTTTTAATCCGGTTAATTTCAAATAAGGAAACAAGTTTATTAGTTTATTGCATGGTGTAAATGTAATACTAGATATGATACTTTATAGGCTTATTAAGTTCTGTTTTTGGAAAGTAAATACATTTATTAATGTAATTTGATATAAACAAACAACAAACAGTTCGAAAAACTCACAATTAGGTTTGTTACTTCAGTTTGTGGGTGGCACAACCATATCATTTCATGATTTATACTCCGAATAATAACTGCTTTACTTAAATCATGTTTCTCATAATTATCTTGGTCACAGCTAGACAAAATAGTCGTTCCCTAATCTATTGTCTAGTTATAAAGCAGTTGAGCTGGGTAAATACACAAACCCTATACTTTATGGCAGACCTGTAAAACTTAAGCCTTGTGCTTAAAATGACGAGCAACAGATGAGTAATCAAAAATGATGAATTGTTTGTTTGCCTTTCTGGGGACTCTGGCATTTCGGGGCTAATTTTGCATAACCCTTTGGCAACAGCATTTCAGTTAGGGCCGGTTATCTGAGCAGGAAGTGTTTGCTTGCCGTGAGAAAGCCATGTGTTCAAAAATCAGAGCAGACTCATTAAAAAGTACTCCCTCTCTTTCAGATAAGCCAAAATGGATAAAGAGCAGCGGAAACTGCAGCAAAATGGCAACGAACCTAGGATCGTTTCGGGATTGAATCATCCTCTGAAGACTCCTCCACCTGGAGAACAAACGAGGGCAGTGCGACGACAGTTGGTGGCCGTCATCCTGGCCAATGTGGGTGTCATCTCAACGGGATTGACCTTGGCTCTGCCCACTGCTACTTTGCACCAACTCAAGAGCACCACGGAACCCGTGCACCTTAATGATTCCCAGGCAACCTGGTTCGCCTCGGTCAACGCTCTATCAGCTCCTCTGGGTGGACTACTCTCGGGTTGCCTGCTCGACAGGATCGGCAGGAAGAGGTCCTTGATCCTGCTCAATGTGATCACTGTTCTGGCCTGGATTCTCCTAGCCACGCCAAGTCAAAGCGACTCAAACCACTTCTTTTGGCAGCTCATCGTCGCGAGATTTATTCTGGGTGAGTTTTATTACCTTTCCATTTGAATGGTAGTAATATATTTAATTATTACACTATTATTATAATTATATCATTATTTTCCTAGGTATTGGAATGGGTTTGGCCAGCGCTCCTCCAGGAGTTTATGCAGCCGAGATCAGTGTGCCTAAGACGCGGGGCAGCCTCATTCTGGGCACCTCCATTTCGGTGGCCGGTGGCATAACGATTCTCTACGCGATCGGCTACTTCATTCGCGATGACTTCCGGCTGATTTCCTTGATCTGCTGTGGCTACCAGCTGGTCGCCTTGCTCTGTGTTCTGCCACTCCCAGAAAGCCATTGCTGGTTGCTATCCAAAAAGCGAGTCACGGAGGCCAAGAGATCTCTCAACTACTTTCGCGGATTCGATAAGTCGGGTAAATTTCCAAAATGATTTCATAAAACCTAAAGTAACCTTCTTTAAAGGTGGAAAGAAAGGAATATCTAGATCTTTATAATAGTTCCATAACAAATGTGCCATTTGTTTATGGCTGCAAACAAATCAAAGTCAAGTGGCAATCAAGTTATGATAACCTATTTGATGACTTTGCCACAGGCTTATCTTTTCGCATTTAAAATTGAAAACGCTCGAGTGCGAATGGATCGAATGACAGATTTAGATTGATTATTCCGATTAAACATGTATATAGACTGATGATACCACTGTTTTTCCTACAGATGAAATCACACATCCCCAAGTGCTGGAGGAGTTCCAACTGCTGCACAAATCGCTGCAACAACGCGATGCCGAGGTGAAGGAGTCTCTCCTTTGGAGTCTCAAGCATCCGGAGGTGCGGAAGCCACTGGGCATCCTGATGACCCTGTTCGCCTTCCAGCAGCTGACCGGCATCTTCGTGGTCATCGTGTTCGCAGTTCAGATCTCCGAGGAGGCTGGCATCAAAGTGGATCCCTTCGTGTGCGCCGTGCTGATTGGTTTGGCCCGCCTGGTTACCACTTGTCCCATGGGCTACATCCTGGAGCTCTGGGGTCGGCGGAGGGCGGGAATGATCTCCGCAACGGGCATGGCCATCTGCATGTTCCTCTTGGCCGGACAGAGCCAAGTGGAGTTCCTGAGAACGGTTCCCTATCTTCCAGTGGTGGCCATCGTGGGCTTCATTGTGCTGAGCACCTTGGGTCTCTACACCCTGCCCTTCTTCATGATCTCCGAGCTGTTCCCCCAAAGGGTTAGGGGTCCTGCCTCGGGAGTCACGGTTGCCGTGGGCATGTTCATCTCCTTCCTGGTCCTGAAAACCTATCCCGGTGTGAAGAACTCCATTGGACTGGCGAACTGCTTCATCTTCTTCGGGGTAATGGCTTTGCTGGCCCTGCTCTTCATTTACTGGGCTCTTCCGGAGACAAGACGACGCACTCTCCTGGAGATCGAGGAGCAGTTCCGAACGGGGAAGAGCAGTAGACCCCGAAACCCAGTCGATGTGGAAATGAAGGAGGTGTTCGTACGCAAGCCGGAGGAGTAATCTAATTTGATATAGAGTTACCTTAGGTAGAACATAGAGTGCCTAGTACTGTGATAGATAATAACTACGGAAATAAAACAAGGTTGACAAAAGATAACAAAACTTCTTTTAGGAATTCATTATATGTATCATATATGTTTACTTGCACTGCCAATCTAATTGAAATAGAAAGTAACTGAAAATCAAGTTTATAATGTTGACCTGTTGTACAATTATCTACATTTAAGTACTTGAGGAATAGTTAGACTCTCTTTTAAGGTAAAATAAATCCAAAACAAATTCACAGTATATAAATTTAACAATTTACTAGTAAAGAGTTTCGTTACCAGACTTTGTTTACTTTGAGCAAGCGAAGGGGATTCAAGTAGATTAATTCACTCACTGATAAGAGTCTGGTAAATTCCTACCTGCTCGGAAACACGTTCCTACTTGGGCACCCTGATATTCCCACGCACCTGCTCTCTGGTGAGGCAGTGATATAAATTAGTGGCACGCACACCTATTTCACCTCGATCTAACCCCTCAATCATTCACGGAACTCAATCAGAATGTGGCTCCTCAAACGCTCTCTTTGAAAGTCAAGTTCGTGGCCAACGTCATTCGTTTCACGATCGAGGAGAACGAGAATGAATATGCCTATTAAAGTGAGACTGCAGGGAATAACACTCAGCCTAAGCGACACTAATTTGCATATTGAAACTATGCAGTAAGCAAACTAATGTAGGTGTGCCGATTTACACAGAACTAATGTAATATTTATTAGTTTATCTGTAGGGACTGAGCATTACATAAGTGTTTCTATATTTTCTTACTGCAAGCAAGCGAAATCCAAAAAAATATCTTACATAATAGCTTAACCGTTATTACGAATATAAACAGTTTTCATTTAACTAAGTAGAAATGTAACTAAACAGTTTTTACAGAATACCTAATATGAAAATATAAGAACAATTTAGACACGTTTTCTTCAAGTATACATTGATCTTTCTTTGAAAGCTGGTTAACATTATTAAAGATTTTTGCAACTTGTAAAGACTAAAACTCAAGTCTTTCGAAGTGTGTGGTCGAATTAAAATACTTTGTTCAATATTCATTGACTGGCATTCAATGGAAGCGTAGCAGCCGGCAATTAGGTGCAGAGCTGCTTTACGGTAATGTTAATGGTAATGGTAATGTCGATAATGTCCGACCGCTGGCGAACAGCTTGTTTCAAGCCCGGGTCGAAAACGTGGCCCCACTCTTTGGCCGCGGGCTTTAAAAAATGAAGGAAAAATCTGTTCTGCTTTGGTCGTTAACGAGCAGCAGTTTCGGCAGATTCTGCAAGATGCAAGATGCGTATGCGTGTGCCTCAAAAGCCTCAAAACTTCCTGCGAGGAACGCGTTAAAAGCGCATTCAGCAATACCTCCACTTACCCCTCATTCGATTCACATAGCAGCACTTAGAGAAAAAGAGTGTCAGATGATAAATAAGTGCAATGGTAAAGTAATAAATACTGGTAATAGAAATTATGACTACTTGTAAAGATTTTGTAGACTGATGATATATTTATAAAAAAAAGAGATCAATCAACACTCAATATTTTGTAGTTGGTTTAAATAATCTTCAGACTATAAAATGTTGGTGAATAATAAACCAATTCATTTCTAAATACTCATTGTTTTAAATATTTTATAGTAGGATTACAAACTTTTTAGTTTTTCTTTGTGCATCAGGTGGTTAGCTCGAGGCGTCAAGGCGTACGTTTATGTAATTATAATAAGTTTTCAATTTGATGGCTTAATAATGTGGTGGGCAGCGGGCCCCAGTTGGGCAGCTCCCTCTCCATTTGGAGCACCTTCGGGGATCGGGGATCGGGGATTGGGGAGCTCCTGGTCCAGATCGAGTTGCGTCCGCCGCCAGTCGGAGCTGCCCCGTCATTAGGCGACAAGCGTTTAGGCCAACTCAGAAGCGGAGACGCGGAGCAGCCGAAAAACGGACAAATTGTTTCGGGGCGATTAAGTCAACAAGACGGCGCTAACATCATGAACATCATGAACATCGAACATTCAACATCGAACATCGAAGGTTGAATGAACTGATGCTGGACGGGATAATGCCGAAAATTGATGAGCCGCAAATGTGCGAACATTAAAGTTTCCGCTGGCGATGCGCGCACTGCATCCTTCTCCAGCAGATTCCCTTCCCCAACTCCTCTTCCTTTTTTCTGCTCCTGGTAATAGTAATCCGAGCCAACACCTGCCGTGAATTTCGCACTTGGATGCATCAATTACCGCAGATCCGATGGAGATGTCAACAGCCGCAGAAGGACAGTTAAATGGCACGTAACGATTGCTTTGCCAACAAGAAAACCAAACAATCGATGGGGTAATATTCTATGAACAAGCTGACATATGGATCGTTGTTAAACAATAGCAATCTGTGCGGTTTTTCGGGTCTTCATGGATGATTCAATGGGAGTGGGGGTAACTACTGTCTATTCAACGATGTGTAAACCGCATCGGGGTGGGATGATCATCCTCATCCTTGACGATCATCCCATTGCTATATGCTATCCCCTCTCCGGTTTTCGGATCTGTCATCATTATCCTCACAGACTCAGCACGACGCGTGTTCGGGGTGCTGACTTTACCTCACTTCGCTTTGTTTTGATTCGAATTTGATTATGTTTATATGGCAATAAATTAGAAAATCAACACCACAACTATGACTATAACCGCTTTGCAGCGCTTTGTTCGCGCTGACAATGCATCGAGTCCATTAAACGGGTAATTTATGATCTGCTCCTTTAGGGTCCTGGGTGGTTCCCTCGATCTACCCCTTACAATAAAGTTAACCAACATACCGACCAACCTACCTTACTTACAACCTCCCCCGCGTAAATGACATTGTTAAAACGCCCCAAGTGCAGGCCGCAATTTGTTGCCGCACTTAATGTAGTTATAATTTTTAACAGCGCGCACTTTATCCAGGATCCAAATGCGAGCATTAGGGTTTAACCCTTCTCCCGATCGCCGGAGCTGATTGCACACCTCAAGGATCCAGCTCGTCGGCAATTACAAGTGCGCCAAAAGGGGATCGAGGGTTCGATTTGGGCCTCAATGCAGCTGCAACTTGGTAAGCAAGACCTAAGGAACTTACCCCAAAGTTAGCAGACTCTAAAATACCTGGCAATCTTTCGACAGTTTCTGGGGGAATATTTGCTTTTAAGAGCTATGAGCTTAGAGGTAATCCCTCTATTAAGAATACAAATAATATTTATACCTCTTTATGGGTGAAAGCTTTTCTTCCGCTATAGAAAATTAAACGAATGTTTTACAAGCGAACATTAAATTATTATTTGTGTGGATGGAAGCGCTGAAGTTTGGCAATCAGTATTCTGTTAGTTACAATAAAAACCGGTCAGTGTTATGTAAATGCATTGAAACCATAAAAAATTGATTACTAGATGGGGATCACATCCCTCGAGAAACATAATATACCCCTTTGAGCATCCGTTACCTGGTATAAAATATGTACACACTCCTCAAAAAGCGATCAACGCACATCGATCAGCGAGGCGGAGGCAAAAACCAGAAGTGATTTTCGGCAGCATTACAAATTCGGCACTTGCTGGGAGGAAAAAGACCCTTTTTGAGCAGAACCTGTGTTTACCTTCGATCCGATAATCGCAGTGGCAGCAGGACCAAAAGCAAAAGAACCCGGGAGGTTTGGCCGCACTTTATAAAAGTGTCTGCAAAGGTGTGCAGCCTGCCACATTAGCGGCATCGATTCGGGCCTGTCCGCACACCTCGAGAATTGGCTGAGATGCCTGAGATGGGATGTGATCTCACCTAGACAACAAGACAACTGCCCAGATGCACTGGCAGAAAAATCAGCATAAAATATAGTGAACTTATCCATGATAATTTACAATAATATCATTAGAAACAGTTTAAGGGAAATTTTAAGATTTCTTTCAGAGCCCAGAACTATTATTAAGTTTATATATTAGAACACCTACTTAATCTTCGAATATCTATATCAAATATATACTTTTTTATCTGTGTAGCTATAGCCTGCCCCAACTCCAAAACAAATCGAAGAGGAGCGATGAGATGAATTCAGGAATGCCGCAAGATTTACGAACGAATGGGCGGTGGGAGTTTCCACCTCAACTGCTGCCCGTTGTAAGTACTTTGGCGAGACTTTAATTTTTCAATTAGTCGAGCTACCGTATTTGACTTTTGCTCCTCAAACCAACCAACCAACAAGCCAGTAAACCAGCCAGTCGGCCAGTCAGCCAAGTCAGCCAGATAGCAAGACGACCATCGCCAAAGGGGCCAACGAACTGGATGATCATTCCTGGGCTTTGCTTTTGGTTGCGGGATTGGAATTGGGATTGCGAGTGGATCTCACAGCCTGGGATTGGGACTGGGTAATGGGTAATGGGGACTGCGACTGCGACTGGGACTGCAGATCGTAAAAATATTGCATTTAGCAGGCAGAGCGGCGGACGCAAACGCAAACGCTTTCCGCGTTTTACGATTACGATGCAGATGCAGCAGAAGTAGCAGCAGCAGCGGATTCGAAGTGCCAAAGTTTTATGGTTACTTTAACACTTTTGCTGGCCGGGTACTTGGGATATGGGAACTGGCACTGAGGAACCCACCAACCTACCAACAGAGGAGGAAGCTCGGTGGCCTAGACAAGCGTATAATTGATTTGGATTCTATGATATGTGCTGGCCGATTTCCAGAGGCGTTGCGAGCCATAAAAACCATAATTACAGTCACACACAAGTGGCAGAGGTGAGATCAAGGAGTTGCTGGCCAGCCAGGATTGGTTTCGCCTCAGCGATCTGTGATGCTTATTACTTTAAAAATTATATATATTTATAGATGTATTATAAAATAATATATTATTATAACCTAGCTAGCTACTCTCATTGCTATTGAAACCTCTTAAACCAAACAATTGTTTAATAACTTTTATCTTACATCTTAAAATCTAGATATTAGAGTTCCTTGACTTCAAGGAAAGCTTCCAGTTCAATAATTCTTCAAAAGCTAACTCAATTAACTGTAAATTGGGGCACCCTGTTCCCTTATCGATTATAGTGGCCAATCTATAATCTGTTTGTCCTTTGGCACATCCTATCATTAGCCTGTCAGCGGTTCGAGCTTCGCTGTTTGCCTTTGTCTCCTTCGTGTTTATTGTGTTTGATCAAATAATTTCTGTTTTTATGGCACCATAAATGTCCTGTTCGCCGGCGGAGTCCTTAAAGTGCCACGTCTCATCTTGTTTTTTCAATTTGGCCATAATTATGTCAGACATTTAATTTATCGCAAACGAAGGAAGCAAAGGACTCTTCTTGCACGCAAACTTTCTGGGACAGGACTCACCCTTGAGTGGCTTTCTTCTTTTTTCCAGGGAGACGAGCACTCTCTCCTCTCCTTTTTTCCGGGCGGCCATTTTGGGAGTGTGTCAGGGTTCAGTGGAGCGCACAGGACTCGCAGGACCCGCAGGAGCCGTCTCTTAATGTGAGAAAATGTTACAATTCCGTCGCCGCCAGCAAAGTCCTGTCAGAGGTCCTCCCGTAATTGCTCATTTTGCTTATCGGCCCGCCCAATCCGAGGCCTCTGCAGGTGTGGAATGTCCTGCTCCGCACAAAGGATCAATAAAACCCTGCAAACTCTATAAAAATTTCGATTTGTGGAAATTGCGTTTTTATTAATTGGCCCCGACATCATGTCAGTCGAGTTATTTGAGTGTCCTAGTTAGATATTTTTATGGCACTCGAAAATCGCGTGCCCTTTGTCCACCTACAAGTCCTTTTAAAAGGGAGGAGGAGGAACGAATAGTTGTGCAACTCCTGGAAAAGGTACACGATCCTTAGATCATTTTATCTTATCGTCGTCGTTTGTCGGCAACTGTTTACGAAATTGCCCAATTGTTCTGGCCGTTTTCGAGCCACGCGCGTTCCTAAAGCAAGGTGCAACAGGATCGCAATCGAGAATTGAGAGTCGAGAATCCTGATGAAGAAGGAGGCGAGGCTGCAATGCAACCTGCAACCTGGCTGCCTGACTGCATCCATCATCGCGTGGCAGCAATGCTCATGATTTGAGGCACATGCGTAACCTGCGCCAATTTGGCGACCCACACACAGCACACACTCGAAATCGCCTTTGTCCTTAATATATTTTCCTCCTTTTTGTCCCTTTTTTTTTCCTCGGACAATTTTCGGGACTTGGCTTGCATCTGCTGATTGCAAGGAACGGGGGCCCCGAAGCAAAACCCTCAATTAGGCCGCCCCTGCAATTAGAAAATATATTCCATACCAGGCTCCTCTTTTTTTTAACGGAGGCTTGCAAAAAACAAAAAATATAAGCCAGCGGTAGATAATTTGCTGCGGGTTTTTATTTTTTTGGGGCAACTAATTTGTGATTAGATGGGCGCCCACGCCAAAAAGAGTCGCTGTTTTTGCTCGATTCCCAGGCGCATTCCTGCGGACACCGCTCATTAATGACCATGAAATCTAGACTCTGCCCCGGGTTATTTCCGCAGACTGACCTCCAGGCACGAGCCGCCCAAAAAGAGGAGCTCCCCTAAATCGGGAGCAGCTTCTGTTTGCTGCGTTTTTTTACTGGGGCAGTCGCCTAATGAGTTGTGGCACGCATCCTGGAATGCATTGCCTCTGGCTTACTGAGTTTGTTATAATTTGATTAGCAAAAAGTTGATGTGGGTGTCTATCGTCTGCCCATCCCCCTTCTCCCTTTCAAGAACCCAAATCACAAACTCCGATCCGAGGTGGATTCCATTTCAATTACAATATAAGCGAGTGTAAGTTCTGCGATTGCGATCGCATTTTGGGCGCGTGGTAAGCCAAGTCAATCGGAAGAAGTTAAGCCGATTGCACCGCCCCTTTTCATTACGGCTCGTTCTTTGTGCCGCCGGAGGTGCACCACCCCACCCCGGACACCCGCCTCATAAAACCGGAGCAAGCCCACTTCCGTTGCTCATTTGAGTGCCCTTTTTTGGGAAGGGTATGTTGAAAAGGTCATTGGGTTTGCAGCTCACAAAGCAAAAGGCGAGAAAGAAATGTAACTAAAATTTGAGTATCATTTTTTATAAAATTTGAGAATATAAAGAGATTAAATTTAATGATGAGCAGCGAAAATAAATACTTTTGTCACACTAATTATTTAACTAATTTAATTCTTTAAACTTGAAAAGATTTTATTTCAAATATTTAATTGTGTTAATCTGTTATTAAAAGTTCATTGAAACAGTTTGATCAACATCAGATCGCCATGGGAAGTTCTATTTTATGGTAAGCTTATACTTTTTCAATTAAATAAATGAATGTTTCCAAAAGGGTATTCCCAATTCGATACTTTCCCCTTTTTTTTTTTTCACTGCCCTGCTAAACGCACTTCCCACACAGATTTGTGTGTGTGCGCCTTAATTGGGGCGTATTTGGCCTTTTTGGGCTCGGGTTTGGGCAGGGGTTTGGGTAATTGGTGCCACTTGAAGGGCTTTCGGTCGCATAATCGCCTTGTCAGATAGAGCAAGACACACGTTGAAGGACCTTCGCAGAGGGTGGGCGTTGAACAAGCTCGCTGGGCGTTGGGCGTGGCGAGATGGGTGGGCCAAAGCACCGAAGGACCAAAGGACTCTATACCAAAAGAGACAGCGAAGAGGTGAGTGTGTGTGTGTTTGTGTGTGTGTGTTGATGCCACCACGCACCGTTGACTCGCTTGATCTTATTATGCCGCGCTTGGCTGCCTGGGAAAAGTCAGAGGCAGCTGGCAAATGGCAAATGGCAAATGGCTGATGGTTACTGGTTACTGAATACTGAATACTGGTAACTGGTAGCTGGCTGCCGGTTACCCGGCCTTTGTGACAGTTTTATCTCTGGCCAGCAGAAGTTTGAGCCAAGCCTCCGCCTCCTCCTTCGCCATTTCATCTCATCCTCTTCCCTTTTGGGCCATGGAAAATCCTCGCTGAATGGGCCTAAGAAATTTGCATGTTTTCGCACAGGTTTTTGTGGTTTTTGGTGGCAAGTGGATTTGCCTGCGCCACGCGGCTACAAAAAGGGTTAGCTTTAGTCTTTAGCCTTGAAAGAGGAGTTCCTTTACCCAGTAAGTTGCATGGATTTTTTAGTCATGGAAACTAATTTCCCTTTGAAGTGTACTGCCTTTCCAATGGATCAATATTTCCACTCCCCCGCCGCTTTTCCCTTCAGAAATCACAAACAATGTGACAGTTTTATCTTTCAGCGCCAGTCGCCGTCGCAGTGGAAATTCATTTTCAGTTTCGATTGTGAATGCCGAGCGACAATTGTCGAATTCAATTAACGCCTGCGGCACCACCGAGCGTTACTTAACGCCACCGCCCAAACCACCCAAGCCACCCAAAGCAACCAACCACCCACCAAGCAAAACCACCTCCTTTTCTCCACTCTCGAATCTCCTGGGAGTTTGTTCAGTGGGCGGGCAAGGACGAACCGTAGCTGTGGCTGTTTCGCCAGGGTAACGGCTATGCAGTGTCACAATGCGGATGTGGATGGATCCGTGGAGTGGGAATGCTTTCGCTGCTCTGTCCATTAGATTGCAGGAGGAGTGCTTCAGGGGAAGGGGAAGGGGAAGGGGAAGGAGGAAGGGGCAGATGGAGAGCGTGAGCGTTTGCGTGCTGCGTTGCCTCCGCCGATTGGCCGGAACGCGGCTGCAACGGCAACGGCAAAAAGCAACGGCAACGGCTGCGGAAACCGCTACGGATGAGGCTACGCTCTGCCGCAACGCTCTCTGCCCGAAACTCATCGACCATCGACTACCCCTAAAGCGTTTTTCCAAGCGGAGGCGGGCTGCACGGACGTCATGCATACGCACTGTGGGACAAAAGCGTAAAGGAAGGATCTTAATTGAATTTTATATTATATTATCCCGCAATAATAACTGATAAGATAGTACAGAGCATCCAATCTTGTCTAACCAGGAAGTTTCTGAAAACAAATTTCATAACTAAATTATTAATCTGCATTTTGTGTATATTAATGTGTTTAATTTATAAGAGATTTCTGAGGAAAAAGACGTCATAGCTTCTGTGAGTTATAATTAGATGACTGGGAATTTACCAATACATACTAGATAACCTTAAACTTAAACTTTAATGTTAGGTGTATGTATGTATTATCTATTTTAGCGAAGTAACGAAAAAACGGTAAGCCATACAAAATAACCTTTTTTTTCATAGATGCATTAACGTTTTGCAAGCATTTAATAACCGGTCAACCGTGGACCTGACCCACTAACCTCTGCGAACCACTGTGCCCGTGTCGCTTTCGCTCCCAGAGGACGTGTCACCTGGCCCCCTCTCTTCGCTTCCCCTCTCCACTCCTTCGCACTCCAGCCAATGGCAGTTGAGCAACCGAACAGCGGGCAACGCATGCGCAGTGAAGCGGCCCTCCGATTGGTCGACTTGGATTGGCGGTGGGCCAAATGGGGCTGGAACTGCGTCGAACGCCGCAGCCGTGAAAAACCGGTTAGACCAGAAAAACGGTGTATCGGCGAGTCCGTGAACGAGTGTGTCGATGTGTGCGGAGCGGCTTTCGCATGTGTGTGAGTGAGCGGCGGGTTGGCGGTGTCGCTTTGGACCGCTCTGCCCGACGGCGCCTCAGTTGAATTCGTTGGCTGATGGACCGCGGGCGAGGCACGAAGCCAACTCCACTACCACTGCCACTACCATTGCCACTTCCACACGAGAATTACCTGCCACTTCCACCAAATTTATCGTATCGATGCGCCGGCCCGCGATTCGCGTGCAGTTAGTCGAATTTTTGACGGTCGAGTGACAAGGTGCGTCGCGTCGCAAACTCCCAACAAATAACTCCCTAAAAAACATAATATAAAAAAAGTACCGAAGAAGATACTTTAGCCGTCGCGCCTCTGAACTGAATAATCAATCGTATCCGCGGGATAAGCCCACTGTGCGAAAAGTGTTGTGCCCAAGTGCTCAAAGGATCGGATCCAGTTGTTGCCAATCTTGTGGATAGTCGGCGCTCACTGGCCGAATCCAGTGCCTAAAGATTGAGGTGAGAACCCTTTTGGATCCCAGATTCAAAGAAGCTTTTATCCGTGAGATTTATTAAGTCTCCTCGTGTGAAATCTCAAATTGGCTGCAAGAACTAGTGACATTTTATTTTAAAAACAACAAGGGAAACAAAACAACGGAATATTAAAAGATAGATAGATTTTTTATATACATAGTAATCCTATTTCTAAAGACATATCTGGTCTTACAACATATCAAATAACAAATATTAACTATCTCGTCTTTAAAAGAGAAAAAATTAGCAATTTAAATTGCTTACATTTTATAAATCAAATGAATTCGAACTAATGCCTCTTCAGAAACTTCATACATTTAAATGACTGATTTTTAACCCAACGCTTTGTTAAATCATTGCAAAATGCCTTTAGCCTATATCTACTCCGATTTTCCGGCAGATGTGTTATCTATTTCAAGACTAGATAAGCTAAAATGCTAAATTGCACTCGCTGCACTTGAACTTGGCCAAACGACACACACTTTGGCTTTTGGGTGCAGAATATTTCAATCAGCATTATCCACCGAAACCGCTGTATGGTTTCAACACTTGACAAAAGCCAACGACGATGACTTATCGGCGACTTAATTAAGACCTCGCCGCATCGATCGACCGACCTGCCCATAATGACCACCATAAACGATCGTAATCAATTTGTTTGCGCATAATTTGCTTTCTCAACAACTAAATCATTAAATCGAGTCGCTGCCGAGCAGGTTGCGGCATTTTCTGAAAGGCTTTAATAACGATATTTGCTTATCGTGTTCGATACATCGGTCTCAGGTCTAAAGTCCCCTCCCCCTCCCCATTCCCCTTCCCCTACTCCACCCCTTTATTTTACCATATAGCCGATCGGTCGGCTTATTTCTTAATGAACGACGATCTGATCTAACGGATCGGAACGGAACGAGGCGATCTCCATTCAAGCGGCGGCGTTAGTTTCGGCCCAGATGAGTTCGACCAATATTCATATTGTGAATGGAGTGAATGAAGATGCCACCGGATGGCCCCTCGAATTTGCAATGCAAAACTTCGGCCAATTGAACTTCCGCCGGAGCGAGTTATAAGTCACAATAAATCGAATCGATCGAATCGATCGTTTTGCAGATCGGCAGTGTTATTTTAGTTTTCCCACGAGTCTGCGGCGAGCGACAAAAGTCAAAAATCGTATGCTAATTAATTCTTTGTCATGCCGTCTTTTCTGGCTGCCATTATGGCTCATTGATTTTTTTTTTTTTTGGGAGCTTTCTAAGCCAACGAGCCGCCGGACAACTTACTTAAGCGTGGTCCAGAAAGACCAAGGCAGCCTAATCATATTCAAATGGTGAAGCGTACGTTTTATTATAATTTTTTTATTTTAATTAGCGGCTGTTAATGCCCCGGTTCGATCTGGCCGATCGTTTCGTCCGGCAATCGATCGCCATATATCCATCCGCGGGGGGTAACCAAAAACAAAAAACCCAAGAAAAAATAAAGGGGAGAGGGTCCACGATCCGCTTTTAAATCCAAAACAGAAGCTCGGCCAACCTGTCGGTTCCACTTTCGGTAATCGCACGAATTTAAATTATTGTATGTTTAACTAATTTCTATCGGTCTTTATGTCTGTTCCGCTTGACATGTGCACCGAGCTAATTGAGACTTACGAGTGGAACTCGGAGGAGAAATCGGTAGCAGTTGAGGGAGATATATACATATTGTCTGCCCCAAAAAACCTGAAAGCCCGAGATTAGCCACAACTCTATATATAACTCGCAATTAAGCCCAAAGATCATTTTAAAAATAAAACTTGTTGACGCTCTGGAAAAAGCTTTGCTTCACGTTTACATTTTATAAGTTTCGGTTTAGGGTTTAGGGGAATTTTTTACACTTCGGTTTAAGTACCACATTTTGGAGATTTTTTTTATCAATTTAAACTGGAAAATAACGAGATTTTTTAAAATGGCTTTAATCTTATATACTATATGCTGTAGAATTCATGTGTTATTATATGTAATCCTTAATTTTTGAGGAATGGATAAAACCTATGAAGTTCCAAAACCAGCTCGATCCCAGCTAATTTCTAGGGGTTAACTCTTGGCCGGAACCATTTAGTTGTGACTGCTCACGGGTTTGGATTGGGCCAAAAGCAATCCAGCGAAATGGTCGAGCAGCACGCCAGCGGGGAAATTAACCCTTTCATTGCGGCCAAATTGAATTCGAGCGGAATGTCTATTTCACTTTCGACAAAGCCGATGGAATGGAATCCTTATCGCACTCTCGGCCAAAACTTGGCCCCGGGCCAACTGCGAACTTTATGGCCTTAACGGCCAGCACGAGTTTCCCGTTCGCGGTGAGTGGTAACCCGAAAAAAAAAAAAAAAAAAAAAACCGAGACTGAAACTCAGACTCAGACTAAAACTGAAGAGAGCCGAAAAAAACCTAATGAACAACTTAATTTCAAGTTCTTTTCCCGTTCTGTTCGGTTTTTTTTTTTTTGTCGAAGGGGGAGTGTGTGGTGCGTGCGGTGGTTCGGTGGCTTAACACGCGCATTTCGGTGGTTTTACGAGCTGAAAAGTGGGGAAAAGGACTCCGGGCTCGGCAATTAAATCTAATGTGAATTCCATAATAACATGGCCATGACAAAGTGTGGACCCTCGACGGCCACTGGCAGTTACAGTTTTTGATTTATACGGTTCTTCAGCGCGTTTTCATGCCTCCTGACAACCCAGCGACAGGCCCAAATCCTGCCAAAACCAAAAACCAAAAAAAACAAGGCTAAAAAGGGAGTTGTTAATAGGGAAAACAGGAAGCGGAAACCACCGGCGGCCAGTCGGTGGTGCTGAAAGCCCATTTGCATATCTCTCGGCACTCGGTTGCATATTTAACGAAATGAGCAATTGGCCAAAATTCATTTTAATTGTTGGTCCTGGCATTTGCATACTTCATATACTTCATATACCCTATACTCTATAGTTAGGTTTCTTCGGAGAGTTGGGTTTCTCTGGCCGAAATGGTTGGGGTGGGGAAACCTTTTCGATAATGGGCCAGCAGTTCACGCTGCGCCGGGAATGTGCCTGATAAGCAGCTAATTTGAGATACTCCCTGGTAACTGCTCACTGGCAACTGGCAACTGCTAACTGGTCAGTGGTAACTGGTCACTGGACATGGCCATTGAGCACATAAACCACTGCACATTAAACTCTCGCAGCCGCGTAGTTTTATAAAATAATTAAGTTTTATGTATTTTCCTTACTAGATTTTCACTGCTGAGCTCGGTTCGGTTCGCTTTTGGGTTTTGGATTTTGGATCGGATCGGATCGGTTCTGGACGGGCCTGGAGACGCCGTCCGAATTCGTGGAAGCCGTAAAAAGTCATCGGGGAGTGGGCCGCCAGCCATCCAGTCACCCAGCCATCCAGCATCAGTTCGAGCATCAGAATCAGCCGTTGGGAGAGTCTCAAAAGCGAGCATCCTAATAGCCCGGCGACCACGACGACATCCATCAAATCGTTTTTATGACGTTCTTGCTTGAAATTTGATTAAAATTCAGCGATTAACTAAGCAGTCGCGGCAGTCGGCAGCAACGGGACGAAAGACAAACTACAAAAAACAAAATACAAAAAACGAGAGAAACAAACAAGCAACAAGCAACAGCAAATAAACCAAACCAAAATACTTTACGGAGGCTAAAAGACAGCGAGCGACTACCGATCGAATCGGAATAGGAATCGGATCGTATCGCATCGAATTGAATCACTTTCGGACTGGATTGGATTGGTTTGGCTTGGATTGAATTGAATTGTTGATCACATTTCAGCCATGCCGCATACAGGTGAGTCCCGCTAATGAACTCTGGGGGGAAATTAAACGAAAGCGCCAGATGCGATCACTGCATTCCCCATCCCTATCCCCTCCCCCATTTCCCTCTCCACTTTTCTACCCAAGATTTCCTATTCAGCCACGGTTATTACTGGCGCACTTTTGCCGCCTGCGTTTACGATCGCCAGTTGGCCGGGAAAAGTCGGAGAGGCGGGAAGAGATTAGCCAAGTCAATAGGGCGGCTATTTTGCCAAACTACGGCTATTTGGCCCAGACGCGTGTGCAAATTGTAAATCTTCCCGGTTTTGTTTGTTCGCTTTACTGAGAAGCTTAGGAGCTTAGGTTTATTGCCTTAAAAGTTTAGTATTTGCTTGGTAAATCTTTACTCTGAAAGTAAAAATAATTAAACTGAAACTAGAGATTTTGAGTACTGTACGGATAGGTAAAAAACATATGGAAATCATTTTCTTGGAGCTATGAATATTTAAACGTACATATGTTAATCCTGAAGGAGGAGGTTAATGAAGGAGGAAACAGATTTTAAGAATTCAGCTCCAGGATCTATATATTTCTCCTTAACTTTATTAGCTTAACTCTGGCCAAAGTTTTCGATTAAAAAATGTACTAAGTTTTAAATATATATTTATTTTACCTATCATATTTCTAGGACAAGCTGGTGTCAACCAACTGGGAGGAGTGTTTGTGAATGGACGTCCTTTGCCGGATTGTGTACGTCGGCGAATCGTGGATTTGGCTTTATGCGGAGTGCGGCCCTGTGATATATCCCGCCAGCTCTTGGTTTCCCATGGTAAGTCCACTAAAGTCTTCAGACTCAACTTGTAATTGTAACCTCATCTTTGGTTATCCTCCGACAGGCTGCGTATCCAAAATCCTGACGCGCTTCTACGAAACGGGATCCATTCGACCTGGTTCCATTGGCGGCAGCAAGACCAAGGTAAGTGGGCTCCTAAAAGGCACTCCCAAATGGGATGGGGGATGGTAACCAGATCTGGGGGACGGGAAAACCACATGTGGTCCGCTGTGGTGCATGAAATCAACAAACGATTATATAAAAATCAAACGCACAGCAGTAAATCCATAAAGTATCACAGATACACGGAAACAGATAGTCCAGATAAGCATTGTAACCGGCAGCTAGTTTACATGTTCGCCCACTTCGATGACAGCTTTTATGGTCGTGTGGGAGTGGCAGGTGGGCGGTGGGAGGAGAAAGGAGTAGGAGGTGGGATATAGGAGGTGGAATACAGGAGGAGGTTGAAGGGGGAGGGAGACGTGGGCGTTCGAGTGGAGAGACCGCAGCAAATCAATCTCGCCTGGCCGAGGATGATAAACTGGGAAGTGGGCTACCAACCTGGCTGGCTGGCTGGCATCGGAATCGGGATCACCTGTGCGGTTCGCACGCCCAATCAAGTGTGGCTGCTACCGTTTAAGCCTCTGCTCGCTTCACGGCCCCAAAAAGGTGACGACAATGCCACGATTGCGAAGGGTTGTGCAATCAGCCACGCGATAACACCGAATCACGACCCAAACACACCATAGTTAACGCACAGGAACAGTTACTCCACTCAGAGATATATATTTTAAACTGGGTTAATTATTAGGATTTTAGCGCATATTAACTATAGGAATTATAATACAGGCATTAGTTGTTTTAAGTCTCTTTGAATTTAAAATCAAAATATATTAGTATGTACCTATATGATACAAATTGCTATTAGGATCATTTTTTACAAAAACGAAAACAATTTCGCATAATTTGGTTAGGAGCCGACTTCTATGTTAAACTGGAGACATTCAAAATTATTACAAATTAATTAACATAAATTTATTTAAATTACCCTAAAAGTTTCATAGTGTTTTTCATTCATTTTTCTTCTTCAGGGATATATTTTTATTTTTCGACCCTCGAAAGCACCCTTTCCACTTCGATTCCCCCCTCGACTATTCAAACAATTGCTCAGGTGCGATGTTTGCCGACGGAACAGAACGCCTAATTAACGGTAGTTGCAACGCCCACCAAGTGCACCGTGTACCCGGTAGCTGCCCACCCCACCGATTACCCACCCGCTTACATGGTGATTCAATAAGCGCTCTGCACTCGCTCGAACAAAACGCGCATTTAACACCTACGCTGGGTCAATAAAGAACTTGCCCCCGCCCACTTTTGCCCCCCCTACCACAATATATACATATATATTGGGTAAAAAGGGGGAAAGGGAGGGGGAAAGAGGGGAAGGAGGGGCAAGGACAACGGTTACAAAGAGTGAGCGCGCGTGTAGATTTCCGATAAGATCTGGCATGCAAGCTTACTGCTCTGACCCCTCGAATCCCCCTGCCCCTTCCGCCCATGGCTATGTCCATTCCCATCGATAAACCCCCTTAAGCGTATTTATGAATTTTTAATGAATTGCCGCGTCACACGTGAAATTTGGGCGCCAGCCTGAAAAGTAGGAAGGTCCTTAGAAATTCTCGGACAAATTAACATATGCAAAAGCAGGACTATACATACATACATGCTATACATACACATTACACCTTTGTGGCTCCGATGCAAATCTCCGCGAGAACATGACAGCTCAAAAGGGGGCGTGGCTTTACATTTTTGCAATTGTTGCAAGTGCGCTTTGGTTTAGTTTGCTGCACAATTGAATTTCACGGTAATTAATCGTGGGTCAACTAAAAGGGGAAACCAGAGACACCTGACCATATGAGGGTTAAATGTAGGCAGCTAAGGGTTACGTTACCACTTTATCAAGCAATATCTGTGAAAGATTCGGTTGTCACGCAAAGGTTTTTAGTTTCATGGTAAACGTTTTTATGTTTCAAGAAATAAAACAGTTATTTTAGTTTAGCTTAAGGGATTTTTAAATGGGTCATATGCATGTTCTTGAAACATTGTGTTATAAATCCCTTTACATTAATTACGTTCATTGCCGTACTAAAGATAAACTAATGAACAAATTATAACATTAAATTCATTCTGAAATTTTTGGATTGCTTGAAATTGTAAAAAGGAATTACTTTCTAATCTTTTTATGGATCTTATAAAAATTCTTGTTTGGGAACTTTCGAATACTTCGATTATACTTTTCATATAACAAGTATATTTTAACTTTTTTAAAGTTCTCTATAGTTCTTCGAATATTTGTTAATTTTACCCCATTGTTTTTCTTTCCAGCAAGTGGCCACGCCCACCGTGGTGAAGAAGATCATCCGTCTGAAGGAGGAGAACAGCGGGATGTTCGCGTGGGAGATCCGCGAGCAGCTGCAGCAGCAGCGGGTCTGCGACCCCAGCTCCGTGCCCTCGATCAGCTCCATCAACCGGATTCTGCGGAACAGTGGTCTCTGGACGGACGAGATGACCTCCAGTCAGCAGAACGCAGCAGCGGCGGCGGCGGCAGCAGCGGCTCACCAAGCGGCCGGCGGCCCACCGAATGGCTACGGACCCCAGGCCCCGCGCCCTCCGCCTGCACCGCAGGTTTCCGTGGCCCCGCCCACTCCCTCGGCCACGCCCACCGTAGGAGGACGTTACGCCAAGCCGCCGGCGCTGATGATGAGTTCCGTGGGCGAGATGCCCATCAAGCCCGCTCCCAAAATGCCGCCCACTTTGGGCCACGGCCACAATCACGGCCTGAACCCCAGTGTTTCTGGCCTGGATCTGAGCTACTCCGCGCTGCACAAGCACTGGCTGTGGAACCCCTCGCTGCTCTACTACACCCAGGCGCACATCCAGGCGCAGGCGGCGGCTTCTGGTGGCCAGTTCCTTCCCTATGCCGGTGGCTATCTGCCCCACGCGATGGCTGCCGCCGCAGCATCCTCCACCTCCGGATTGGGTGGCTTCACTAAGTCGGAGAGCTCCATCGATTTGTCGACTCCAGGAGCAGCGGGCGATGCCCTCAGCGACTGCGACTCCGGCAAGTCCTCTCCAGCGGCGCTCTCACTTACAGCAGGTGGGGGAAATGGATCGGGATCGGCTCCAGAGGCTTCGCCAGGATCGGCTCTTAGCCACAGTCGGAAGAGGAATCCCTACTCCATCGAGGAGCTGCTCAAGAAGCCGGAAAAGCGACTCCGACTCAGCAGCAATAGGCTGGAGTGCTTGGAGTCCAGTTCCTGCGAAAGTAGCCAAGACAGTCCGGCTCCACCGGCACTGGAAATCCCCGAGGACGAGGATCCCGCCGAGGGCGAGGAGGAGCAGGAGGAGGAGGACTGCAGCGTGGAGGTGGTCAACTGAATTCCCCTGAATATTCCTATCTCTCCAATGTCCCAGTTTTGATCTGTGTATATATAGCATTTTAGTTTAATCCTAAACTCCCCTGAAACCAGAACCCAATGAAACTAAAGATGAACCGTTCTTATTTAAACGATCTAACTATTTTTCATTCCTAAACTGGATCTCTACTAGCGAGTTTTTAAAATGTAATTGTACTATTTTACGGTTCACAATAAGTTGCTTTGGATATGGTGATCAGGGGTGATAATTATAATTAAATATTTAAATAAAACAACCCAAGTATTTATGCTGAATATATAAAGAGATTTGTAATTGGGAATTGGGAAAGTTGGAGATCATTTACTTAAATGTAAAGTATTTTTAGGTTCAACAATTGTATTGATTGCATTTCTTGGTAAGAGTTTATTGTAATTTGTAGAAGGTTTTCATTTAGATTATCGATGTTAAAAGAGGGTTTAATGCAATGCCAAATATTTTAAGCCTAAGCAACTGATAAAATGTGGTGAAATTTTCTGCCTGTAAGCTCGTGTAATTCGCTGCGAGATACCTATTTAAATGATGATAAATGAAGTGTTTTCCAACGGCGCGCCGGTGGTCGTCTTCTTCGGCGGCTTCTTCCTCTTAATTAACTTGCGCGCCAATGAAGTGTCAACAAGTGTGTTGGCACTTGCCACCGATGAGGGGGAACGAGGAGGTGTTGAGGTGTGTGGTGTGGCGAAATTACAGGATGTCTGACACGACCATAACTATCGATCGCCGGCGGCTTCGAAGGGGTCCCCAGAAAGAGGCGACAATGGTTGCCAACTGCGAATGCGAATGCTGCAGCGAGTGCAACTGCAACTGCCACTGCAACTGCTGAAGCAACTGCGAAGTGCGAAAATGGCATTGGAATCGGTGGCATGGTGGTATTGTGGCATGGTGTGGCGGCAGGCAATGTGAGCGGAATTTTAAAGCAGGTGCCTGGGGAGCACAGGACACCGCCATTCCCGGCGAAGGTGTGAAGTGGCCAGAAACTTTCCCAAGACCGCGGCCACCTCACCGCCGCAGCTACTCTGAATATGCCAACAATAAATCAGTGGCTAAAAATAATTGCCGCGACAATTGCGCGCGGTTAAATTATGCAAAGCGAGCAAAAAGCATTGGATGCGAGTAAAAACCTAAAAGCCGCTGCCATAATTGTATCACGTGCATCCTGGCCAAAGCCCTGCCACCAGATCACAGCTCCCATCTTCAAGCTCCCAGCTCTCAGATCTCAGCTCCATAGCTCCACTTCATAAACAATGCTAAAAGGCGTTGAGGATGCGCGCAAGGAAACTGACGGCGAGGAATGCAGAGTCGGCGGAATACGCCGCGAAATCGGCACAAGAAGCCTCCTGATCATGGCCAGATTGGAATGCCCTGGCATGACTATGACTGACAGCCACCGGGAGCAGCTCACAAAAACTGCACACTGAGAGAAAATCAATCAGCTCAGTTCAATATTAATATCTTTAGCAAATTAAAGAAACCCTTAAACCTTTAAAACCAATATGTAACAAACTATTCACTCGCATATCATTAAAATTGTTAGGAATTTATTAATGTTGTTGATAAAAACTCTATTAAAATTTTAACAAATATAAAATATATTAAATATTTGCTTCGTAAGTCAAAGATAAGTATTGCAAACAGAGTACATTTTTTCTCTGTGCAACAAAGGAAAGACGAAGGGCTCTGGATCGGCGATGATGATGATCGCTGATCGTAGCGACGATCCCGCTCGGGCGACACTTTTAGGCCAGGCCAGGATTGGAATCAGAATCGGGAATTGGAATCGGAATCGGGATCGGCATCGGGATCTCGGGATCGGCCGCGACAGAATATTTTTATACGCTCGCGCTCGAAATATCAATGAGGTTTGCAGCAGGCAGATAGACGCGTTTTTGCTTGGCGCATTTGGCGCGGCAAAAAACGCGCGCGCCGCTCGCGTTTGGATTTCGCGCTCGCTTTTGGCCTTTTTTGCTGGCCAGCTCGCTGTTCGCTCCTCTTGTTAGCCAGCAAGCTGGTGGAGCAGGAGGAGCTGAAGCCCCAGAAGCCGGAGAAGAGCTGGCATGGATTGTTGCAATGTTTCGTCGCGCTGCTTGCGTTTGATTTGTGTTTTTGGTTTTTGCCCCAGCTCGCTTTTGCGTTTTCGGCATAAATCAAAATCCAGTTGGGGCATTGGAAATTGGACGAGGATGAGGATGAGGACGAAGACGAGGACGAGGACGCTTATGCGGAATGGGACACAAGATGTCGTCGTGGACGTTGCCGATGCGAGGCCCTTCCGCGCGACAGATATTATGGCAGAAAATTTATTTTATGGCGGTAATGGTGTTATGTTTTACGCGATTAGCAGATCCAAATGTTTGACATTGCGGCGACATCGGGCTGGGAATGGAATCGCAACGCGGATTTGACCATCTGAAAGGTTGGCAGTGGAATTGGTATTGTTATTGGCAATGGTCACTGTGATCGCTGACAGCAGCATGCACCGTAATTAATGGCGTTCAATTACGGCTAAGCTGTTTGGATTATGGAGATGGAAATGGAAAGCTGGATGGAGTACCTCTGCCAATCAATTTAATATTAATTGAGTTTAAGTATACGTTTTATATTTGGTCATTAATCCATTACAGGATAAACTACCTAAGGAAATTATTTTCTGCTTTTAAATCAGTGTTTTTACTTTTACAACATGTATGGAAAACATTTTGAACCATTTAAGTGCTTATGTTTTAATAACATCTTATAAACGGACTTATCATTAATTAAACTGAATAGGCCCATTTAAAATTGATTTACCAATAATTTACGTATTTCTAATGAAGGGTCATATATCATCATTATTACATGTTAAGTTAATCTAATGATTTCCACTGAAGCTGTGTGAAAGGTTGGATAAAACTGTCACCAGGTTTTATTAATCCCCGTCTTCCGTTAAACTTGACTTCCTCCACCTGTTTCCACCTGGAAATTGGGGGTCCAGAGCTTCCGCTTTCTAGGCCAGAACCTCTAGCCCAAAGAGGCAGCCAAAAAAAGAGACGTGACCCAACGTCACTCGGGGTTTTCTCCGTTTTTCTGTCCTGGTGCCTTTGGCATTTGGCTTCTTCTGCCTGGCGTTGGGACATCGCATCGTCTGGGTTTTTTTTTAGTGCCGCACTGCCTTGTTAAGTGAAGCAATTTTTTATGGTTAATTTCCTAAAGGTGCACTTAAATGCACCTCGGGGTCCGGGGTTGGGTGACTTGGACTCCTCGCAATCGCACCGTCGGTGCTCCTCGGTTCGGGGCCCAAATACAAATCTTGGGCCGCCCTTGCCTCACTGGTTGCCTCACTTGTCAACGCGTCTCGAGATTGATTTCTCTGTTTTGTCTCCGGCAGTGGGCACAATTAAACCGTAAAAAAGCGGCTGCCGGGGAAGGGGTTAATTGGCGGTGGCAACAGAAGCAGTTATGTTCTCATTTAGAACGCTCCCGACAACAGGTTAGGACCCAATGTGAACTAATAAAAGATTGAAACGTTTCGAGACCATTAAATTGTGGGTTTTGAGCGCGTTTCGGATTCGGAATGGGAATAGGAATAGGAATCAGAATCTGAATCGGAATATCCATCGCAGTGGGAATGGGAAATGGAGTTGGAAATAGAAATGGAAATGGAATCGACGTTGGACAGTAGCAACTGTGTGACATTTACATAATTAACATTTATTGTTGCCATTGATTGGGGCCGCAGGGGCGGAAATGGAAATCAAGTGGCCCTGGGTGTGAACCGGACGAATTCGAGAGATCTTTCGCAAACGAGTCGATCGATCGACCGTTGGCCAGGTCGAAGCCAACGAGCCAATGACCCTTCGGTGGTCCAGCGACCGACTGTGCGGCAATAAAAGTCGAGTTAACAACTTACAGGAGCCAAACACGCCACACGTTGATGGATATCTCCGCAGCGACTCCCTGCGCGGTTCTCCTTGAGCAGCGGTTCCACTTTGGCTTCTTTTCAGTCAAAATCTGTCTGTCTTGGCCCACTCGAAAATATTGCTAAGGGACAGGATTTGAAGTAAAGCTGGATTTTAGCGGATGCAAAGGGATACAAAAATCACAATACTCATACAGAATGAAGATAAGGTTGTTACAGTTTGGTATTTCCGGAAATAAAAAATGTAAAAAAAAAAAGACAGCGAATCTTAAGATGCAAAAGGTATAAATACATTAGGGTATAAGCAATTAAGAAAAAGAACGATTTAGAAGAAAGCATATCGGGAAATTAAAATGAAATCAAGGAGTTCTATATTAACACTTTTTACTCAGCTAGAAATTCTATGGTTAAATTATTTTGTTATTCTAAAAAGTTAACTCTGGCGTTAAAGTTAGTTTCGACTTATATTTTTTGGCATGACTGGCTCCGAGGTGCCAACAGCTCTGTCCTGAATCGCAGGTTCCCATTCCCGTTGTCTTACATCCTCGCGAGCTGGGACATCGCACCATCGCCCGCTGGGCCGCCGAAGTGGCTATCTTCCTCAGATAAAAGCGAGCCCCCGGAGGGATAAGTCCCGAATCCGAGTCCGAATCTCAGCTCCTCCTCCGCTGGGCGAAGCAGTTAATTGGGAGCCGGTGTTACGACACTCTTATCGCCGAATGCGCGTCGACCCCAACTGGCGGTCCATTAAAGCTGTTTTCCATGGTTAAGGTTATCCATCGATTGAGTTGGTGAACTGGCAAACTGGGTAAGTGGCTAACTGGTGAGCTGGCAAGCTGGGCAGCTGCGGAGCGGCATCCTAATTGGCAGTGGAGCGGAGAACGGACATTCCATCAAATGCGGATCGGATCGGAAGCGCTGCGAATCGGGCGAAATGCGCATACTTCCGCATTTCGTAGTTCGCCCTCCGCTCCGCCGATTCACCTGCCAGTCAGCCAGCTTGGCGCGTTCTGGCCACATTAGCACGGACAGCCCGCATTATCCTTGGCCGTCATTAGTTGTCGGCTCGGCAATTACGCCACTCAATTGTCTTTGACTTGCACAGGATCTCGGCGCAGGATCAGCAGCACCTTACCCATCCAATTCTGGTTCCTGTTGCCTTCACTCTGCGGTAATGGAATTATAATTATAGCCTTTTCCCTCCGCCGCTGATGTTGTCAGTGGGCACGAGTTGGCCAGAGCTTCTGCTTTAGTTTCGATGTCAAGCTGGGGAACGGTTCTCAGTTTTCAACCTGCAGTTTGGTGACTGTCGCCACATTAAGTGGCCAAATTGTTTGTGTCCGTTATTGCCAAGTCCTCAGGGGCACGTGCCCGGCACTCAGTGTTCATCATCCTTTTAGTCATTTGGAAACGCTTGCAGTAACAAAAGCAAGAGGAAGGAGTATATATTTAAAAACCTATATTTACTTCACCAAAGAAGTTAGTTGTTGTGAAGTTAAAGATGAAGTCAGTGCAAGCTAAGTGGAATTTTGTGCCGTGTTGTTTTTCGTGTAGTTTTATAGCAGCTGTTACTTTAGTAAGTTAATTGATTTTCCAAAAGTTATTCGACGAGAATGTGATACCAGCCATCCAAAATCAGTTGTAATACCATTCATTAATTTACTTTGCTTTCGGAATATATATTGTTTTACTATCAGCTGTGAGTCCGAAACAAACATTCCCGAAGGAGTTGTAAAGTCCTTGCCAAAGGATTCCTTTAAAACATAGCAATAACCAGTTTGGTAGTTTTCGGCTCAGAATATTAAAAACTTCTTTTATCTACACGCACATAAGAAACGTCAAATGTTTTTACATACGTATAAAGCGCCACCTATACAACCTTAACAAAATTGCCGATAGCCACGTAAGGCTGCTACGTAGTCCTTAAGTGATTTAGATTTTAAAATAACCGCACCACTATTACGTCGTGGAGTCATCGATTTGTGCGACATACCGATGACGAGTCTGTGATTAGCTCGGTGTTTCCCAAACTTGTCGGGACCGCGACCCATCTACACAAAAAATTGCAAGATCTACATATATGGCTATTAGTACTTACCAAAAATCTACCCGCGACCCACCAGTGGGTCGCGACCCACACTTAGGGAAAACTGGAGTAGCTTATTTTTTTTTAAATTTTAACTTACGGTTTGTACGGTTAATGGTTATTGGCTTAAAACCAGCACTTGAAAGCCTAAACTGCTAATGTTCGGCTCGCCGAAGCTAGCTTCCTTTCTTGTTTTATTATAAACGAGAAAAATACGATGTCAAACTAATAAATCTTTTAAATTTTTATTTTATGAAAACAATACCGTTATTAAAAGTTGTTGTTGGATTTCATTATCGCAATACATTTTAGTTTGTTTTATAAATATAAATATCCGCTATATAAATATGTATCCGCTTATCGCTGAATTTCTGGTTTCTGGGCTCTCCATGATTAATTTATGTGATTTCTTAGAACGAACAGCCATGTTTAGTACTAAAGCGTTGTTTCGCGTGGAAGGATGGATGGTCTGCTCTCATTTATGTTGACCTTGTTGGTTCTGAGCCACAAGGGACAATCCCAGCTTCTTGACGACAAATGCCATGGAGCGGTGAACTCCAATTCGCGTGCTCCTCTGACCGAAACGCCTTGGATGGCGAGTGTTTATAATAAGACAGATTTTCTTTGCGGAGGAACACTAGTTCACAAACGTTGGTATAAATCCATTTAACAAAGATATTCCCGGAAATAATGTGTCAACCTATTTTAGTCTTCGTCTTGACGGCAGCGCATTGCATAGTTCAAAATCCTGAACTGTAAGTAGAATCCCTTTTATAAACCCAAAACAGAACTGACCCTTTATTCTGGTTTAGATTCGTGCGTTTGGGCCAGACTCAAAAATCTTGTACTTCATTCCAATGCAATAGCGTCGAACAGAACGGAGTTGCCTTGGCTATACCCCATAATGATTTCGATCCTAGGCACTTCACCAACGATATTGCTCTGCTGAGACTGCGAGGAGAAGTCAACTACAATGGTAACTCAATAGATAAGAAATTCGTTCCAAAACAACAACAGATAAAACTAGTTCCGAGTTTTATAAGATTATTATAATAAGATCTATTATTATAAGATCTTTCTGTCTAAATTGTAAAACCATAATGGAATGGTCAAACCTCTAAAGGGTTTTGAAATACTTTCACGCAACTTTAAAAAAAAACCGAGCTTGTTTGTTTGTTTATCATTCCTTTAGTAATCCATATCTTTCCTAACCCGCAGCATACATCCGTCCGATCTGCATAATGCTGGATGATATGGTTGTATCAGCAGGAGTGCCATTCTTTTCTGCCTGGCGTCAAACAAGGAGGGATTTACCAGTTCAAGAACTTCAAGCAGTTAATCTTACCCATTGGAACCAGTACGTGTGCCTTAGAAATGGAAGGAACATACAAGACGGAAATCAGATATGTGCCGGAATACCAGAACAATACTCCTGTATGGGACCTGCTGGTGGTCCGTTGGCGGTCAAACTCCCACTGGCCCAGAAAAGATTGACTGTTCAATTCGGGATAGTGAGAGCCGGGCACGAATTGTGCAACACTGTTGGGGTGTACACCGATGTCACGGCCTACAAAAACTGGATACATAACACTGTGCGTGATTTCGAAATGAAAGGCGATCCTGTCTTGTACGACGAGTGTAATAGCAACTGGACCGACGACGTGATTGTCCGTCTATGGGAGATATCACTGTTGCAGAACTCTGTGAAGGGCGCGCTAATCACAAACCGTAAGTATTAACTGGAATTCCAAAAACTGCGCTAATATGTTGGTTTTCCGAATTCAAAAGGTTTTGTTATGACTGTGGCAAGTGCTTTTCGCTCGGATTCCGCTCTAGTGTAAGTAGTAAGGTTGATAAAAAAATATCATGATTCAATTATTTTATTATGCATTCAGAAAGGTGGAAACAAAATACCAGAAGACTCTTGACGTCGAATCGATCCGCAGGCATCCCAAGTTTGCACCAGGATCGTTGAAAAATAATATTGCTTTGATCAAACTAGCTCAGGAAGTGCCGAACCAAGGTGAGTTCGCCTCAGTATTTATTATCTCATTACTCTCAATAATAAGCCTACTACTTACAGATCTTATGAAACCAATATGCATTGTTCTGAACCCAACGCTTCCACGAAGATTGGCGGCGCTTGCCAATTTGGAGACTCCCAATTTTAGGGGGGTTCAGAAAGTCGATTTAAAAACAGTCGATCGTTCTACTTGCTCGCAAATAATTGGAGGATCTCTGGAATCCAGTCAGTTCTGTGTTGAAAAACCTCGAGGTGTTTACTACGAGACTCCTGGCTTAATCGTGGGAACATTTCAAGATATCGGCGGCGTCGTTAAGTATCTTATTTTTGGCATATTAAGCTTCAATAGAAACAGCGTATTAGTTTTCACAAACATTCAAAGCTACGCTGACTGGATAATAGACACTGTTTATGGCACTTAAAATATATTTTTAGTAATAATGTGATTATGAGAAAATACGACAATAAAATTGATAAGAACCGAAATGTTAAAGTTTAGTCACATTAATCACAAAAGCTGGAAATTATATATACCAGTATTTCCCAAAGTGTGGGTCGCGACCCACTGGTGGGTCGCGGGTAGATTTTTTGTGAGTACTAATTGTCATATAGATCTTGCAATTTTTTGTGTAGGTGGGTCGCGGTCCCGACAAGTTTGGGAAATACTGATATATACAATATATTTCAAACTTTTGCTTTCTGAAAGAATTAATATTTTCCTAACTTTCTACCTACTCCGAAAAACTCGCGCGTACAAACCTTTTATTGCTGTCTGCTAGGTGGCGCTGCTGTAGAGTAAGCCTAATGTAAAAATTTAGCTAATGTAATATACGGCTACACATAGTTACACATTTTTACGTCGATTCAACGTTTGCTGTGGCGCCACTGTGCATCAGTGATTCAAAAAAAAAAAAAAAAAAAAAAGAATAATGATAAGTTTTTTGTTTAACTCATAATAAATACGTGGAAAGACTTTTTGGCGTGGCTTTGAGCGAAGTCAAGTTCACAAAATGTATATATCCATTCATTCGCAATTTATCGGCCAGCTGCTGGTATTTTATGGCTTATTCCCAGCCAAACTATTTATTTACAAACTCATTAAATTGTAACCCCAAGTGTGTCCCGCACTGGATTATTTAGCTGGCACCACATCCTTCCTTTCGTCCGCCGCACATCCTCTACGCAATTACGCGAATGCCGACAGCGCATGCGTGACATTTTCAAGATGACTGCGCGTTGTCGTTTCCTCCGCCTCGATTCCCATTCTAAGTTTGTCTTTGGGTTTTAAGCGCGATCTGTGGACTGATCAAACAAAATAGCTGTCGAATGATTTACGGCCGCTTTCGCGTGCATTAGCCAAACTCATGGGGCCAGCACTTTTGGTTTCTGTTTGTTCTTTTCACCTCCGATCCGAGGGAAAGGGGTCTCCTCTTGGCCCGCTTCTCGCTCTTGGTTAATATCTCTGCAAAAGGGCCCGAAAGCAGGCGTTTCTGCAAGGCGGCAACCGGTTTTTGACCAACTGCGCAGTTTGATCGTTTTTTTTTTTTTTTGGAGGAACTGCATTTGGCTGTATTGCTACTCTCTCATAAAAGGGATAACACGAATTGGCAACATGTTCGCAAACTAAAAACCACGAAATGGAGTGATACATTTAATTGCTTGTTAAAAATACAAGTTATATAAAGAAAAGGTTCTGTTTACTTGCATGCGATTAAATATTTTAAAAAGGGTTCATCCTATATCATACAAATAATCTGGCTATAAGAGTGTCTCAAAACGGATCGTTAACGGTTTTTGTTTTGGCGCTAAAAGGGAAATTCAGTCAGCGGCGGCGAGTGAACTTTTTGCCCGGCCAGAATCGGGGTGTTGTGTTGTTTTGGGTTGTGTAGCCGTCACCCAGATTATCAGGAAACTGGAGGAACCAGTTTCGGTGCGATGTGGCATGCAACCTAAATATAGAATCGCACTGCAACAAAATAAAGCGCGCGGTGTGCTGGATATTAGCCTAACCAAATTATTGATCCCGGCCAGAAATCCGATTCCTTCCTCCGCCCGAAAAGACCAACATCACACGCTGCGGAACTGTTAGCTGAAATTGCGCCTGTTGTTTGTTTATGTTTGCGTTGCTTTTTCGGCTTTTCGGGCCTTATCTTATCAGCAAGTGCCGCACACGAGTGGTTCACACAGATACGCCGGCACACACACACGCACAGATGCATTTGCGCACCTTTTGCTTTTCGCTTACCTGTTGATTGAGCGACAAACAGAGCGGCAGAGAGCGCCGAGTGCCAGTGTGTGAATGAGCGGAGTATCTGTGTGAGGCGGAGCGACTCCAAACAAGCGTCGTCGTATTCGTCTTCGAGATCCCAGACCTCATTCGCTCGAACGCAACGATCGCGCGCGGTTGTCTCGCCCAGCAGAAAGATATATATTTAAAGATATATAACGTATGAACAGAAGAGCTACAGTTCTCAACGCGAAGTACTCGAAAATATCCAGAAACAGAAACAGAAACAAAAACAGAAAAGAAAAAGAAACCGAATCAGAAACAGAAACAACTCTCCCGGTCGCTTTTCATTTTCGCAGAGAGATTTTCAGCGATTCCAACAAGTGCGAGTGAAGTGTAAGTGTCTTGGCCAGTTTCTTGGCTTGTTTGCCTCCTGCCAAAAAGTTTTTTTTTGGTTTGAATCGAGCCGTGAAGAGCCGGTTTCGAGCCACAGGGCTCGCGAGTGATTCACTGGTCCAAAAGTTTGACCGTTGTTGACTCAGCATCCCCGAAAATCGAAGACAGATTCAAGCAATTAACCCCTTAACAAAAAAAAAAAAAGCAAAAGTGTTAACCGCAAGTTATTGTGTAACTAACCGTTGTCACCGTTGTCGTTAAAAGCGAAAAAGATCGTCGAGATGCGGTCTTTAAACTTAATTGCCTCCGTATCTCAATTGTTCGGGATCTAAATCGGCTGGCAGAAAGTCGTAAACAACAAAACCGCTGGAACATCGCTGCTCGATTTAGTGGTTCTCGATTGAATCGCGAACAGCGCCAGATTCTTTAATATTATTTTTACCACTCAACATGATTTAATTAAAAAGCCGAAATTGTTTTTTCGGCCCGAGATAGACGGCGGGCGGCTTTATTATTATTTGCTATTTGTTTACTTGTTTGCCGCTCTTGTTTAACTCGCCTGAGCTTTTTATGCCGTGAGTGATGTGAGTTGTGATGCGTTGTAGACACAAATACGCGCTGGTATAAAACATCCAAATATTATATTATATTATACACATTTATCCGCATAGTCGGCCATGGTTCGTGCATTATTTTTTGTGGATTGTTTGCCTCGATTCGATTCAATTCGTCTCGTTTCATTTCGCTGCTTGATTGAGCACATCAGCGCTGGCAAAAACATATTCGCGTTTATTTTTGTAAGCGCAGCGCTATGGCAACATTTTTAACATATTAATATTTTATGGCTCACTTTTCGTGCACTCGAAATTAAATTTTTGTGGAAATTTCGTTTTACCCGGTGGATTCTTTAAAGGCAACCTTCGATCTCCGAAAATGTTTTGCTTCAAAGGGTATGGGGAATGATTAATGGATTATTTGGAAACCTATAATGGATCGGATGATCATAGCTCCGATGGAGTCACCACCGCTGATTCACGTACTCAGGATCTTTTGTGACCCAAATTGCCCAGACTTTCCGGGCTTGTTGTTGTTTTCATTATTCGGGGTAAACTTATTTGCGATCCAAAGAAAAACAGATCACGGGTAATAGTTCACCAGCAGAAAATGAGTAGCAGCAGCCGAAAGCACCTGCAGTTGTTCATAACTTCAAAGAAATGTGGCAAAAGTGCGTTTCATAATCGTATAAGATATTTTGAAATCTTAGAAATATTAAGGAGAAATTCAAAAAGTATCAAGTAGTAAAGAAAGAGTTTTAAGGGAATTATGATAGTTCCCAAGTTCTGAATTGCTTACTATCAAACCCAAACTATGATTAACATATATACATACATATATGAATACTCAGTTCTTAATAAAAAATATTTCCGTTTTAAAAAATAATTAATTTATTATTTAAAATAAAAAACATTTATTTAATTGTTTGTAAACTACTTAATTATGTGTTGTTATCGGATTACTAAAAGTAAAGCACCGAAACGGACTGCTTGCACATCGGCATTTAGCTGGCTGCGCCGTTAAAAGCTCAAAAACGAAAACAAAATACAAACAATTAGCCAAATAACAAAATACATCCCAAGCCAAGAAGAACAACAAAAACTTTGGCCACAAAAGCCAGACAGACATTGGCAGCCGTCGACGTCGCCGTCTGGCGTTTGGCGTTTGTAGCTTTGCCGCTCGTCGGAATCGGTTGGGAATTGAGAACCAGCCAGTGTCTATATAGCTGCTATATAGCTGGCTGCCCGATGCCGCCTCTCGCACGGCCCAAAAGCAGCGACGCCGACGGCGACGGAAGCAGCGACGCGAGCGATGTGGTTGAAAAGATTTTTGTATTCGAAAAACGGCACAAAATGCACATAAAAATTTTCGGTTTCGGTTTTTGCTTTAGTTGAGAGAAAATCGTCGCTTAGTTAACGTCGCCCAAGAACTAAACTGGCAGTGCACCACAACCGCCACGAATATACGAAACCGATCCAAGTCCAAATCAAAAACTAAAAATCCAAATTAAAACCAAATCGAAACCGAATCGAATCGAATCGAGTAGTTCCAGATAAAGCCACCCGATCGGAATAAATCGGTCAGTACATCAGAGATCACGTGTGAGATCAGCAGAAAGTTGGGTATAAATCAGCTGGTTATACAATAGCCATCAGCCATCAGCCATCGATTCGCCAGGATCGCTGATGAATCAGACCCCGTTTTCATTAATTTAAACCCTGTGTGTGTCGTGTGAATTCTGTGAAGGTTAACAACAAGTAAAATCGTTTACGAAACCAAAGACTCAGCCGAGCATATACAATTGCTAAATAATTTTCTTGGCACGCCGAGTCCAGGGAATTTCTCTTGACGCAGCATATATCACAGTTTTTCTTGTTGGCCAGAAGATAGATAGGCAGAGAGATAGAGATAGGAGGTACGTCGTAGATCTTCGGCTCGTTTGAAATTGAATAAAATTATATAGTCAAAAAGCGAGAAAATTTTTAGAAACTTTTCAAGGTGAGTTTATTTTTAGCGCCTAGAAATGGCTGCGCGGATTGGATTTGTTTCCGAATATTCTCGCTCAGTCAGTCAGTCAGCGCCAGCGGCCATCCGCCATCCGCCAGATACAATATCTGCCAGATACACAGATACACAAATTGCGAAAGTGCTGCGGATGTGGCAGGCACCTCCTGCGCCTCCTTCCCATGCTCCTCAAATTGCTGCGGTTTGGCGCCATCGTTTCTGAGACAATTTCTGAAGCGTTCTTAGCGATATACACTCTATATACATTTTGGCGACAGCATAAAGCATCGCATATTAATGAAGCCAGCTCTCTAGGTCGACTGAACGAAAAAAAAAAATTTGAAGTAGAAAACTGTGTTGGCAATTGCGATTTTCGTGCCTGCTCTTCGGTTTTCCTTTTCGCCTGATCTATTTTCAGCCAGCAGTCAGCAGTCCCTCTCTTTCTCTCTCCCTCTCTCTTTATCTCTGACATCACGTATACGCAGTGGTTGCTCTCCATTTCCATTTGCCGTTTCCAATTCATGAAAGACCACCAGCAGTTCTCCTGTGATGTAATTTGGCCCTGACCAGAACTTGTTGATATTTTAGCACAGTTTTTTGCCGATTATCCAATGTGTTTTTGTATGTTTGCCTGGGTTCAGTGACCCCTGATCCATTAATCACCCACTAATCTTATCTTCCACTCATGTTTTCGGTTGGTCACCTCACCAATAATAGCTGTAAGGCAATCGGGACTTCTGCCGAATCCATCTTACAGCGCTTCGAAGTGCTAGTGAATCAATGTCCGATAAGATAGTATTTCTATAAACTTGAATGAGCTAATGGTCAGTGCCGCTGCCCACTTTTCCGATGAATGAAATGTCTTTGTTTACCCTGAGTTCTATCAGTCCAGGGCGGAATTAATTACCCAGCGGATGTTTGAGGAGGAGGAATACACAGTAAACAACTGAATCATGTTGGAAAGGGAATTAAAAATTATTTAGATGTAAAAGAAAGCAAACTGGGTTAGCTGAATAGATATCTAGATATGTACATACCTACTATAAAATAGGTAGAATTTTATTAAAGAGCAAACTCTTACTTTTTCCTACAAATTTATCTCTCTGCCTTGGAAATACTTCAAGTTTTTCCTTTGGCCGGGAATCGTAAATTAAGGCCGTCGCGGAAATGTTGCTGAGCTCATTAGAATGGCACTTCGCGCTCACATCCTACTCCGTTCCTGGGTGCGTGACAATATTTCATGGCTTGACTTCACTTGACTCGGATTCGTGCACATACTCTTGCGTAGTGCAACAATCGGGGGAATCGGATGGGAAATAGGGGAGACATGCTCTAAAAATCTCAAACAGCTTTGCGTATATTTTAATTAGTGCGCTCTCGCATTGGCAGTATGCTTTTTGCATTTTGCAGCTTGCAACTTGCAGTTGGCTGTGTTTGCCGTTTCACGTTCTCCCGCCACAAAATCATTTCTCAAGAATTTAACCTTCGTGAACTGTCATGGTAGATTTCATTCTCTTTCCCATTGCTGAGGCGAGCACTTTTCTTCAGGGTTCGTATGTCACTCACAGCAAATGAGACAGCAGAACAACGCGAAACGCCACCGAAGATAATTCTTCAAGAATATTTTTACAGACTTTGATGGGGTGCTCCCCCTGAGAAAAACAAGTTGGGGCGTAGACGCTTTTGAGATGTGACCTCTTTATGACTGATCTTGAACTGTATACGTGTCTATATGTTGGGTAATTGACCAGCATATTTGATAGATAATGTGTACTATAAAGAATAAGTTCATTTGTTTAAAAGACGTACTGGACTGAGTACCTCTCAGTAACTTGCATCACCTGCTTATTATTTTATTTGCTGTATTTCGTGCGTAAATATTCCAAGAAATCTCTTCGATCTGCAACCCTGACCTTAACTTCTGCCAACAAGTTTACCACTTTCGGTGGCACACTTTCGCAGAGATATGAAATCGCAAGTGAAGGAGGAGACAACGAGATTACACAATATTCGAGCGGCAATTTGACTAAAAGTAATCACGTATCTGACGCCTCGCAATTACACAACCGCAGTGCGTTCAAAATAAACACCCACAGACGCGAAATCTTCGACGAAGAAGTGCAGACTCAACTCGAGCGGAGCTCCCCCATTTGCCCCACTTGTCCCCCCTTTTCTGGCCTCCGATTGGAGCCGGTGGAGCCACTGGCACTGCTCTTTCTGCACCACAAACGTGACTGGCAAACAATTTTTGGTTTCATCGCCTCGGCAAAAGCCACAAAAACCCATCGAGATATTGCGATTGAGTCGGCAGTACGGGTTGGGGGGTTAAGTGCGGGAAACCCGCATCAAACCATTCCGGAGTTTTGTTTATGAATTTAACGAACGGAAAATATTTATTTTGGCCATGCACGGCGTTACGTTGAACAAATTATAAAATCTCGTGCGGCGCGCGCTCATAAATCACAAGAGCATTTACGTGCATCTCTTTTTTGGAATCGAGATCGAGATCGAGAATTAATTGCCCGACATTTGTGCGAGCGCTTAAACGGGCGATTGGGAATTTAAGTAAAATAAAAGATAAAAAGCGACATTCCGAGCGTTTTCCTTGGACAAGATATTTCAAAACGCTAACCTTCCGCCCACCGAGAAATGTTTATTCGAGCGGTATTTCTGCGCCAAGTCTATTTTCGATCGACAGCCCCTGCAGAAGACGTCAATGCCAAAGTCAAAAAAATATGAGAAAATGTGATTGGCGAAAGCGAAATCGAATTCAAAGGAAGCGGAGGGCGTTATCTCAATGAAAATTACTTTGCCTTAACCCCTGGCTGACCAATGTAGCTCCAATTACCCCACAAAAGCCAGACGACGCTCGTCGCTAACCGAAATAGTTTCCTCGGCATTTTCGTGCGGGGGAAACAACAAACAAACAACACAAAAAAATATGTAGTATTTTTATATATATTTTTAAAAAGAATCCGTCTGTGACAGTTGCCTCTGTCCATTACGAAGGCTGACAAATTGTTTGTTGAAGCGGTCTGAAATGCAAATGCTAAGCATTTTATTTAGCCTTTGATTAATACGTATCCAACAGATACTTGCACGTTCGGCAATGGGTAAGATGTTTTAACAAATTCATCCCAGTGTTCGCACAATGTTCTCTTCGGAGCCCACGAGCCCGGCACTTTGTCAGCCCTAATTGCAGCACTTTGTAAACTGTCACAGGAAAGGCAGACGAACTTTGGGGAGGGGAGTTAGTGGAAGCTGCAACAAGTGGCACTCCTCCTGGAGGAGTCCCCGTTTTTGATGGAGAATTATTGCCGAACGTCCTTTGTGCCGACTTTATCTGCCACTTTCAATCGGCCGCCTGTCATTAGCCCCACTGACTAGGGCATAATATACTCGTATATCCCACATCCAATCAACCGAAAAGGGGCAAATTTGCATTTCACAATTGCATTTCGGTTAATCGCATTTTGTTAACCCATTCGAGCCCACCAATTATGCACAAAGGTAATTACAAACAAGAAAAAACAGGGGGGACAGACGTGAAAATAGTTTTCAATTAATTGCATTTTGTTCATTAATGTTAAATCAAATGGCAAATCCATATGCTGTCCGTCTGTTTCGGTTTCGGTCCGATAATCTTGTTGACTGCATAATGAGTTCGGTCGGTTGGACAGATTGGAATTGATGGCCAGAATGGGATGTCTAGAAAAAAAGGACTATAGAAATACATCGACATTAGAGGGTCCTTCTTTTCTTTTCGGGAACTGCCATTAGGCAGCCTCTATTTTTGGACAGGGACCAAATTAAATTACCACACAAACAGCAGCAGATTGACAAGCCTATTAAATTGTCATTATATATGCCACACAATTTGTAGACTTTTTTGGGGCAGGGGGCAACAACTGATTGAGGGGCTTTGTTCTATGCACTTTGTGCGGCTAATTAAATAAATGCGTTGATAATTACGCTTTATTAGCTCAGAACAACTAATATGGCATTAACTATTCCACTGACAGATTTAAAATTGTATTATTATTCATGCGTTTTTTCACAGCGCGTTCGATTTTTTTATTGCAAATTTGTTCAGTCGACAAAGCCGAGAGTGTTTTGTGCAGTTTAATTTATGGGATTTGGTTTTTTGATTGTTTTCTATTATATTTAATTACATTTTGTGCGGGCAAATAATGCCATATTTTTGCAAAATCTATGGTTGCGTTTTCATGCCATTAATAAACCGATTTTAAATCCGTTTACTTATCGTTATCGAACTCGCGAAAAAATAGAGCGAGCTTCCCGTAAATGTATCTGTATCTGACCTCAGCTTTAAATGCCGGTTTTTGGACACACAGTTTAATAAATATTTACCTGCCACATTCTGCTTTTGTCGATGTTGATTTACTCGAAATTCCTGCGATCCCCTGAAAATAGATGACCGTATGGAAATTGCATTTTTGGCATACTGAATCCGCCGACGAACTATCTCTGATTAAAATTTGCATTCGCATTAAATTTCACATTGCTCATAGAAAATATGCGCGAAATATTAATCAATTTTGCGCACAGTCATAG